TCGTGTGTAGCACGTCCGATGTGGCGGTCAGTAGATAGAGATTTTGCAGAATTTATCGATACGGAAGGGCTCGAGTTGCGATCACCGTGTTTCTGTAAATAGACGTCGGAGTATGGCATCAGACTAGGAGCTAGCGGCAGATCGGGCTTAGACCAAGCTGGAACGAGGAACGTGACCCCGGCCGACTATGCCTGGCTGCAGCAATAGCGCCCTGCTAGACACCTTTACGTTGCTTGCTGCTGCTGTACGGGGAATCGCAATGCTGCCGTCCTGCTTTTGCTACAGCTGAAGACGATAGATGCGACGATAGGCACTCTGATGGAGCTGTGTCCGATGCCCACCTGACGCTCCTTCCGCACCGGCTACCACCACGCACGACACGTACGAATTCAAGGAAGGCACGACCAGGCTTACGATGGTGGGGAGGACTGCACACGACTACGACTCGGGACCGCAATTCTCTGCCAGAACGCCGACGACAGACGGACGGGGAAAGGGCGTCGCCTTCGCCGGCGATGAGGGCAGTCCCCACACAAGACGGGCGGCCTATGACGAGCGTGCGCGCACCACGTCGCTGAGTTCTGAGGACTCTGAGGGATACGAGCACGTGAATACGCTGCTCTCTGCGTCGTCGATTGCGAACACGGATACCATCTCTTCGTCAGGCTACTCGACGGCCATGACATCTGCTACCACCTATGACGAGCGATCGAATGACAGCACACCAATCGCCGAACCGCCATATGCGCCTCCCAGCCTCACCCTCCTCGAACTCGTATCCAATACCGCGTCTTCATCTGCGCTTCCCGACAGTTTCGACGTCAACGTGTCGAGGAAAGGCGGCTATGTGGCGGTATACTCGGCGTCAAATTTGTTCTTGATCAAGACAGTGCAACTGCCGCGACTATGGGCGAGGACATTGCAAGTCAAGCGCAAGCCCGTGGCTATTGACATCACCGAGGATGGCTTTTTGTTAGCAGTACTATCAAGACCTTCGCAGGTCGATCTCTACGAAATACATGGCGAGGGGGATAATCAGATCAAGAAGAGGCGCACCATCATGCTCGTGCATGAGGCTAGCTCAATAGTCATATCACCAGATGCACGTATCCTGATCACGGGAAACAAATTTGGCATCGAGGTAATCGCTATTGGGCCTGAGGTACCCGAGACGACACGACGTACGCTTTCTGGGCCCGCCGGTGACGCATTGGAGTTCTCCGACGATGGCCGAACGCTGCTTATCACGGGATATGCAAGGAAGTCGGATGGTTCAGCCCTTTTCGTTCTTCCTGGGCTTTACGATGGCCCACTTACCGAGGAGGGTGAGCCCATACCACAGCCACCAGAGGCCGCGTGGACGGGCTCGGTACTGTTCCCAGAGACTGCGAGGATTGCACGACAAGCCACTTTGCTTCCTGACGCGGACACGGGCACGTTCAATGAACTCTTTGCTTTCAACGCAGAGGAGGATTCATGGGGAATCTATGACATTGCATGCCAACGGTTCACACAGAGGAAGATGTTTCTGCCAGATCACGCAAGATGGACACGCTCAGAGTTCGTGGACGATGCTATGCCTGCCGTGTCTCCCAATGCTGATCTTGCAGCGGTGGCTTTGCGGATGCGCGGGACCACCAATATCTGGATTTACGAAGTACCGGGTTGGGAGTACAAGCCGAGTGAGAAGACTAAGGTGGATGCTCCTATTCAGCCTTGCTTTTGCATCCCGATCCCCAATGACAACGCAGGTACTCTGCAGGAGATCTGTGTGCTGAGATGGGTGAGGCTGAATGCAAACGTACAGCGGCTTGTGGCAGTTGGCAACTCCAACGTCCTACCCGACGAAAACGATGTACCCGGGGCACCGTTGGGCTCGAAAGGTGTTTTGATAGTCCTTGATTTTGACAAGACGAAACCTTTGGGAAGCGCTCCACCGACGCCGTTAAAGACAGAGTACGACCTAGATCCCCTTTGTCCAGGCGAGATGCTTCCCGAAGGCTCTATAGACTTTGATCGGGAGGTTGAACTGGTGCGAACCAGGACCATGGCGCAGCGAAGAGCTCAGGATCGAAACGACACTGTTGCGCGAAGACCTTCGAGGATTGGCACTACACCTGTACAACGATCACGTACTACCGCCAATCCAAATGCGCCACGGCCCCGATTACCCTCTGATGAGTCTGAGGAGTTGACACCGGAAGAGGCACAAGCAATGTTCGAAGCTCCCTATGACAACCAGCAACCTCGATCTCAGATGTCTTTGGCTAGAGCTGCGACTGTGGCAGCGGTGTCACCCGCAAATCGTCGGCATTTGCGCGCACTACCTTTCAGACCCCTGGAATACCGTCGTGCAGACGGCCATCGAGAACTACCACATGAGAGTGATGCAGATAACTGGGTGCCACCTCCACCAGCGTACACAACCACTGCCGCAGCAGCAGAAAGTGTTAGCTTGAGCCATCCGGATGCGCCTCCAGTGCCGCGACTACCTCACGCACATACTTCGTCTTCGATACCGCCCGTCCCCCGATTACCAACCAACATGTCCGCGACTATCGACCCCTCCCAGCTCTCTCCCTCACATCCCTACCAGCAACGTCAGCAATCAATATCCTCTATCGATGTATCCTCGCCACCACCCCCGGAGCCAACTCGCCGTCCCTCTCTCATCCACCCCTCTACGTACCCCAGCCCCCAATCCTCGGACTCAATCCGGCGGCGAAGATCGAGCACCCGCTCGCCACCAGAACAAATGTCCTACACCCCGTTGTCACACACCCCACGTACATCTATGTCCGCATCCGCATACCCCAACACCTCCTCCCACATGCCTACCCGCCGTCCCACGAACGGCAGTACCACTCAACGCGTCGCACACGACAACCTCGACCTCTACGCTTCACCGCCTGTCCCCAGCTTGCCGCCTAACATGCGCCGCGGCTCAGCGCCTAATGTAGCTGTCCAGCGCCGACCCTTACCACCGACTAGTCCGAGGATGAGCATGCAGCCGTATCAGACTGCACCGATGGCATCGATAGCTGCGAATCAGCAACCGAGAAACGCACCCGCGTTACCGCCTCTTGCGCCCCCAGGCCAGCAATTTGTCGCCGGGCAGAGGTTCCCTGTTAGTGCGCCGCCAAGGACAGACCAGGTGCACAATCATCCTTATGGAATGCATAGGGCGAGCCAGAGTGTGGGCAACTTGATTAGTGGACGAAGAGGCTCAAGGGTGGATCATGATGGTGTGTTGGTTGGAGAGAAAGAAAAGAAGGGGAAAGGGAGGAAGAAGATTGGGTGTGTGGTTATGTGACGTGCGTGTGAATAGGAAAGAGAGGGGGGGGATGGACATTATGGATGGATGAATGGCGTGATTATGTTTCTATGATTATATTATACCCATGACCCTTTTTTTCCTTTCCGTCTCGGCGTTTGGGTCTTTGGCATCGGGCTGAATATGAAGGTGCCTCCTGCGAGCAATTGGGCGGTTGAGCGACTTCGATACATAAGCAGCTAGATTGGGACAAGGGAGCAATCCAGGGACTCTGAGAATATCATTTTCTTTGGCTTTTCTTGCAACGGGGTTGTGAAGTCTGGCTTGAAGTATCTCCAGCATGCCTAGCGACTTGGTATCCGTCTCCAGACTGCATCACGTAGAAATGCTTGCAGTCGCCCGTCACTGATCGTCTCCTTGACAGGCACCCTCGCCGATTTCGTAACATTCCTTGCCGTTGACCTCGATGCAATAAGAGTTTCCAACAACAAAGGCGTCCGAGTTCTTACACGACGGGTTCTAGTAATGGTCAGTCGATGCAATGTCTTTGACGCCGCTTACTCTTGAAACTTACCCATGGACCGACCTGGTAGATGGGCAAGCCATGTCTGCTGGCAATATTGTTGCAAGATGACATCCCGGGTTCAGCTATCTGCCATGCGCTGCAATTCGGGACAGTGTCTGCTGCCGCAGGCGTTGGGGGCTCGACGAGATATGCGCTGGCGGCGGATGCTAGCGCGCATAGGAGAATGGAAGCTTGGAGTCTCATGATGATTGATTTCTGATGTAGGTAGAATCAACAAAGATCTGGATGAAAGTGATGACTGCCAACATCAAGGCGATTGACGCATGTCTTATTAGGAGGCCATTTGTTCTCAAAGGAGCTGCCAATGTTGACACGGTCTTTGCGCTGGCTCAATCTCGCTCCACAACATCGTGCATCTCATAGTCCGTCTCCCATACATGGCAAGGCGCGTTGCTTGTCGAGCATAAGCTTACGATTCAATTGGTCCCCAACTTAGGTTTCCAGGAGGGCGTAAGGCGACCAGTCAATTGCGGACCACGCCGCGTACCTGCATTGCAGCTCTAGTAATCGCGCAGGCCGGAAGCGACGCGAGGAAGGCTGACATTCATATCACTACTGCTATGCATTTGTATAGATATCCCGAGGATGTATTCTTGTACTCCAGCACTGAAGACGGTAGGTCTGATGGTCATACACCAACTGCTCTTTGTCGTGGCGTATAATGGGGCCTCCCGCTATTCCGCTGGTGCAGCAAATCTAGAGCACGGGTGAAGTCCCGATGCGGTTCCCTCAGGGCACGATGTGCCCATGATACATACGCGACCATCTAAGGAAGCGGTGCAGGCGGCTTTGACGCATAGACAAATTAAGGAGAGAACTGTCAATCGGTCGAGAACGTCGAACTGCAATCTAGAGTGTCATCAGCGCCGGAACATTACTCCACTCGTGGATCTCGCTTTCAATGTAACCCATCTATGTCTCCTGCCAGTTCCAGTATGCGAGATATATTAATTTGTCCGAGTGTTGATGACTGTTTCGGCATGAAGAACAGAATGCTATGAAAGACGCATGGTCTTACTCGAAGAGCCGTTATGTCATAGTCAATGGTTGATATAGACAGCGGGCGTCACAACTTCACCATAGAACAATGTCAAAGGCTAAGGGGTATAATGGGTTCCATTACGCATCACAATCAAGACCTTTTGGGTATAGCACACAATAGCGCCATCATCTATGCAACACTCTCTCATTCCACTTTAGATACAACCGCCGACCACGACACACGAAATTCGAACCAAACAAGACGGTGGTATACCCTATGAATAAACACCAGGAGTATCATCGGAGAAGGGAAGGAAACGCAAAGCTAGTCATGACATAGTAACATAATCCAGGGGAGACCGGGAAAATGCGCTTATAGCATGAAAGCGAAAGCGGCGGCGGCACCGGCAAAGCCGAGCGCAGCCTGGACGCCAGAGGCGGCGTTGGTGGTAGCCTCAGGGAGACGGCTGGTGGTAGCGTTACCGCCAGCAGTGGGCATGGGGACGGTGCCGTTGGCAGAGACACCAGTGCTGTAGGCAGGGACCATAGCAGAGGTCATGACGGTGGTGGGGTAAGGAGCCTCGCTGGAGTGGACAGCAGATGGGAGAGGGATGGGGGTGTGGCTAGCAAGGGGGGTTGAGGCACCGTAGCCGGGAGCGTAGGCGCTGCTGGCGGCAGGGGTGGAGCTAGCGACAGCGACGCTGCTGGGCTCGATCATGGAGCTGGAGACGGCCTCCTCGCAGTTGCCCTTGGAGATACCGAACTGGGTGGAGTACTGGTACTGGCCGGTGACATCGTCAATGATCTGGATGCCGTATCCGTTGGGGCCGTTGGTGGCCTCGAGAGTGGAGGCAGGGGTCCAGGCGAGGCTACCGCTGTTGGCGATTCCCTCAGCGAGAGAAGGACCGAACTTGACGACGTTGGTGGAGGGTCCCTTGAGGAGGAGAACAGAGACAGTGTTGGGGGTAGTTGGCTGCCAGGTGATGGTGAACTGCTCGCAGGTGGGGACAACCTGGTGGGGCGCGTTAGCTCTGCGGATCTTGTTTTGAGTTTCGCGAGGCGCGCGCGCGCAAACTCAGGGATGATGCAAACATACCTCGTTCAAAGGACGGGTGATGGGGTTACCAGCGGGCTCGCCAACGGGAGCGTGGATCTGGGCAGCGGCAAAGCCGGCGAAGAAGGTGATGATGGCGGTCTTGGAGTACATTTTGAAGGTTGGTGTGTGTGGTATTAGGTGATTATCCGAAGAAGATCGAGAGTATTATGTAGTTGGAAGACGGCAAGTAATGAGTGACTGGTTTTCTGAAAAGAAGGGCTGAAGAACAAAAGTCTTCTGAGGGCTGCAAGATATCTTAGGCGAGGTGAGCAGTAGGAAGAAACAAGACAAGCTGAGGGGAGGCACTCGAACTATATCGATTTCGCGTTCTACAAACGGTCAATGCAGGTACCCCTGTTGCCGGCGCAACTTAAGATTGGTGTTCCAGTCCCGTGCAATATCCCTTGGAACTAGCGCTAGGCTGAATGGACAGCGCTTGGAGGAGCGTGACGAATGACAATGCGACAAGAGATTTAGACACCTCGTATTCTTGTGGGTTGCGGCGTGCTCAGGAGTCTTTGGTGGCTTTACCGGTGAGCTTGTTGGACCATGGCACGGGCTATTTCTGGGTTGTTGGAGATTGCTTCTGGCGGGCAGTGGATGCCTGAGGAGTCAGGAGCGTTGTTCCTGTCAGCCGTCGAACGGTGAGCAATATCGGCGCTTACATAGGCACAGGCACGAAGGGCCGACAGCGCTGCGCCGACGAGATAGCAGTCGCATCTCATTTCTGATTTGGACGTCTGCGACGAATTGTACGACTCGTGTGTCGCGATGCGCGAGCGAGGGTTCTCCGGATTCACGTAGCCCGTGGAACGCGATCTGCTTGCTTGTGCCTGAGTCGCATGCGCTCTAGCTTCAGGTACTGGCGCGCAGGCTGCCGCCTAGAGCGCGCGCCGCCAGTTGCTCAACCAGGCAATGGAAAGGAGAGTTTGGCCACCTGTCGCACCTGTTGCGATGCATCGTCAGTCTTGCTCTAAGCGAGGCTGCACTACGGCCGTCATCACGCAATTTTCCTTTCCCAGACTTGACCAGGCAGGTGCGGGTGAGATTGTAGTTTGACCGGCGCGGCAGGCGCGAACAAGGCCGCCTGCCCGCAAAATTACCGCCTCAACCCCAGCAGCACCCAGCAAAACTAATCTTCTTCACGGCTCACGTGTGTCACGATAATTTGCGTTTGTTTCAATTACTTCATTGCATTGTTGAATATACAGTTTGTTTCTCGTCTCATATATACGTTTGCGCCGGCTGCGCCCCTGCCTCGACCATGACTTCATACTTTGCAGCTCAAGCTACGGTGCGAGCGGGTAGTGTGACTCAGTGACAGCTATATGTCGTGTCAGACAATACAAGTAGGGACAGCCCTATGACGGGGGTCCCGTTTAGCGAGCGAACGCGTCGGGGTATCTTCGAAGCGGTATGAAATTCGTTACATCGTTACTGGCCGGGTGTATAGTATGGGTGTCGAGACGGAGCGAGTGTGTGGTGGAAGAAGAAAGAGTAGGAAGGCGCCAAGTAGACGTCGCATGAACAGCGAGGTACTTAGCCACACTGGCCGGGGTCTAGAGGTTGTCAGCTTCATGCTCATGCAACACCACAAGGAATACTTACACTTTCGTGCCGTTAGCGGCTGGGGGAAGATACCGTTGGCCAGCAAATCTTGCATATCCCATTCGGGTGCGCCCTCGGTCTTCCATGTCCAGAAGATCCAGCCTGTGGCCTTCTCGTAGGCATCCAACTGCGCCTCGATGAAGCGTCCAATGTTGTACTTGTCGGCGCTTGACAGGTTCGCAACACTGCCAGTATACTTGCCAGTGCAGTCACCGACCTTTGAACTGCCGCTAAAGGTACCGTCGTAGCGCGCGCCCTTGTCCTTTCCGTTCAACCACTTGGCGCAATCGGTAATTCCGCCAGTCCACTCGCCAGCTACAGTCCACTTTCCAGTAGATGCCATCTGGTTACCGAAATCGCAAGCTGTCTTGACGTGGTCGTCGATGCTCATGGCAACAGCAGAGGGGTCAAAGATCTCGTAGTGGTGAGTGTCGAGAAGAAGGTTCCACATGCCCGCGCCCCAGTTGCCCCACGAGGTTACACCCTGGAATGCATCGTGGAAGGTGATTGCGACGTTGGAGTCCTTGAGGTTACCCCAGCCGTCCATGTAGAACTGCCTGACGGTGTTCATGTCAAGGTTGGGACCCAGAGGCTCGTTGAGAAGCTCGATAGCTGAGACGGCGGGATGCGACGCGTGATCATCGCGGATCTTGTTAAGGACTTTGATGGTGTAGGCCACTGAATCGCCCTGAGTCCAGCCGACAGAGCCGTACTTGCCAGAGTTATCGAAACCGTTTTGAGATTCGGGTGCGCCGTGGAGATCGATCATGACCTTGAGGCCAGCACCAGACGCCCAGTCGAGCGCCTCTCCGAGCTTCTCGTAAGCGCCTTGTAGGTATGGGTCGCCTTCACGTGGAAGAACACTCCAGTAACCGATTGGGATTCGAACGTGGTTCAGACCAGCAGCTGCCATCTGGTTGAAGTCGTCTTGGGTGATCCAAGAGTTCCAGTGGTTTTGCAGTTTTGACTGTGCCTGGTCCTTGCCAATAGCTGCCACGAGTGTGTACTCGTCCTTTGCGCTGTTGCCCTCGAACATGCTAGGAGTAATCCAGGGCTCGAGGACGAACCATCCGCCAGTGTTGACACCGCGAACCTTTTGGTTGTTGTAGTCGAACATGGGTGCGCGTTTTTGTAGTGGAGACGCGTTTGTGAGGGCAAGCAGGCCAACGGCCGCCGCGGTAGTCCAGGATCCGACCATGATGAAGATGAAGAATGTTACTCAACTAACTGAAGGTTGTAGAACATGCAGTTGTACTCGAGAAGAGTACAAGAAGTTTGTTAGACTGGTAGATCCAAGGTAGGACTTGTGCAGACCCATGGCATCGGGGGAAGGATCTCCCTTTAACTTCCCAGCACAAAGGCTCACAAGCCGCCAACACAGCAACAAAGTTGCCCCAATTTTCTTCCCAGTCATGCTCACCAAACAAGCATGTGTTCGTTGCTTCACGACGTAGCGATGATCTCCACAACACGGAGCTTCATCCTAGCTAGCTGGAAGAGCTATCCTGGACACCACCAAGGCGGTGTCTGGGAAGGCCTCCCAAGGCAACCAACCGCAGTATCGCCGACATCTCACGACTCCGCTACATCGGGACGGTGTGTACATCGTTACTTACTCGGGATACTTGGGCATTGCTGGCAACTGACGTAGTGACGCAACAGCTCCAATAGGGGAAGCAAGCAGAAGCTACCCCAAGCCGCTTGCCTAACCACCATCAAGACTAGATCCGCAAGCAAGCTACGGTAAAATGGACCCTGAAGGCCTCGGCACGTATTAGCATGAAGAAAAAGATCTGGGGTCGGCCGGGTCAAAGGTCAGATGCAGGGTTGGTGCTTGGCGGAAATTGTATGGAGCATTCAGGTACAGTGTATTGATTGGAGGACTGTTTGATGGCGATGATGTGGGGATCGGCGTGTCACAGCCACTTAGCTTCCGAGGCGGTGCTCACGCGCCGGGGATGATCTTTCGAGAAGCTTGGAAGCGCATCCGAGGAGTGTGGTGATACACCGGAACGTGGACGGTGGGCTCTTGGGTTGTGTGCTGGCGTCTGCCAACATCGGCTTGCAAAGAACCTGGTTGACGACATGGGAATGCGCGGAGGTCCGTGTAACCGTTGTTCGGAACACTTCCTTGTAGTTTCACATGCTGTTCTTTGGTACGCACTGAGCATCTGATGTCGTGCGTTCTTCACGCAGGGCGGCTCAGGAATGCAGGCAGATCTGCAAACGGCAGTGTTGCGCGGGGAAGGTTGAAAGAGACCTTCTCCATGGTCCCGCGATCGGCAACACATCCACATGCAAAACACGCTGTTACCGGGCAAAAGGCCCACGAGGCCGGAGGAGTACTTCCAACATGGCATGTAGGTATGATGGCATTATCTGAGTCATCATCGATGTCACCTCCCTCCCGCTTGCAGTGATCTTTGCCTTATGCAGCGATTTTGTGGTACCTGAAGGCGTGTACCTCAGCCGTGATGGCTGGCTAAAAGTAACATCATTTCGTAAAGCAAGTTCCTCCCTTACCTTAATTTCCGACATGCACAACACAGTGTTCTGGCCCTTTCATAGAACAGCAGCAGTATGAACCAGCTCCCAAGCAGCAAGGGCATAGACGTCATCGCATACCTGCTCTTCACCGCACATTGCCAACTTCCTCTTTTGTGTATCACGAGATTCGCCTCCCAGCTTACCGGACGCATATGCAGCTGGCCTAAGTAATGACTTGACTAAGAGTCGTATTTTCCGGGTATAACGTGCAACGGCGCGCGATCGCGAAAAGCTTGGCCGATGCGGGGGAGTTCTGCACGATGCCTTTCCCGGCGCGTCCGACGGTCGGACGTAGATCAACGAGCGTGATCGTCGGAGGCCTTGTGACAGTTGTAGTTTTTTAGACACTCGGTAGTGGGTGCGAGGTAACCATCGTGGCGGCCCAAGGTAGCTGAGGGCGATGTACCCGACGAGCAGCTGTCTGCCGGTATGTTAGGGTACCAAAGTATCTATGTACCAGAAAACTGCAGAAGGCGAACGGCGGCTTCGGCGGCGTCATCGGTCACGATGGCATCGCGATACTTGACACCGGAGATGCGCGAGCGGAAACCATCTCTGGAAGAGGTTAAGAAGCAGTTTGTGGGGTAACGCGTGCCATCGTGAGATTGAAGTTTGGGTCAAGGCGTCGGTATGATGGTGGTGGAGAGTCGCCGTCCGGGTAGTAACGGCCTGTCATGCCCATGTGACTTTCCAACAGTCGGCATAGCATGGCGACTGCATGGCGACTGAATGACGGCGGTATTCCATACAAAGTTTGGTCAGTAATGTCACACGTGTGCATTTTTGACAGCATGATCCGAATTGCAGGTGTTGCAGAAGGCTATTCTGATGCAAGGCAAGGCCGTTGGAAATTACCGAAAGATTTCGCGTGCACTGGCGCTGGCGGCTTGCTCTGTAACGAATAGAACCTGGTTACTAAGATGCGGTACGTATCCAAGAACGTACCCAATGTACCCAATGTACCCTAGAGGTATTTGCTTCGCTTTACATAACCGTGCGTAGAACGCAAAACACACCAGATACCTGTAGGTACTGTCAGGCTCTTCGTATGCGTCGGTATTAGGCAGATGTCATGTTTGCGGGCTGAGGTAAGGGCGCTGCGCCCCCTGGCAAACCTAGGTAGTGAGGGGCGATTCCTTACCCGCCCTGATTGTTACAATACATACACATTACACATACATCGAGACAGCCCGATCCGAGGTGAGCTCCACTTGTTCTCTCGTCTTTACAACGCCATGTGCTCCCATGTGCTGCCATTAGGCTAACGCGCATGGCAGGCCGCGATGGGCAGGCATGCCAACCCTGACATAAGGCGAGCCTTTGAAGAATTCCAAGACCAAGACACACCCTCGAAATGTAATAAAGTACGCTGTCTACACTGCGGCTTCGTGCGCGCAAAGAACACGACGCGCCAGATTGAGCATCTCCAAGACTGCCAGCGATACCTCGCATCCCCCGAGGCACAGTCCCATCTGATCGCGCAGGAGCAGCAGCAACAGCAGCATCAGCCTCCGCCGCAAAATGGATTGCCTGTTGATCCCAGTATGCCCCCGGCTGGGCCCAGCCAGATATTGAATGGCCAACAGCCCAACCCAAACCTCCAAGTGAACCGGCGCGGACCGAACAATAAACGCGCCCGCGATGGACAGCCTATTGCACCAAACATTGCCATGGCACCCAATGTTGCGCCCTCGCTGACGTCGCATCTCTTGACCATCTGCTCGGGGCCATTTGCGCAGGCAACACAGCGACCCTTCCTATCGCACGCCGGCTGTGGATCATTAGGCGCGGGGCCGTTGTCGCAATGGCTCGTACAAGACGGGCACTATGCGCGAGGATACATACGCTTCATAGGGCAGCTGCTGGCCAAAATACGACTGCCGCAGACGCACAATTCGCAGTTCCATCCCATGTACCGCACCATGGACCTTCTCATATCCGCCCTCAACAACATGCGACGGGAGATGCAGTTCTTTGAGATCACCGCGACCAAGTACGGACTCGCAGTGGGCATGGATCCCCCAACACCCATCACGCGCGCCATGCTTGACCTTCTTGTAAGCGCGAGCAGTGCGAGCGCATCACTTCTGGAAGGCATGGTCGTATTATGGGCAAGCGAACATGTACGTATAACTGCGATTCACAAAGATTGCACAAGGCTAATATCTGACAGTGCTACCGCTCCGCCTGGCAATACGCCTCCTCCTTCTCTAGCACCCTCAACAACACCTCCAGCGACTCCCATATCGTCGCCCTCCACCAAGCCCTCATACCGAATTGGACCTCCCCCGCCTTCAGCAAATTCGACGAGGCAACGCGCACACTAGTTGACGAACTAGCCAATATCACAACCACACGCGATGGCAAGGAAGAGATGTCGCGCTGCGAGGAAATCTTCAGGCAAATATGCTGGCTCGAAGAGCGCTTCTGGCCCGACGTGGACAGCATGGGTAACAACAACGAGAGTGCAAATGCAAGAATGGGTCCTCCGATGAGCGGACCCATGAGTGCAGGCTTGGAGAACAACATGCAAAATGGAATGGCCAACGGTCTACCTGTTGCGGTCAACGGAAATGGTATACACAACCATAACCATAACCATAACCATAACCGTAACAACAGTATGCCGGGACCCAGTATGAATAACAATAACAATATACCAACAAACATCCACGGTAATCCCGTCAACGGGCGAAACAGCATGAGCGGTCCCGTTCGCAATGCTAGTATCAACGGACCTCCCATGCAGAATGGCCCTATCAATGCGGCCATCAACAAGCACGACAACACGCCTGTGAACGATAACCGGAATCCATTTGGTTTGCCAAGAAATGGTATGGAGAGTGTGGGCCAGGGCTCGTAGTCTGAGTTTGAGGTCCTCCCGAAGAATGCTGTGTGGAAGTGACAAGAGAGACGCTCGTGAGAATTGTCTTGTTGGGTATACCCTCTGGCGACTGTGGCGTTAGCGAGGAGTTTGGGGCTCTTAATCTGGATAGTGCTGGGAAGGATGCCAATTGTGTTATTGTTTGATAGGGTCTGGGATTAGATGGGTGGCTCGCAAAAGGATAGTGTATGATATTCCAGCCGTTAGAATATAGCATGGAGTTCTTACGGGGTATCAAATACCTTGGTATGGGTCTGGTATAAAACGGTCTGGGCGGAAGAAGGTCAGAGTCTCATTATGTGCTTTAGTTTGCTGCAAGAAGGATCCTATCATGTTCTGTATCATACGTCACCCACTGAGTAGTATTTTTGGAGGTATCTCTTATGGTCATTTTTATGACACGTGTTAGATGTATGTAGTATGCCCCTCGAGGTTCAGCATCTCATGTTGGATCCAGTCGTAAGCCAAGCTTCCTGGTTCTATTCAGACCAAGAGATCTACATCGTGACTTCATTGTAGGACAATCTTGCTGCTTCAGTAGTTATTACATGTACATTCCATGCCGAAATACGTTTTTGCTGTGTCGGTATCATAACGTACTCGAGCGGAGCTCCGAGGGTGGCATAATGTGGAGCCTCATTCAGCTTCAGGCGATGGACAGAGAGTGGTGGCCGGCCTAGTTTTCTTGTGAAGAGTCACACGGGGGTAGTTGTGTCGAAGCCTTGGTGCCACGAACTACTTTGTGCCAAACAAAGGTCAAAACCTTTTGTCATTGAACGACACTACGAGATGTAACAAATGACCATGGCGCACAGAAGAAGACAGTAGCAGAAATGGACAAACGAAGCGCAATTAATGCTGTAAAGACGCTGCGGGTTCTGTATAAAGGCCCACGAAGACATTCGTGATAGCGCCAGTAGAAGTATCGACATACATCCTCCGGTCGGCATCCGGAAACGCGTCAAGAGCAACATCAACGTTTGTACTGATCACCTCGGGGTCTTCGAGGCCGTGAGCCATGGGCAAAACTAGACCAGGATCGCATGATGGAGGGGTCCAGGGGATAGTAACGTATGAACGGTATGGTGACTGGAGTTCTGAAGTATTGTGATCGAAGGAAAGAGGTGGACATGAATAGCTATGTCGGCCAAGAGTAGCATCGACATCTGTGGAACATTCGTAGCGCTCAGGAGAACTACTGCCAGAGGACAAAAATGGGAGAGGATACACTTCAGTTGGAAGGCCAGCTGTATGACAAAAAGATTGATCAGAAAGGGTATGCGCCGTGGTAATAGTCGACTCTGTACTAATACTGCTGCTGCCTGCGATGTATTGGTCGGCTACATGTCTGAGGCACGACATGAAGGCAGCTTTGATGCTCGGTGGTTCGTTCATGATTTCGTTGGTGATTTCGTTCGTTGATAGAAAGTCTAGTGTTGAGTGTATATGTTGGACGAAATCGTTTGCAACCGTCTTGCGAATGCGTTGAACATATAGTTGTCCGATATCTTCAACATCTACGAATGATATCAGTCATCGATCTTATCAGGGTGCAGCGAAAGTGAGCCACTCACAGGGCGAATGGATCGTTTCGTCGTCAGGGAAGATGACAGAATACATGCGTTGCCAGCCTTCCTTCGCGTTCTCACTTTTCTTTGTACGTTGACGGATCCGTTGAGCAGCCTTGGGATCCATCCAGGCTCCGATCTGCTCGCCATTCACCTTAAGACACGTCCTTTCTCTCACATGTATATCGCGCAGAGTGTCGCTGTCGAATTGGCCTAAGCAAATCGGGCAGTAAGGCCGTCGTTCGTGGCGGCGAAGAAGGTGCTCTCTGAGGACGGTTAGCTGAGCTGTCACGCTCTTGAGGGACGAGGTCTTTACTTCAGTCGAGCAAGATTTTCGGCGGCAAAGTTCCAGCATCCGGGGGAGGTGATGGGATTGTGTTTTGCAAACGGGCAAGCGAGTGATGCATCGGGAAGAGGCTCTTTTGACAACCGCCGCCGGCGAGATTGACGTAAATCCGCATCATCTTTGCACCTATCTCGAGCGCTACGCTTTTTTGTAGTCGTCGTGGATGAATATGTTCGCTCAGGAGCTGAGATTGGGTTCGGAACGAAAGATGGAGATCTGTTGCGTTGTTCGAACGGAAAATCTGCGCGACTTGGAAGTGCAGCATCAGGGTACAACGTCGGCCGAAGCTGGTCTGCCATGGCTTCGTTAACAGCAGTGAACTTGCTTGTTGTTATTACATAGCCGTAGGAACTCATGGCAGGTGATGTGTTCTTCCTAGAAAAAGCAATAGGTATGTCGTAGATTTCTCGTGTTCGCAGTACGTCTCATGCAGCCACCTGCATGCTGTAGCTGCAGCTCCTGACAACCCGCATAATGGGAGCGCTCAGCCTTCACCGGCCATTCCGAGAACACCTAGACCCAAGTTGACTTCCCATGCATACTGAAAAGTGGAGCCGAGGCGCATTCGTGTTATGGACATGTCCTACCATTAAGTATTCGGTCAATGAGGGCGTCCACAACTTCGCGTTTTAAATTATAGTGGAGACTGCTGTATTTACAGCGACTCGGAAGAACTGGATGACAACGTTAACAAGCCTTATGACGTATATTGGGCCCTAGACTGCGCCCAATATACCAGCATGCAGTGACAGTGTCCGCGTGGCTTCTGAGGCTTTTGGCAAGGCTATCAACGATGAGCTCACCATCAGTATCCGAATCTGAACAGACCAGCGTGGGCTTCTTTTGCTTCGTTGATGTGGAGGTTTCTAGTCGAGAGGTCGAACCAGTGCGCAATGTCGCTCGCTGTCCTACAATGTTAGATGAAGATAGAGGTCTCATTGCTGACAGCACGCCAAGAGTGTACCGGATATGGCTCAGGTCTTTTGCTTTTGCTATTGCTACTGCGTTCGAAGCACACCGCCAGTCTTTCTGTGGCCCTGAATCAAGATGTGTGCCGTCTTTTGTGTAACCCTTTGTGCTTGCGTTAGGGATCTGGGCCAGATTCGTTCAATCGTGTGGATCCGACGAAGTTCGATTCGCCCCGGCAAGGTCATCCAGCATGGACAGAAAAGAAATGCCAGAGTATCATCGCACTAAAACAGAGTGCGTCCGGAATCAATGGGGCGGTCATCGCCACGTTACTTTCTGTTTTGATGTAGAGGCTTAGTCGCGCATTAAGGTCGAAGACAACTCTCCTGGACTACGGTACCTGCGTTGCTAGGCACTCGTTGTAAGATCCTGGTACCTGGCTCGTCTGTCCTCGCTCTCCCCTTGCCTCACGTTCATCTTTGCCTCCCTCTGCCATCACGCCAACCTCTTTATACGATACGACCATCAGCCATCGAACGAGTCACCATGAGCTTTCGAGAGGCTGTAGCCGCCTTTCTCGCTATTGCGATTACTGGTTTCCTGGACGTTCTTTGGCTGAAAGTCACCGTCGTCTGTTGTCTCAATCACTGGGCTTTCATCAATGCTGCCGGAATCTTGGAGCCAGTCTTTGGGCCTTTGCGAGAGTCTCAAGGAGCATTGGGGCCAACAATATCCAGAGTCTGGAGTGAAAGGACCTGGCACGCCATCCAAGTCGGACTGGGTTTTGTCTCCATGATTCTTGCTGTTGCTCATCTCACCTCGGTAGAAGCGGAACCGTATCTCATCATGTGGGGAGTCTTTGCCCGGCCCGCAGCAAAGCTCGTGGCTAATGGTTCATCGGCAAGGGAGCCAGAAGGATGGTGGCAGGTCGTATCGACGAGGATATCTGATGTTCTCACGAGGTTTCCGCCTTTCCAATACATCCCGAACATCTATAAGGCACCCGTAGTACTTCTTGCATTTTCTCTTGCACTGCTATGGGCACTCTGGTTAGGTCTTGAGCAGATCATGCCATGGTTCATTGTAAGCCGAAACAACTGATGATATGTTCTGGTCGACTAACAATACCAGACGCAGGTATCATTGGGATCGACTGTCATCGCCAGCGACTTACACATGGTTAAGAGAGGCTCTCCATCAGCTGCTAGCTCGGTGTGGGCACCGGCTTTGCTGAGTGCAGCTGTCACGCTTGCATGTCATATTCATAAGACATGGCAGGACGGTCAGAAAGAGATTGCTAACAACGTAATGCAAAAGGCCGTGGTGGAGCAATTGACTGGGCTCGTCAAGCAGCAAAAAGCTATGGCAGAGCAGCTGATTGTGTTTAACAACGAGCTTCCAGACTTGATCGCGCATGCTGTAGCCCAGCAACTGAAAGCAACAGTCAGCCCACAGCCTACTGCATGTAGTGTGCAGTACCACACCTCGAACGGCCTGTCGGTCCTTCCGGTTCCACCTATCATGACATCCGTTCACACTGCCGATATCTCTTCCGAAGTCATGTCTGTGATGGGGTCCATGAGTGAGTCAATTGAGATAGACAGCGTTGTCTGTCGAAAGAGCGAAGACCAGGTGGCATCTACACCACCCCTAACAACCGATTCAAAGATATCGACCAATCGATGCCATGGTGAAGAATGCTACACGCTTGATTGTTCTGCCAAGAGATCCACGGGAGGGTTTTGTAGTGATGAGTTAGAGTCGCCCGCGAAAAGCACCGAGCTGCTCGACCGCTTCCGCCAGGATAAGTCCCGTAATACTGATAGCTTGAACGGGCTCAGCGAAGAGGATGATGATGTTGATAGAGATATCTCTGTGGGATCTCCGTCAAACTCTAGCGTCTGGGTTCATGTCGCCAACCCCGATGTGTAGATAGGCTGGGGATTCTACCAACACTTGCGGAGACTTCGATGCTATGCAAATGCATCTCATCGAGTATTGCCTGGTACTCGAGAATCAGATTTCTGGTGTGTGGAGTCGTTGGTGTACGATGGCGATAATGTATATGGTTGATAGGGTCCTTGGCCGATGGCTCCGATGTTTGTGGCGTGCGAGGATGTTATCATCTGGATTTATTCGTGTACAGCATAGGTAACTGGTGTATGTTCTTATGCGTTCGATGACGGTATAGCCTTGCTTTTGTAGTTGTAATATGGATATCTCTTTGTGAGGTCTTCTGTCCTTGTTCATCTCAACAAACGTCTTCTTAGCATCTCCCGTCGTGTCTATGCCGGTAGTCAATCATTCATGAGTGAAGGGAGCAGCAGAGCGATCTTGATCATTCTCTGTCATCGAACTTGTTTGGTGATTGTCTGGAATTGGATCCTGGGGCCGGATTGAACGAAGACACTTATTGTGAGTTTTTGCTTGATCGAGCTCTTGTAATGTATGCATATGATGTTTCTCGATCTCCTTTCTGAAAGTACTTGTGGAATCGCGCTGTGGTCGTGGATGTATATGTGTGTGAGGAGTGAAAACGAAGGGTTATAAGCTGCTATCGTATCTGACAAAGAGAGTCAGCATTCTTCGAGAAATTGGACAACCATATGATGCACATTGAATCCGGTTCTGATAGATGTTCTGTTGAAGGTACGATCTCTTTTCGAAACTGCTGTTACCGTAAAGCGAGGAATAGTGGCGTTACTCGATCGTGAAGTAACGCAAAAACAAAAGTATGGATCTAGGAACCTACGCGGGGATGGTGGGCCGCAGCAGGAGAACGCCACTATCCAATCAGATCTCCGGTTCGTGACAGCATTGTAGAACGGTGCCGCGGATGCTCACTACCCGCCATCTCATATCGCGAAGTGCGATAAAAAGCAAATTATCGCAGCTTGCGATCTTCGATACGATTGGTCAAGGATAAGAATCGCAGCTTGCGATAATTCTGGCTTGCTCCTTACTGGGTATAAAAAGAGACGACCTCCTTGGCTGTGTGGGCTCCTTCCGGCTGGTATAGATCGAGCTGGCATCTTGTAATTAAGTCCTCGGGAACTATGCCAAATGTAGTGACGCTATCAAGCTGACAGCTCGGGAAGGTTGGCCTTACGTCAATGACTCTTAACATTGCTATCGATTGAATTCACGTGCTGGCTACAAGATGCAGACAAATCGCTATCGAGTTATACCGTGTCATATTCGGGTAGAAGTGTATTTCTCGAACACCTTGTTCGATTGTATGTAGCTGTTTAAGAGGTTCAACATAGGACACTCGCCAACAAATCTTTGCTGTTCTTGAGCGAATATTGAATACCTGTGCGTCGACGACGTGCTGAACACAACGTGACGTGGCTGTTCACGTTACATTCTATAATGAAGCCATCGCCGAATACTTCCGTTTGTGCCCTAGTAGTCGACCCCTAGCTGCAGAGTCAATCTGAAATTCCATCATGATTTGTTTTGTACTAGCTACATGTGTATGTGTACGTGTACTTTCAAGCCGGGTATCGCTAGAGCTGCTATGCTCAGGCTCAACACTGACTTGGAGTCATACATCGATTGTATGGGAGATGAGCTGTGCATCGATCATTGGCTGGAACGGGTTGCTGAGTGAGCTAGCTAATTGGGAGGCTACATATGAGTCTTCACTGCTGAGTTCCACAAGGACCGAAAAGCTGTGATCGATTAAGGCACATCCCGATAATGTAGATCTGATCTATGCGCCTCCCCAACTATAACCGCCACCAATACCCGTGCTGCCCAAGTTGGAACTGTAGCGCCTAAAGCCCTTGCCCATACCAATTGGTATCGAAGATGTCCTCCTGACAATCTTCCGCCGTCTACTCTGCGAACCACTCCTCGTCGTCTCCAAGGCATTAATCGACTGTCCCCGTCCTACCGACACCGACGCGTCGTCTTCGTCATCAGATGCCATAGCCACGCTCGATCGCGTCGTGGTAAGGCTCAGTATGTTTGGTGGCTCTCCGAAATCGCCAAACTCTGATTCAGATATCGCAGCATCGTCATGCCACGCTGCTGTGGGCATCCTTGCGCCTTCATCAATCTCTTCTTCCGTCTCGATGACGTTTTCTTCGTCGTCGATATCTGAGTCGTCTCCGAACCCTTTACCCTCAACTAGCCAGAATGTTGGTATTGAGGCAGCGAATGCAATCGCAGACATAGTCCAGAACGGTACGATGACATAGCCACGCTTGACACCCCAAGTAAACAAGCCGCCTCCCAAAGTGGGTCCAGCTGCTCTGCCAAAAGCACTGAAACTCGTCGCTAGACCATTGATGGTCCCTAGAACACGTAGACTAGGCGCACTGTTCGTGAGCATGATAGTACTAGTAGGGAAAGCAAATGTACCACCCACTCCTCTAACCATCAAGAGCAGCACCATGGCGACTTCCCTGGTGATTGGATCTGGGATAAGCGATAAGAATGGTGTGACGAAGAAGACAAATGGGAAGATGAGAAATGCTATTCGGAGGCAGCGAACGACACCAAGATAGCGCGCGATAGGTGGGAAAAGTAAGAATTGACACATGGTACACGATATGGCAAACACAGTAAAAATGATGCCGATGCGTCGAGACTCGATACCAAAGCCTCCTGCAAATTTCAGAGGCAAGGATACGGTTGGATCGTCTGCGAGTTGTACTGGATGGTGCATGAACACTGGAAGTAGCTACGTTTGATCAGCCATGGTATCTTCAGCTACCAGAAATCTCGTACCTGATCATATGCCTGGGTGTACATAGCGAGCAACGTATACACGGCAAGGTTTAGCGACGTCTGAAATGTCAACACATCCCGGTATCTTGGTGCTTTTTCCTTGACTACCTCATGAGCAACCTCATGCTGTGGTGTCGCTTCACTGTCAAGTATCTTCTGTTGACCGAGTAGCGGCTCGCGTTCTGAATTGCCGTTCTGCTTTTGGGTCGGCAGGTGCAGTATCTTGCGAATGAATGCTATCAATCTAGCCCCAGTTCTCAGGCCCAGGTCTGGTGCGTTCTTCTTGCTTTCCAGAGTTTCTTGGAGAAACAGCCAGCCTATTACGATACCCGTAGTGAAGAATGCAGCCGCTACAAGGTTTGGCAAACAATACGGAAATTTCTCCAGTAAAGCAGTGCCTCTGGGTTTCCGAGGATCGACACCCAACGGGTTGGCTAGGGCTCCACCTAGGGTAGGTCCAAACGTGGCACCCACTGTCCAAACCAAGGGCATGACACTGAACGCTCTCGGCTGGAGCTCTTTCCATGGGCACAGCTCTGCAACTGTAGTTCTGAGGATGCCTACATTGCCGTTTGATAGTCCTCCCAGGGCGCGTGCAGCCAAAGCCATAGGTAGGTTGAGCGAGAAGCCCCATAGCAACATTGTCCACATGGTGTTGAATAGTCCAAACAATATGATAGGTTTCCTTCCATAGCGATCGGATGCGGCACCCCAGACGAGGCCTGTGAAGCCTTGACATAACGAGAATGCCGACGACGAGATGCCAGCCCAGCGCGCGATATCATTTTGAGGAATACCAAATGATTCCATAAGCTCGGGCACGTATGGGAAAACGGAAGTGAGGGCGATGGGCTCGGCAAAGCGGCATATTGCTATGGTGAAGTTAGCAAGCTTGCAGAAGAGGACGCGTCGCGTGTACGTACATAGAATCACCAGTTGTTTAACTGGTAGCCGGTGTTCTGTCATGGCGGCGGTGATAGCGAAGGATGCATGCTAGTCAAAGCCGCAGAGTGAAGAGAAGAAGAGCAGGAACAGTCACGAACGCTCATGCTTGCTCGCATGCTGAGTCCACAGGAAGGGCGCACCCCGCAATCACAGCTAGCCGCTCGTGGTCATGCGCTATTTGCGGTGAGCACGAGTCAGCTATTTCCGTGTCCGCGATGCGCTGCTATCTATTCCGAATTCCGAACGATGCGACTGCTGGCGCGATGAGGTTTGTTGTCGTGTGATGGCGTTGAGGGTGATGGTGATGACGATGGAAGAAAGCCGACGCGACAGTCGTCATCGGCTTGAAGCTTGGGCGGAGTAGAAGCCGCCAACGAACAGTTCCAGGGTCCACGTTCTTCGTGGGAACCACCAACACCATCACGAAGCGCTTTACCACAACCACTACCTATGATACTCGGTACGCGTTCGAAAAAATCCCCCCCAGCGGTCTACAGCACGAAGAACATGAGGTCTTCCAGGTAGCCAGTTGAGCTTTCACGATGCCTAAGCCACGGGAATAGCTGGAATACCACCGATCATTCGGCCGTCCCGTGTTGACACACCGATAAAGCTCGTATTACTATCGTTTTGTTGAGATGACTAAGAGCTGAAACCTTTTCTCATCTACTTCCGCTATTTGCACTTACTTCTCGCGCGTTCCTATCAACACGTCCAACGATTTCTCTTTACTGACTGATATCAACATATGCATATTTCGACACGGATTCGAGCGATCGACCTGTTCATGTACTATAAGCGACCCGGCTTCCGTCCTGGCCAATGTTGTACAGGGTGAAGGCGTTTTCTTTACATCTTCGCTGCGCTCCTAACAGGAGCCTGACGGTGGCTATCATATATGGCCAGAAGATACCGAGAACGTTCATTCACGATGCTTCCTTTGTCCACCGTCTCAAGAAGCCAGAATTCTGGCAAAAGGCCATTTCCTAGCGGGCAAGGTCCAAGAGCAAGATCTTGGCTTTGTCACTTCTTCACAATCGCATCAAAGATGTTATCTGCCCAACTGGGTGTCCACAACGTGCTTGTAAATCAGAAGCAGGGTAAACAATGTCAACTACCGCATGGTTATATACCCTCACTGGGTCAGATTTCATTTCAGCGACGGACATAACGATATTGAACAGCATTTCAGTCATGGAGGATCAATTCGCAATCGAGACCACATCAGTGTCGTCGAGCCAGCAGAACCAGACCAGCCAGATGAGCCCACCAAGGGATCAGCAGCTTCAGCAAGCAACGAATCTCATCGCCATCGACATGAAACTCTTCAAGGAAAAGCTAGACGTGGACTGTCGTTTCGAAGTATACAAGCAGGCATTTCCTGAGATGGACCCAGCCAACTTGCCTGAAATTCTGTACCGTCCAGATAACAAGGACGATATCCACATTATGTATAGTACGCCATGCATCAAGTACGAGGGACTTCATCCGCCTAGCATCCTGCCACTTCCTTGTGACCTAGACAAATTGAGGCAGGACAGTACCTCGGAATCAGATGAGGAAACATCAGATGGCGAGACATCAGATGAGGAAACATCCTATGAAAAAATCTCCGATAAAGAGTGGAAGAAACGGAATCTTGAGAACTGCGATCGGTGCATCAGCCGTAGTGAAAACCAGATCTATAGGATGCTTACATCGAATTTCTGCAAAGATAAGGACATACGGAAAGAGCTACTGCAGTACTACTTCCGGTTCGTACAATTTCAATGGACTCAGAGTCGTGACAGAATCGCATTTTGTGAGCCGAGTTACTCGCAGATCACCACATTACCGAGGTTCTTCAAGGCGTTCCAGCCATCTGGCTTGACTGGGCAGCTGAAGCACCTTACCCTCGACATTCCGTGGGAATATACGTACTCTGCAAAAACATCAGGGAACCGCCGCGACTGTATACGAAGAGCACCATTCGACGATGAAAAGGCATTCCAGAAGGACGCGTTGTCCATGGGTAGAGTGTTCGGTGTTCTTCACAAATATAAGATCAAAACCGAGTTGACTTTCCCGGGAACATGGGAGTGTAGAATGCCTTTCATACTGCGTGTAGAGGAGTTGTGTAAAACACATTTGCGGCGCGATGGACCAGAATTCTGGAAAGAGCATAATGAGCAAGCGGAAAATATCTTCTGTCATGATGCTGAGCTGCGTCGTCTTGCGGATGAGTTTGTTGCGAATGAGGCTATTCTGACAGGAGGGCGTGTCTACGCTCCAATCAATTTGATACCTTCCGCTGTTGCCTACGACATTGACTTTAGCCAGTAGATGTGCGCTCCGGGTATGAGCGTCCCAGTGCGGTTCAGACGGCTAGAGTTCATACTCTTTCGTGAGAGTCCAGCACAATAGTCAGCAATATAAGTATAATCTCAAAATCTCCATATCCAAATGCATTTTAGGGGTGAACGGCAGTCTAGCTCACCAGTAACCTTGAAACGACCTGCCATCTTGCCCTTCAAGTTTGCGAACAGTCCATTAGGTGAATATTAGCATGGTCTTTCTGAAATACCGTCTAACGCACAACCACATACGAGACTGCATAAAACTAGATAGCATTTGCGAACAAACGATTTCCAAATTGACGTCGACCTATGTATACCATAAGGTTTTATCCGCTCGATCAGGTCTGCGAACAGTCTCAATAAGGCGATATGATATCCATTGTTCGAAAGGATCAGAGAGTGTTCTCTTCTATAGTATATTCCGCTCATAATTCTAGGTTGCTAGACGGCTTGCCCGTTTTTCTTGATGATAAATAGTGCGTGCCTTCAAACCGGAAGAATGTTTACCGTCGTATACAGAATCAATAGCAAGAGCAGGAACTTCTCTCATGATACACCAGAGTCCCTATACTTTTTCTTTCTCGACTGTATGGCCGCACTGACAAATTGAAGCCGATGCAAGTGCTACGAATACTACGTCCATTGCAGCCCAACCTGCGATTCAAGCACGATGCCAAGCACAAATCGTTAACGGGTTTCTATCGGAATCTGTCGTAGTATGCACAACGTGTTCGACATGGGACAAGCTTCAGCGGAGTATTGGAACTAAATTTAGAGGAACAGGTCTGTGAACGCGGGCTGTTCGGTGTATTCGGTCGGCTCTTCGGCGGCGGAGAAGTATTGAAACGGTATCTAAATAAATCGATTCTTCGGCAAGGCCAATATGCCGAGAATACTCACACGGAAACATGTCAATATGGACAAGGTCATTGAGAAGCATACACATACATGGAATGCTTTGTGTTGATTACGTCGAGGTTCATGTACGCAACGCATGAAGTATACTGATCAAGTAACGCATTGATTATCCGGTCATTCCAGGAGGTCATGAACAGTCGCAATGAATTATATGAGCATACAATTGCGCTAAGAGCTCCATACAGGAGCAGTCTATGGTGTCATCGAAGCTCGTCAATACAATGATGAGGAAGTGTGGCTGGGAAGGACCCTCGTTACGTCATGTGAAGCACGGACATCGCCCGGCCATCAGTCGGGGAGAAAGAACCACCACACATCGTCTCGAGGCTTTCTTGCACTTCGCACAGCACAAACGGCAATCATCTTGCCGCTATATCAAGCGTGTCAACATAGGACACGACAGCGCATATGAGAAGACTAAGCGATGCTGCTGCTCGCTTGGAAGTATCCGCCAGCAATACCGCTTCTGAAACGCGCCGTTGTCTGGCCTGATGTCTCAGGCATCGAGGTTGCCCCTTGATAGTACGCGGCGAAAACTGAGCGCTGAGCAAAAATATGTTTTGTACGCTCTGCTCAGTAATACTGTCTGCTGAAGCTAAAGCGCACAATGTTTGCGCTCAGCTTCGACCAAGTATGGCGCGCGCCTCGAGCGAGAAGACATCCTTTTGGAGTGTTCATCTGAATCACTGGAAGAGGAAACTTGATCTACTAACAGCAAGTCTGTCAGAATCTACTCGCCTACAAGCCTCGACGACCAACCGTACGTGAACACCTTGACTATGGCGCCCGAGGGGCGGATCACAGTGGAGCCGTTGCACCCAGTCTAGCAACTATCAGCCGGATGAATAACATTGGGCGACAGCTGCACAAGCAAAATCGAGAAAGAGCATGTAGCACAGAGCGTCCGTTCCCGGGCTGGGCAACACCCTGAGGAGATGGAAAACTTCTGCTGCCGTCACTGGGTACGAAACAGACAAAGTGTACCAGGAACAACACACAATTCTGTGCCGATCTTCTCGGAGAGATTCATCGCAAGCCCAACATCGTTCGGGATCTGGCACTGGAGGCGAGCGTTGCCTATAGTGCCCATCGTTAAGTCTCTCAGTCAACAACGCATGCACGGTAATATCCACCTATCAATAACGGTCGTCTTATTGCGCGGCGAATGATATATGACAACGCATCATCAGTGTGCTATCGTCAGCGGTGAGGCGCTATCGACCAGGCTTGGACCGGAGGGCGAGTGTGTTGGGTCGCTCGCTACCAGATCAGGTCCGCAACGTGCCTCCGGTTCAGTGATGTCTCGGTCGTCCCGAACGCGCGTTCGCTCATGGGCGGCTTCCACCACCGTCAGACTGTCCGTTAGGTGCGAGCAACGTTGAGCGAGTATCTCCGCAACTTGGCTGCTCGTGCAGCACCGCTGCATCATGAGTGGGTACCCTCCAACAATGTCACGCCAGTGTTGCAACGCCGTTGCCAACTAGCATGTACAGCTGGCCATACTGAAGCCAGTCATGTGGACTCACCCAGCACACTCAATCTCCCTTGACGACCGGAGGCGACCTCCTCTGGTTGACGGCGTAGCCGTGGGATGCCCCTAGCCGACGAGATATCTCGCCCGCGACAAGACTGCAATTGGCCATCAGCAGTGGATTCTGTATTCTAGGAGTGTTAGACGCAGGACGAAAGAGCTGGCTGCCCCTTTCGCAACAGCAGCGACTACGGTGGTGGTGAGGCGCCCACCTAGCTTCCGCCTTTGCCAGCACTCGTTGCCGATCTGAAGGAAGCTATGAGGCCTCTCATCAAGGAACTTTCAGGCGAGACTACCGCGAACTGTTTCGACTGTTTTCTAATCCTCCGGCATTTACACCCGTCAGATTGTAACCCTCTGTTGTGACCCAGTGTCACAGGGGCTGCCAAACGATATTGCGGACCTGGACACCGCACTGAACGAAGACCGCATCCAGACTCACCGCAAGCGAAGCAAATCTGTTGTATCGGTTAGTCAAGGCACAGTCTATCTTACCTGGAGTCGCATAGGTTACTGTCATGGTGCATACGCGAGCAATCGCGAAGGCGGACAGTAGCCGCTGACTGGCATCGTTAACACTATCATTCAGGTCGAAGTGCCACAAGTACTATGACAGGAAAATGTTGTGCGTTTACTGCCAGAGTCCACCAAGCTTCCATGTCAAGAGAATCTTTCGACCATAGAAACATATATCATGTGACTGAACCTTCACCACTACCTAGCGGAGATTGAACAACATCCGCGCTCGCTTGCGTACAGGGTACGAACAGAATTCTCCAAGGACTTGGAGAACTTCGCCAAGCGTTTACGCAAAGACCATGCCCTGCCGTTGTGGGAAGCGGAGCTATATCAGTTCCGCATATAGCCTATGTACCTCGCCTCACGCATGACCCGAAAACAAGCAACTTTCGGCGACACTATTGGCTATGACTCCACTTTCTATTTTCCACATCCCTCCAATAGTATATTTGCGGGCCGTTGGCGGCGGAGCTGGCGCGCATACGCTATGTTGTGGTCAATAACTTTATTGACGCATTCAGAAGCACTGGACAGGAATGTGGCCAACAAAACTATACGCGACGCACAACCAGCAGGAAGAGCCGCGGCTGGAACAATAGAGGTGGTTGACCATTTACCAGGCTCCTGGATCTTTTACCTCTTGCCTCTGACAGTGCGCGAAAGATGCGGGATGCGGCGACGGCAAGCGGTTGACGGTTCAACGCTCACCGGAGTATTACTCGCACCCGCGTTCGATATCATCCTTCACCGATTGACAGGGAACGGCGCACATGCGGGTGTTCACAGCGCCAGTGCAGCATCGCGCAGTAAGGCACCGAGCTAGCACGTCCTTGTTGTCAATCGCCGCAGTGGTGCGATGCAAATATTGTTTGTCAAGGTGACCGGTCAGACTTCATCAGTGTGGGTCAACTTCAGGGATCGAGGGGAACTTGAAGTATGAGTTGGCAAATGTTGCAGGTTTCACGAGAAGCGCACTATAGTTGAGACTCGTTCATCCTGGGAAGGAATGACGTCGCCTGTCTGCGCGCGACAACGTTGCTGTTGAGCAAACCACACCATATCAGCCAATATGTCTCAAGCGTCAGTTTCATCACAAGATCTGTTGAGACGCCTCTCTGCACGATGAGCTTGTCTAGCACATTCACCTTCCATCCAGATCGATGGCCGTGGATAAGCGAAGCGATGCTAGACTAGGTCTTCACTCGAAGACCTAGCTCACATACTTGCAGTGCCTCTATGGTTCTCCCCACATCCCGATAAAGCCTATATCCGCGATGCATCTGTAAGCGATGTCCCTTCGGCAGCAAAGTTTCTTGCCGATCATGAGCATACAATCTCCGCTGTTCGCCTCGCTATTGTATCCTTATCCATCAGCAGATGGTAAACATAGCAATCGCCACCTCAGCATTGGAACATGAAACCGTTTGCCACTGCCACATGGCAGACGAGGATGCCACTACCAGGAAGAGGGCACAGCGTGAGGCTTCCCAATATCCATTGCAGCGGCTTGCCGATCCTTGATGCTTCTCTTCCTTTTTCGCCATCGGCGTATCCCGTCGTCCCAGTTTGTGCGCGCTGTCTCTATTCGCTAGTTAGATCAACGGCCCCTAGCTCCCGAAAGAAAGCGGAGTACACGTAAGTAGACGATCGCTATTCCTACCGTGCAGTGATGAGCAGAAAGAGAGAACCCATGGGGGAATGGCGGCAAGGGATTGCACAGTCAGGGTGCATGGAAAGCTCTTAACGAGAAACGTGTGTCTGCGGCCATCCCGTGGAAGTGGTTATATCGAAAGCTTCTTCATCATCATCAGCCCATACCTACGTATGCCTTAGGTGGCGATCGTCTTGCGAAAGGTCAGCAAAAGTTCACCTCGCCCTAATCCAGCATATGCCTGCCTCGGCATTCTCGTTACGTGCGCGTGTCCACACCCTGGCTGGTTGTTAAGAACATGGGTGGTTATGGCACGGCCAGTAACCGACAAGCTGAGTGCAGAAGAGGCAATCTTAAGACAGGGTTCACCGGATCGTGACTGCACAAACGGTCACTACTGGCTCGGGTTTTGGACGAGTCGGATGCAAGCCAGCACATATTCCTGGCCTCCCAACATGAAAGACTTTTCTTTTCTGTCTCGTCTATTGCTAGGCGATAGTAATCAAGTTGGGCGCAGAGGTGTGGGTATCGAAGCATGCCCCTTCATCAATATCCATCCTGAATAATCCCCAGGTCGCATCGCATCCGTTGTACGGAACAACGGTCACGCACTCTTGGGCATCCGCACCTGCATCCGCTTTGCATATCTCACTTGGCCGTGGGCGTCATTTGGCGCAACAGTAGCGAGGTGTGTGCGGGAACAATCTATATATCAACTAACCCGGGTATTACGACAAGGTTCACCCTTCCCGTATGCGGCAAGGTCAGCACGCGCTTTGTTAATATCGAAAGTATGATCGGTTGCCGAGGACATGTGTGTATCTTGATAATGGGGGATAATGCCTTGGTGTCATTAGTTTGAGAAGGCTGGGGAGCGTGGGGAAGGATAGAAGTGATGGGCGAGCGATGGATGTATGGAAATCGTAGGTTTGGCGGGTGTGAGTAGTGATGGAATGCTTGCTTAGGCTGTCGACCAAGCTTGACAGTAGACAAGTACCAGCGCAGTGACTTGACATGTGAATGCTCATGAATCTGTTACTGTGGCCTTGAGATCATATCCGCGCAGGCTGTCAACACCACAATAGCATGGAGTTTGATTTTGAGCATTGATGCTGTACTCACCGACCACAACTCTGATGACACCACCATCGCCTGGAAAGCGTCATGCCTTGAACCTGTTCTCTCGTGATAATCTTGAACGTGTGACATCACGCCTAATATCCTCACCTCATACTCGCGGCCATGCGCGTCTCAGATCAGAGTTCGAGATCTGAAACCAGTGTTGATGAGACAACACCCCATAAAGGCCACATACTCCGCATTGACATACGTTCATGAACACGATGCACATAATAGCATTCCAAATTATGATATTAAGTGCGGGTTATGATTTACATAATTTCGAGAAGCGCGATCGCATATTGCGACGACACGCAGGTATAGTATTTGACATTAGGTTCGGTAGTTGTGCCATGTGGCATACATGCATTACGACGGGACGTATGAGATACAGATGACGACAGATTACAAATGTGTACATCTAGAATAGCGGGCAGAATAGATACGCGCCCTCGTCTCGGAGCTTGTAGTACACTAAGAAGGTTTAGAGGATCAAGGAGATGTCTGCAAAGTAGTGTCGGGAAGCAAGCGATGATTATGTATGGAGGAAGAAGATGCAATGCGTGGTAACAAGTAGAAGTAGATGACGATACCGCCAGTGTACAAAGGAAATGTGTAGTGATGGGGATAAAAAGACCAATGAAAATGCGCCCCTTCCGACTCTGCCTGGGTATCTTTTCCTTCTCTTTTGCTCCACTAGTTGACACGCCACTCGAGACACCAACTGTCTTCCTCGCCGATATCTTTCTGTCTGGAAACGCTGGCCGACTCTTTCTCAATGCCGTCTCCCGTCAACTCAAATTCTCAACACCCCACAAATGATGTTATCCCAGCCTGAACCCAGTATCTTTCCCAACGCCGCCGCAATGCTGGACCCGCTGGTAATGTGTTGCGCGTCGAAGGAACAGTTGTTCGTCGTGTCCAAAGTATGCAGTTAATTGGTTAAAGGAGTGTATATTTGAAGAGGAAGGGTATACCGTGGCCAAAATCGTGGTACGTCGTAAAGGAAATATGTAAAGGGATTAGAATGTTTGTGTGTGCCCCCAAAGAAGTATTGCAAATGCCGAAATCGACCCCAAGGAGGGAAGTTTGTGACCAGCACGAACTCCGCAATACAACTTGTCTCCGCATGCGCTCATGCTATCTGTTTAGGTTCTTTTCTTTCTTCACCATGCACGTAGACTCTCGAATTGGCCAGCCAATCCATCGCAATTAAGGTCGGTCAGTCATTGGTAATTTGCGCCTGGATCGCTTGGGCCAGCGGCCATTTGCGACGAGGAATAGGTGCCCTGGTGTTGATGTTGTCGGTGTGATTCTTCCTCCTCCTCTTCCTGTGCAGCCATCTCTACCGCCTCTAGTTGCTCGGCCTTGTCTTTGCACGCGGTAGGCGAAAAGCCGCTGCCGACCTTCGAGGAGATGATGCGCCAACGGTCGTTCTCGTACTCCTGCATGGCGTTGCGAAGCTTTACCACCTGTATTACCGGTTATGGTTAGCATGTCGGAGATTGTGGATGCGATACACGACGTCGTGCGTTTCATGACTAGGGTAGGGACTCACCATATCATCCGTCCAGACAGTGGTCTTTGCTTTGAGCTTCGTGCAGTACCGAACTTGGAGTGTGCCAGAGCTGCGGCCAGGGAAGAAGTCGGCGATTTGCTTCCAAGTGAGGTTTTTCTTCTCTTTGAGATCGACAAGTAACTGGTCGTCTTCGGGCGTGAACTTGAGCTTAGGGCCGCGGGGTCGTTGTGCTGGTGGAGGCATTCCCTCTTGTCCTACTACGCTGGGAGGACCATGATGTTGAGCGGGAGAGGGAGGTGCGCCCTCCATTGGGTGATGTCTCTTATTGCGATGTGTATTTGGTAGATGATGGTGATGTGTGGGAGGTAAAGAGGATTGTGGGGTTGGCGGCGGCGGGTATTGTTGAAGGGAGTAACCCTGCGTCGCGTGTTGTAGTGAGACGCTTCCCGTTGCTTGGGCGTAAGGATTGAGTTGCTGCTCTAAGCTCGGAGGGAGATCGTGTTGCAAGTCGTCTTGGTGGCTGCGCTTGCGTCCGGCGGTTTGCTGGGGCGGCGGTGGGTAGCCCACGTTGTAGGAAGATGGAGAGTGTTGCGACATGGAGTGATGGCGCAACAGATGGGGTTGATGTAGTGAATGTGTCTCGATGTCTGTGTAGGTAGGATGGTGGCCGGCGCCGGCATGTTGGAGTGTTTGAGACTGGTGTGGCTGCAGGAAGGAGTGAGGGTGGTAACCCGGAGGCAGTCCGGTATGGGAATGGAGGACATTTTGATGTTCGACGTTTGAGGTCGGTATGTGATGTTCTTCCCCGGCATCGCCTGGTACGCTGTAGTCGAGGAAAGGGCCTCGATAGGGACTCGCCAGTGTTGCGATCACGCATGGAGACTACCAGAGCTAGGTTGCTCTGGCAGGCCGCCGCAGTGAGACCTGAGCCAGAAAAAGGGTGCCTTAGTTTGAGTTGATGTTCGGAGTTGCGATGGCTGTATCGCACGTGTTTGGGTATTTCGAATTTTTGTTATATTGACAAATGTTGGAGCAAGAAGAGCTTAGGGGAACGCGCCATCGGTCGAGTCTTATCGCGTGTGTTAAGCGTCTGGGTTGCGGACTATAGGTAGTAGCCTTGTAGGGAACAAACGAAAAGTACCTATGGCTTGGGGTGGTCGTGGAATATAAGATTCCTGCCTGATGGGAGAAGGCATTAAAAATTTCGGGCAGTACGTCCCTTCAAAAGCCCGGTCCGTCTTGTGCGATTGCCACACGGACACAGGATCCAAGCATGTACAGCAATGGGTCGTCCCCACGAGACGCTCTGTTCCTGAGGAGCACCAAATGAGTTAGTAGGGAAGGCCCAGGGACTGATTCTACGTCAAGCATAATGCGGTGATCAATGACAAGGAGGGGTCCCCCGGCACACGATCTGGACGAGTACAATGCTGCAAGCCCTAGATCGTGAGTGGCTGCTGATGCAAAATGAGATGGGCATGAGGTACTTCGCCCGGCTTGCGAGGGGCCTGTGGGGCTCGGGGCGTGCGCGGTCCATGCCATCGTCGTTTATTTCTAGAATGCCGCCAGAAAGATCTCCAACGCCGTTGCAGGCGCTGCAGGAGGGATCCTGGCGCAGCGTGGTGGCCAGGAGATGTGCATTGAGGAGGTTCTGAATCGGCTAGCGACACGGCAGGGGCTCGAGGCAATTCCCCAAAGAAGGAGCGCTACGAGTGAACGCCGTATGCCAGATTGATTGAGACACAGTCTATCAGACGCGGAGCCAGGACCGCGCTGGCGGGAGAGCTACTCGGGTCATGCTCGGAGGCGAATGGGTCAAACGGCCTGTCAGAAGCGTGCCGTGACGATGATGGCATTTTTCATGGCAACTTAATGGCCTACCGCACCTTGTGCCTCAGTCGACGGCACTTTATGCCTGGAAGAACCTTACCCGGCTCAGGGCCCCATGGAGCATGATGGTGCTTGCAAAGAAGCGGTACTCGGATCAGGGCAGGACAGTTGCCTCTGCCGGCATTTACGCAGCCGTAGCACCCGCCTGTAAGCAGTGGGACCGAGCGATGGCAGGGCTCTCGGTCATGGTTCTCTAACGCATAGGCATTACCGGCCTCAGATTGGCTCATGCGTGGGCCGTTTCAAGGTATAGAGTCAGGCCCTGCCCTATATGCGCTTCGTCATCCCCCATGAGTTGGGATCTACCAGCCACAGAAATGTCCCGACGCCCGCATTGGATGGCGCACTCCGGCGTACTGCAGAAGTAGCGGGCGTACGGAGTGCTGGTGGCGAGCAGAGATGGGCACTGCGGAGAATATTGATGGATTATACCTGAGACAGGCGCAATGTGCTGAGCATGGCGATTGAGGCGGTGGTGGTGGGGAAAGGAGCGCGCAAGCGACTCGAACTCGACGTGCGACGCTAAGATTCGGGAACGATTCCACTCAAGCGGCCGGGATCTGCCCGCCTTCGAGCCTCGCATACATCTCATCTCTCGACTGCATGGCCGACATGGCATCGTGAGTCCAGTGCGCCACCCATATTGTCGCCCTCAGGCCCGCCATCCACGGCTGCGCTTACTCCGAAGTTGCTACCTCATCCTTCCAGAGCCTGGGTACCGAGGCCACCACCAACCGCCTCACGTGACGAACGACACGAGAGACGCACTCCCCGGCTGGCGGCTGGGTTTCCCCTGCTTCTGCAGCCATCGCTATGACCTCACCGCCGTCTCCATGTGTGACATTCAGGTCTAGCGATGGTCTGCCAACCTTCAAGTACTCGACCAACGGCGCATTACCCATTTAGGCTGTTGCAAGCCATTGCGAACTATAGGCTCGACGGAGATGCACGATGCAGCCCTCACCACGCTCCCTCTAACAGACGGCGCAATCCGCGACCATGCTGCCATGTCATGTGGCTGGCGTTGTGAGCGGAGCGCGTGCAGCGCACGTATATGGTGAGTAGAAGCGCGTCGCGTCGAACCCTGTGGGCGACCAAGCATCCCCGTCGCGCAATCTACTCTCGACCTGACGGCTACGCCCAAGCGCGTCTTGGACGAATATCGCGCCCGTTGCGATGGTTCGGTAGCATAGCCGGAGCGTTCGTCTGGTAACCTGCGCCGTTACACGTGGCCATCGTAGCTAGGATCGCCTACAACACCGCTGATCGCATAAGAAAACTGGTGATCATCCTCTGCGCAGTTGCTACACCGACACCAGGCCGCCTATGTGTACTACAAATAGCACAGCTGCTGGCCGCATCTACAGATCGGCATGCGGCAACACGGAGATGCAGAACGTTGAGGTGTGGCGAACGCGACGAAACATTTGATCGAACCGCTGCAGGCTACCGAAACCAACCGTTCGTTGACGTGAAACGATAACACAAGCAAGATCGGCCAATGGCCTTTGAACAAACCATGCTTTGGGATGCTTCCCCCACGTTTGACAGACGGTTAGGTCATGGGTAGTTTGCCGATTATTGCTACGTAAAGATATCCGATATTATGTCCAGGATGGAACCACCCTTAGCAAGACCATTACCCGATTCTGAAGCCAGAGAAAAGTCAATAACAGTAGCCAGCTTTGCCGAAACTCCTAAGCATCTTTTGGGAAAAGAGGAGGCGACTAATTCCTTGTGCCTCCGCTGCCGAGAACCACGTCCGGAAACACCAAGAAGGACGAACGGATGCCCACAGCAGTTTTGCGCGTGCGATGCTCGATCAAGATAGGAAAGCTGGTATCATAAAGCGGGCCCCACCGCACTAATCCCGGGAAGATGCAGACTGTGATCATAAGTGTCGTTCAGTACTTGCCGCCAAAATTCTCTTTCGCGTACTGTTCGCATGCCTGGTGTACATCAGTACGAGCGCTTGCACACAAGAGAAAACATGTAACAACAGTCGAGACATACTTTGGCAGGTTTGCCGACCTTCTGTCCTATGACCTTCCATTTGTTGGCGTCATACTCCTTGATGGCGGCAAGCAGCGCAGCGCTCTTCTTACTCATCAGCACACTCTCTATCAAACATCACAGTAGCTTCTAACTCACTTCATCTTCAGCAAACTCGGCGTAGTGCATGTCCTGGTAGGTACGTCAGAGTGTGCGCAGTGGAACGACGCTTATACCATGCCTACCTTGTACCAATGTTTCTTCACGCTCCCTTCTGTCCGCTGTGGGAACGTCTATCATAGGCTAAGTCAGCTAACTCTTCTGCAGGATCACGGCATTCCAGATATCCGGGAAGGCTTCCTCACCTTTGCAATTTCGCTCCAGCTATTCCCAGCATCTCTCATTTGTTTCAACCTCAATTCCTCAGCTGGCGTCCACGGCGTATTTGTCCGACTCTTCTTAGTCTTGGGCTCCTGCGTAGCATCGACATCAGCTGCTGGAGGCAACGCTGCACTACTTGCTTGCGCCTCTGCGCTATCTGATGTACTGGCCATCTGGTCTTGCGACTGTCCGAGCGTTACAGACTTGCGCTTCCGGCTCGTGGGAGATGAAAGTGGTGGCTGAGCGCCAGGGTGAGCTTCTTGATTTGCCGTAGTGAATGACGCCGCTGGTTGTAAACTAGGCAACTCTGGAGGCGCAGAGTATGGAACAGTTGGTTGCGGATTCGCTGCGATGGGCGACGGTTTCAGGCTACGCTTGGTGGATGGTGAAGAGCTATCAGGGGACATAAGGTCAGCACGTACGGCAAGGTACCGAGTAGGAGAAGTATCCCAGAGTCGCAGGACGGGGGCAAGATGAGACGGATATAGTGAAAAGACTCACGACATGGCTGCAGACGGGGCGATAAGACGTGGCCAGGCAGACGGCAGCACGAGACAGCTTCACTGGGGAGAACAGGATGCGCCTATAGAGTGTAGTGTCATGCTCGTATATTACAGCTTCAGGACACTTTCAGAGGGTACGACGGCCAGACTGAAGGCAGTCGATCATCATGATATCCAAGGAAGCAAATGGCCTGTCGGTGCGAGCGCTGATCAAGTACAAGGGATACAAAGAGGGTCAGGTTGGCATTTGACGAGCGAATGGGAGGATGGCTTCAGCATGATGGTGGAGGACGAGGGCGACGCTGTGAGGTTAAGTGGCCGGGTGCTAGCGGGGGTGGGCGCCAAAGCTGGGGATCTCAAGTAATGTCAAGTACTAGTACTTTTGAGCTAGTGAATTGAGGGTGGTGGTCGAGGTATAGATACGCGGGGACAGCTGCAGACAAGAAGCGGGGTAACAGGCTCTAGGGCCCGGCTCTGATGAACAGGTGGCTTTGAGGTTACGGGGACAGCAAGACGAGTGCTTAGAGGGCAGCGGAGGTAGATTGCGCAGCGCGTGACAACTCTATGCGTCTCCAGCTTCATGCGAGTGATGCGGAGCGCCCCCGATCGGGTGTCGCGACATGATGACCGTGTATTCATAAGGGCCAGCAGTGTCGGCGGAACTGTCGAAGAGACAAGTGCATGCTGTCATGAGTGTCATGACGATTCCCATGCAGAGTCAGTCGAGTGACCCGACATCATGTCACCGTGGAGTCGCTACCAACGCATGTAGAGTGCCGTAGTCGTGATGAATGACGGAGTTGCTGACGGATGGAGCGGGGCAGCGTGCATTGACCGGGCGCTCTTTCCTCGAGTAGTCGCTCGTGCCTTCCAACTTCATCGGTCAACAACACAGCGCGCGAAGTCACAATCGTCATGGCGAGAGTCGCACAAACACGACCACATCACACGTCTCCTCCATTTTCCAATCCATCTCACCAATATCCCCTTCACCGCTCATAGCGCCTTCACCACTGCAGAAATCGTGCTGCAATTTAGCCCGACTTCAATCGTCGCCGAGTGCGAGCCATCCCTGTCTTCTCCACACTGCCACTGCAGCAGCGGCTTGCAACAGTCGTGCCAAACAAGCAGCCATTACGCTCATCACCACTGCTGGGCGCGGGGAAGACAAAGGTAATCGACGTCCTGATGCTCGACCAAGGCCATCTTTTCGTCATGGGTCTAGGTGCCTTTTCTACCAGGCTCCGCTCCGCATTCAAGCCAAGCTCCTTCTCCAGTTGCCTGACGCAGCGCCAGTATCACTACAAGCCACAAGCGTTTGAGGGAACCGCTCTGCCACAGCCTTACCACTAACAACCTATAGCAGCACTTGTGGCCTGCCAAGCGCTTCGGCCTTATGAAGAGCCTGACCTGTTGATGCTGTAGGCGGAACACGACCCATCCGAACGTAATCGTTTCGTCCGTCTCACAGCGTCGTCATCTGCATACTTGTGTGTTGCGAATTATCTCCACTCGTCGTGTACTCGGCCCTTTTACAATGAGCCTATTCTCTGGCAAATGTAAGAGATATCATCGTTGATATTGCTCAAAAGCCCGTCGCCAATGTTGTTTGTCACTGCAAATGGTAGACCGCCGGTGCACAGTCCTCCCCGCAGCCTGTCACAGCACCGACTGAGTTAGCGCCCGCCGTCGCTTCGGCACTGGTCGCTGCTTGTTTCCAGCTTTCCAAACATTGTCAAACCTCGCGCTCCTTCAAACCTGCTCCAAGTCCGACGCGCGCGGTTTTGAAACTGGCCCCGTAGCCCCGATGAGGCTGAGAACCTTATGCGTCCCGCTCTAGATCTTCAGAGCCCCAGGCAACGATTTCGTATGCAACTTCATGTCCGTTCCACTTCCGGCTTAACATGTCTCGTGTCAAGGTTCTTCTAAACATTTTGGCTGCGAACGCCGTCTATGCCCCATGGCGCCGATCAGGAATCGAGTTGCAGAGGCGACGGTTTGAAAACGTTGCCAATCTCAGAAACTGCCACTGCTAATCGACCTGGTCTGTGGACACTGACCGACCCGTTTCTTGACCACTGTCCAAACTCTATAATTACTCCGCTGCCCCAAGTTTCGAGGCCTCAACCGCATCTGTTCAATCGGCATCTGTCTTTTGTTTTTTAGCAGCCTTGTAATACTCTCGTTTTCTTCCCACTGGTTTGGGCTGCACTACATTCACTTAATCAACATTGCTGAGCAATTACCTTTTTACCGACACACTGTGTAATACTTTCTTTTCAGAGCCAGACTCGATTACGACGAACAGACATCCCTAGTGGACACGACTCAACGACTCCTACTACCAAGTACAACTATCATCAACAAGAACAGCAACATACTATCACCCCATCAACACACTATTGTCATCATGATGCACCATCAGCCCCAGATTCTCTCTCCTCTCCCAGAGATGAACTCGCAATCCCCTGACCCTTCCAGCCTCCGTGCTCGCAAGATGTCAGCCGGTGGTAACAGGTCTTGGTCTGAAGAAGAGGTATGCCAACTATGTCGCACCTACCGAACACTTGCTAACATTGGCTAGGAAACCTACCTTCTCCAGACTCGCATGCAAAAGATGCCCTACAAGCACATTGCAGCACATCTCAAGAAGACCGAGCTTGCATGCCGCCTGCACTACCACCAGCTCTCGCACGGTAGCCATCGCCGCAAGCGTACCAACTCCGTCTCCTCCAACGCTTCATGCAGCTCGTCTGGTACTGCTCCAATCTACTCTATGGCTGTCGAACAGGATGCCTACTCTCAATCTTCTCGCCACAGCTCGCCTATGAGCTACTCTGGCAGTCCCCATGTTCGCGCCAACTCCATCACCACCTCCCCAGGCCGATCTCAGCACAAGATCCTTCTTCCCAAGCCTCGCACCCTCACTCCCCGTGGTTCTCCAGAGCCATTCAACGGTCTCCGCATCAACACCGAGGTAGCCCATCAGCCCAAGATTGTCGACACTGACCGCCTCCGCTCCATCTACGAAGCCCGCCGTCAGCAGTTCTGGGCTATGGTCGCCGCCGACTACGGTGCGGATGTTTCCCCCGCTCAGCTCGAGGAGATCTGGCGCAACGGCTCCAACGCCGTTCGCCCTCCTACTCCCGATGCCTCGCCCGATGGTAGCATCATGCACAACCCCATGTTCAAGCCCAACCCCTTCCCGACTTACATCTCGCCGGCACAGAGCGAGCCAGCGAAGCACTACAGCCCCATGAACCCAATGGATATTAGCGCTGTTTCGGCTCCAGAGCGTATGCCGTATGTGCTGCCAATGCCTGTCCCTTCCTCAGGCCGCGCGAGGGCTGGTACTTGGAGCTCGGCGCCGAGGGACAACATGCCAATTGCTAGCCTCCTCAATGATGATAGGAAATAGATATTATTTCGTCAAATTCCTGTACTTGTTGAAATCTTTCCATGGGCTTTGGGATCGGTATGGCACAGGCAATGACTTTCTCCACTTCTCTACTTTCGTTAATTCGCTATTCAATCAACTCTTTTTTTCCTACCATCTTCTTAACGGTTCGGTGGTATATGTGGGAACTGGTATGGTATGCATGGTTATGAGACATTCCACGTTTCGGATTATCCACGCAGGAGTTGTTTACATTTGTCATTCTGGGCTTGGCGTACTTGGGTAACTTGCATCTACGCGCTTCACTTTCTCACGATAGTTCGGCATTCATCTTTCGCGGTACTTGTTAGCGGTAGTGAATGGAACAAAAAATATCCACATTTTCAATCTCCACATAGCTCTAGACAACTCATTGTGATGTGTACTTTCAGCGAGCATTACCCTTGCGCATGTTTAGTCCTGATATCTCGCTTGCGGTACTTACCTTCTTAATCCGGCCTGTTAAGCGAGGGGTGTCAAACACGACAGTCCACCTCACCTTCCATACATTTGCATACTCGTTATTCACCATAGTAGGGTATAGTTACTACGTTGAGGAGTTTGACTTCAAAGACTGCATCTGTACTAGGGCTATCAAAAGATACTTTTCAACCATCTGGACCACTTGCATAAAAACAGCATAAACCACTTCCAAGCACGATACGGCCACCATCATGAATTTCACATACTTAGGTAACTTAACCGTTCATCAACCGATCTTGACAGCGGCAGCCTTGTGACCCAGGCCGCCTATGACAGCAAACCGTACCGCAACCTTAAGGCACATACACCAGCTGCCGTCCGGTGAAACAGCAACGGAACATTCCGTTTCGCTGTGCGAAGCGAATCTTGCATCTAGATTTTCCTTTCCAACTAGTCGGCCGTTGAGATCGTTCGCTTGTTCGTTGCGGCGACCTGACCAGGTGGGGTGCGTGTTTGGTAGTTGAAACGTTTCCCACCGCACTAGGTGCTTTTCGCAACGGTTTGGTAACGGTACTACGGGTAATATTGTCAGCTGACATGGCAGATTGTATCGTGAAGCTGCCAACTTTTGTTTGACGACGACGATAATCGAGATATGTGGTTCGAGTTCATGCATGTGCGGCCAAATGTCAATGCGTTGTGGTAGTGTGGTTACACGTGATGAGGCAAAGTGGATGCCAACATACGCGTCGTCCTTCGCACTCTGCATGTCGCCAAAGAGTACCGTCAATCATGGCAAACCTGTTAAGAATTCCAAATAATTCATCTTAGTAACAAGAGACATGATTTGCGCAAAGGTTCGGCATGCCGTGTTCCTATTCTTGAACACAGACCCCATGTCAGCTTTGCACATCTCCCGCCGTCCCGCGAACGTCATTTGACTCGCTCCCACCGATCCTATCAAAAAGCGCCACAGCCCGTCCGTCCGCCTAGCATCTTACCAGTGCGTTTTGTGTAATTTCCCAAATCTTAGGAAATTCATGCCTTATTGCCTGAGAATCCTCCCATGATCCTTTCCCTCGGATCCCTGCAAAACACGCCATCTCATCGACCAAAGATCCTTTCGTCCCATCACCTTTCCCCACCAACTAGCTCAGGGCCCAAGCTGAGTCAATTTCCATGTCCCTGGTTCACTCATATGCCGAGTTCTTATGCAGATCCACGCCCCGGTGAGTGTGGTTGGGCCCGCCTCTGTGGACACTTCAGGGTGCGTTTGGCGATATTCATGCGAACTAGGATTGAGACCTAGTAGGGATCTGTGAGCGCCTTAGTTTCGAGGCGCATAAGTGTGGCGTGTGAGCGATGGATGCGCGCGATGGAATGGAAGCCTTGTAGGGCTGATAGAATTTTGCTGTATGCAAGTCTGAGGGGAAGATGACGTAGAAGGAAGTAGTGACTTCGGTGATATCCGTGATGCGTGTGCGTACATGCATGAGTGAGGGGTTCTGGAAGTGTGACCGAAGCTTAAGATGTATGCATGGGGCGATGGGGATCGGTATAGTCGCCTGATACGTACATAACGTCCTTCTCCGGATCCGGAGGATGGTTGTCGGACCGTGTAGTAGTCGTTGGGTCAATCGGCGCTCGTGACTCTTCAATGCGACGTAATCGCTCTGACTATCTGGGGTCATGTTTGGCCGATAGTACTCCCGAAAAAAACATGTGAATTGTGCAGCGATTGCGGCCCTTCTCATCAGGGGTTGGATTGTGACACCGTCTCTTGCCTCTCTTCCTGACCAGTCTCGTTGTTTGGTTGCGACCTTCTCCTGTCCTCTGGGTCCTGGTCACCCTTTCCGGCCTTCTGTTGATGCTTACCACTTCCCTCGATATCATTCCTTAGCTCTGCTTCTTCTTGTGGGTTTTCTGTACCCGTCGCGCTGTACTCTTGGTCCATACGATGCATAAGCTCTTCGCCAGGTAGAAGAATACTTCGATCGATTGCTAGAGGCAGGCCACGATGCCTACCACGCAGCATCGCAGCCATCAACACGACTTTGCTCAAGCTCGCAAAGTCGCCACTTAGACTGTAGTTCTTGCCCGGTACACCGAGGCTCAAGCCGACAGTACCATATGCCGATGTGACTTCAAATAGAATAGAGAAGATGCTGAACCCCGGATCTGCCTTGTTGATATGTCCTCGCTCAATGATACATATCAAGAAGAAGACAAAAAACTGAAACCAGATGTCGTAGGAAAGTTGTTTTTGTAGATGTGATGCGATTCCGGCAGCACTACTATCGTGCTCCTCTAGTCCAATCGACTTCTCTTCGTACGTATTCGTTTTGCGCAGCACCAGCGTCATCGGGTAGATGGAAACGTACATGATGACTAGATATGCCACCAAGCACGCTGGTGCGAGGGAACTCATGTTGATGATGTATGCGCCACTGGTACGTAGTCCGCTAGCCATGAAGAGACCATCCACTACCCGAGTGCCAGTGGAGAGAGCTTCAACGTCTGGCATGCCGATGTTCAGAATCTCAAAACAAAGCCAGGCCGTGATGTCAATGCCGAGTTGGACAGCAAAAAGGTATACTGTTTCGCGTTTCGGGAAAAGGTATATGAAGCAACGTCGTGGATGTTGCAGGAGAAATTGCATCGTGTTCCTCATACGAGAATCTTTTGGTAACAACTTCTTCATGATCCATATAGTAATGCGAAGTAGAATCGGGAATTGTGTCTGACCAGCGAATGCCAAACATGCCGCGGTAAGTAGGACAAACCAATTACCGCTGAAAGGGATGAAGTTGGCATTGAGCACATTGAGTCCACCGTTGGCAAACTCAGTCACTGTCGCAAAGAACGCCCACCATCCCGGGTTGATGGCACCTGGTTGGTTTTCGTATAGTGTGTTCTTGGTGTCGCCTCGATATGCGTATGGTAGTAAGAAAGTAATACCCAGTAGGTACCAGAAGATCTGGTAACCGACTAGGATGAGCAAGAGAGTTTGAAGTGCGCGATACTCTACACCTCCGAGTTCCATACGATCTTGCTCGCTAAGCTCTCGAAAACGGCCTTTGGAGTCGAGATGAGGCTTGAAAGAAACGTAGTCGTGTTTCTCGGGCTTCAACTCTGTAGAAAAGCGATCCAGTATGCGACTGAAAAAGTTGCGAGCTGACTTGATCTCCCATGGCGTTGGTATAAAGCCAAATCCGGTCTCGTAATGAAATGTCCTTCTTCTAGACACAGGCTTTATCTTCACGTGCGGGGACTCATCTTTTCGTCGTTGCGTACTCTTTCCTGCTTTGTTTTGTTTTCCGTTCGCTCGCTGGCGCACGCTCTCAGCACTACTGCTGCTCTCGTTTCGATCCGAATTACTGTTCTCAATGTCTCGCACTAGTCGTTGCATTGTATGCGAATGCTTGACGACGTCTGCCATTTTCTTGCGGAATAGCGCTCTCCTGATCAGCACCACAGCCGTCGAGACGAAAGGGATATTGCCAATCATCAGCAGAACGGCGAACCAAGCCTGCTGAAAGCCGGAGAGATCTCCGAGGTCAACCGAATTGAGCCCTGCACCAATTAGCCTAAGGCTTTCATTATTGTTTGACGGAAACACTTACCTGTAGTGGTCATAGCACTGCAGGACAAGAACAGCGCATCAGTGTAGGTCAAGTGCGCTCCTCCAACCTCTTTCGGTCCATTAGCAAGACCCTGCCCATAGACGATGACCGACGAAATTGCGATGACGATGATGAAGTACAGCATATGCGCGCGATAAAAGTTCAATTTGAAAACCTCCTCTCCCAAATACTTCAGAAAATCATTCTTGACCTGTCGCGGATTGCGCAGCTCCTCGATGGGGTCGTGCATCTCGTTGTCGTCGTCGAGCCGCAGCCACGACGAGTTCATAATCGGCTCCCGTGGTGGAGTATATACTTTGCGGTATTTATCCAAGACTTTCACTAAAGAAACTACCGGAATTCGTGGCGTGGTAAGATAGCTGGACCTTGTAGCAAGTAGGCTGTGTTGCTGTGCTGCCCAGGCAAAATCATGAGGAATGATGTCACCGAGCTGTCAATAACGAATCCCGCGGCGGAAGCGACGCATCATCGTGGGCGCTACAGCAACGCTTTGGTCGATCTTCAGGTCCGCGGCGTTTTCGATTGGTTCTCATACTCACAGGTAAGTCGGTGTCAGATTGCACGTTGTCCCACGCAGACGTGGTGGTGTTTCCGCAGCGGTCCGGAACATGTTGTGATAAGATGCCGGAATTCCTGTGCATCCGAACATGTTTGCTGGGATTATCCATACCGTGCTACATCTCAAGGTCGGGCGTAATCATTTGGTCCTCTTGTGTTCTCGCGCTCGATTTGCGATTCGCAAATAGTTGGCTACAGTGCTGTCGAATTGGACTTCGAGTCGATTGATTAACTGGTTACGCGCGCGAGTTCACTCCGATCACCATTGATGCATGCCGGGCCATGCCACAGCCATTTTTTGAACGTGACACAATTGGAATACATATCCGTATGATTAGGCTAAATCTTTGTGAAGCAAGATACATTTTCATGTGAGAAATGAAGCGACGTACCCGACTAAAACACACGCCAATCAACGACCCGACTTCTTAGAACGCAGTAACTCTCTCCCACCGTTCTACGCAACATCTTCTTCCTCAGTCGTAACAACTTCGATCTTCCCTTCCTCAAAAACCTTCCCCTCTCCGTTATTCTCCAGTATCTTCTGCTTCTCCTTACTGACGACCTCTCCATCCTCATCCACCCTCTCAAAGACAACCCCGACACTACTCAACTTCCAATGACTCCACCTCATCGCCATCTGACTCCACCCACCTAAACTACCAAAACAAGTACTAATCCCCACAAATCGCTCTCCCTCCACTGCCTTCCTAACCCACCAATCTTTGCACCCTGGCAGTCCAAAATAGCCAACACGGCCAGATTGCGTAACGAGCTTAAGAGCACGATACTGATGCTCGATATGGACTTCGGTGATGGATTCGTTATTCAAGGGAAAAACAATATTGTCTTTGTTATAAGATGGGTTAGATGCGCCGGTCTTTGGGTCATATTGTTGTGAATTCTGGCTTAAGAGCTCTGACCATAGCTCTCTAAATGTTTCCTCGAGGGGATTCATGTCAAGTGTCCAGCGAGGGTGTTGGGCTGGGGCGGCAGTTTGACAGCCGACGAAGGAGTTGTAATTGCTGTAGATCTTCGTGCGGCCAGAGTTAATGGCAGCAAGTTCGTGGCTGGACTGGAATTGATAGGATGAGAATGTCGTGTTGGTGCATGAAGCTTCTGTCCCGGGGAAGGGGCTAGTGATAGGGCAAGTGGTCGTTGTTGCACTAGTCGATGGCACCGATTCTTTCGCTGATTCTCCATCTACTGTCTGATTGGGCAAGTTATAGATGGTCGCTCCACCAGGCTGGAAGACTTCAATGCAGATTTTGTTCCATAGGAAGATATCATGCGATGTCATCTCCTCGGGTGGGTCGAATGGTGAAATGCGAGTTGATATAGGGAAGAGAGCGTGATGGTAAGAAGGATGTGACCATATCGGATAACGTCTCTGCTGGTAAGGAAGGCGCGTTAGGTTCTTCCAGAATAGCTGCTGAGTAGTGTCGTATTGTAGCCGGGCGGTTAATGCTGAGTCCAATCTGGAAGCTTGGAGAAGACCGAGGCGTGAGATGGCACCGTTCTGGTAATGGTGTCAGCAGCGGCTTGCGAATGAGAGAAAACACCGTTATGATATCTAGTGACTTACCGAAGCAGTCTGACCTGTTAAACCCACTAGATACATGTTGTCCAACACCAAAAACGGCCTTTGAGAGGTGGCAAGGCGGTGATTCATTACAGACTTTTCTCTTCCAGTAGTCATTTTTATCTATCTTTTATCAGTACCGCTGCTCGTGGGTAAGTATAATGCAAGACGTACCTGCAAACCTCTGATGAGACAAGTTGTGAGTGACTTTACTTCCTCAGGTCTACCATAAGTGCTCCAATCGTAATTGCGGTTGTTGCGGCTGAATATATCAATCTCGTCGATGTCGCATATGATTTGGTTGATCCATTCCCCTCGCTCGATATGTAATGGACGTCCTAAGCTCCCCTCGGCACTGCCAAACAGTCGCCTTTGTCCACCCAACGTGATGGAGATGCCAACTAAGAACATATTTTGCGAAGGATCGTGTCGCCAATACGTGTCGAGGACGCAGGACCGATGACCAATCTCATACCATGCGTGAATGAACTGTGCAGAAGTGGTCTCCGAGTCATTGGGTGACGGGTACATTGTCATAGGTGTGGACAAGCACACGGAGGCCTTCAAAATCGCCTTCGCTTCCTCTGAATCTTCTGGTTCAGCGGGCTCGACCGAGGCTACTAATCTCTTATAAAGCGAGGCTAGTGGTTGACAACACTCCCAGATTCTGCGTCGGTTCGCTATGTGCATAAGCGGTCCCTGATTCCCGATGTCGGGATGGGTCAGTGCATCAGACCAAAGAAAGAGGCTTTTGTAGTCGGTTGCATCGGTGCTGGTATTCTCGACGAAATGACCGAGTTCGTTGAACCATGGCAAGATACGAACGTGTATCATGTGTTGCCAGAAGGCAGCTTCACGCGTGTAGCTGTTGACGTGGTAAGAAGCTTTCATGAATGATAGCATGTCCTTTGTGTCCATGTACCCAATAATTTCAAGGAGAATGTCGTATGGGAGAATTTGGGTCGGGTCGCTACGGACTTTGTTCGATAAGTCCAAGACCTCCGTAGCTCTACCCAGAATAGAGCCGGATAACAACTCTGGAATCTTTTCTATGAGAGACGGTCGAGGACCGGGATCACATACCACGTACTCCTCGCCTGGGACGTTTACCCAGAATTGTTCATGTGCCATGCTATACCCATAGTTCACGTCCAGGACCGGTCTTTCATCGACCAGGTGGGCTCTCATAACCTCCCACATCACATCTTTGTTGACTTCGTGTCCCTTTTTAAGTCCCACGCTGTTGGCAAGAATGTTGAAGCAAGCCTCGTGGAAAGGAAAAGCCATGTTCTCCTCCCCATCGGAGTACGCCGTGAGGTTCAACGAAAATTCACCAGGATCGTTCGGATCTCGTCCAGATTTCTTGACATCAAACCCGCCGAGTCCTCCGTAACGACCTCTGCCAGAAACATAGGCTTTGGGATTGTCACGGTCAGATTCACGATTGAGAGCCAGTGCGCGGCTCCGATTGATCCAAAGCAAGTCTTCTCGCAAGATCAATCTAGGGTCGAAGCTGTCCTCCTCTTCCCAGTCGTCAACACTCTTTAGAAGGACCTCATCGAGCTCAAACGATAAGTCAGAAGTTTGTGACCAACTATCACTGTCTCTTTCTTCCGTAGGCTCGGGCTCGGGAGTGCGGGGTCGCATAGCCACATCTGTAATCTCAGTTACTCCCGCAAGCAGGTCGAAGTCGTTGGTGTCGACAGACTCTGTATCTTCAGAATATTCAGAATTCGAGGTTCCGTGCTCATCCTCAAAGTCAGAGCCTGTATCATCTTCGGCTTGTTCTTGCAGTTCATTGAGCCGCTTCTTGATGACTTCGTCGTCAGGCGCATCTTCCGCTCCGCTGTCATCATCTTCACTCTCGGCTCCCGACGAGCAAGAGTTCTCTTCAGCACTCGTGTCAGCTAGCCTCCCCGTTGCTATACCAACATTGCGATCCCTCTTGCGTAGATTCTTTTCCTTCATCGAACCAATTCTGACAGCCTCGATATCTAACGTGCCCGCGCACAAGATACAGTAACAGTCGAAGGAGCCCATAATAGACAGGTAAGGCTCTAGAAAAAAAGTGAGATCCTGGATACTTCGAATCGAAGGGTGAAGCGGTCAATTAGAGTAGAAGTGTTAGGGGTTATATTAGCCAAGTACGGTTAGCGCGCCGCCACTATCTTCACTATACCCGAAAGCGTGACTGCAGCCTTACGATCCCAGACATGATTTAGGCATCACACGGCAAGATCCGCAACGTCCACAACCATCCACAACGGGCTACCCACAAGACATTATGAGATGGACAGGGGGATGACTCGGAAAGCACAACAAAGACAGCTTCAGGACGGGATGCAGGTTGAAAAGCATCCACCGCCGCAGCGCTTCTTGGATTCTTTCGATTCAACAACTCTATAAAATAGGATCGTGAGCATTAATCACAGTATACAAGACAAAAGACAGAACATGACACCGGATTATGGGTAGGATAGGCATCTATAACAGCCCTCCAGAGAAAAGAGAACTCACGATTGTGCATCATGGAACTCATCCTCCTGCTGCGTCTCACTATCTGTCCTCCGTAGAAGGTCGTCCTTTCGTGGCTCTGGCTCTGGGTTTGAATTAAGGAGTTTGCTCGGCGGCAGTTCACGCGAGATGACCTCCCGGTTCTCGGGTGAGATGGTAGTGGGTTGCGGCATGGGCTTTTGGAGAGGTATCGTTGGGGGGTTGCTAGGATCGTTGGGGATGCTGCTGTTTTTGGAAAGCGGAGCATGAGTGGTTGTTGTTCCGTCGAAGTTGCTGGGAAGACCTACGCTCGAATCTTGTTGTCCTGGCATGACTGCTGGCTGTGATTGCACACTTGGGGGTTCGGATGGCACGGGCTGCAATGTTTCCGTAGGTGTTGGCTGTGCGGCCTCTTGTGGCTGCGGTGGTGGTGCATCATTTGCCCGCGAGGGAATGTTGAACTGCTTTTCTGGCTTTTGACCGGGCAAGATGGCATATATCTGCAGGATTTGTTTGACGACCTCATCGGGGGTCTTGCCATCACTAAATTTTGTCAGCACTTATTACATACCCAAGGACGATGAGTACTGACATCTTGGCGTTGATGATCCAGTCAAGGTCTTCTTCGCCTTCCTCAGGACCGCCATGACCACCCTTTACGCGTCTGAAAAGCTGTGGGTGCCAGTCCACACCCTCGCTGTTTCGTTTCGCAGCTTCCTGCCTCTGCATGTCTTCGATCTTAGCCTTAGCATCGGTTGCTACATCCTGATCTCTCCGTTTTACAGCCTCGCACACATCATGCCAGAGCTTTTGCGATTCGCGGTCGTTTTGTTCTTCCAGAGGTCGAGCCGATGGTGGGGTGTGTTTAGTATGTGCTGCATCGAAAAGTAGCTCTTTCTTGCCAGTCTATGAAAAATCAGCACATATGCGAACAATGAAGCAACCGAGACCTACCGTCAAGTCCTTGATGTACATCTCCTCGTTCCACTGGCCCGAGAGTTCGTACAAGTTCTTCCCGCTAGAGTCTTTGATGTAACCACCAATGGCGTTGTATGTTCCACTGAAATAACCCTTGGTCTTGAATTCAAGATCAGCAGTTAGTCCTGTCTCAGGGCACCGGATGTATGCGTGGTCGCCAAGTTCGTACTTCATCGTGCCGAATAGTATTCCGCGCGCGTACATGTTGGGTTGTGTAACGAAGCTGACTGTAGTGAGCATCGAGACGTTTGATATCTGGGCTCGACTTACAATCGTTCGCCGGTATTCAGCAGCCGCAGGACTGCAATACCCTCCATCATACTCGCGGCTGAGTTACCCAGGAACTTGCTTCGGGGCTTGAGGGTACCGTCGATGCGGATGTTGTGCTCGGGTGCCATGAAGAAGTAGCTCGACTTGGGCGGATGGTGCGACGTTTGTTCGGAGATGTAGTAGCCCTTGGTGCCGTCCGGGTAGTCCCAGTAACCTGTGAAGATCTCACCCAGGATGGGGTTGAGCGGCTTCTTGACTCCCCTAACTCACATCAGTTGTTGCTTATGGGCGCGGGAACACAATAGATATGCATACGGGGGCTTGATGTGCCAACCACTCAGGTAAAACTTTGTCACTGCTACGAATCGCTGCACTGGGTCGTCGACCTTGGTAATGGGGAGGAGTGTCTCGGGGTGTGCCATAAAGCTACCCAACGGTCAGCACTGCGACATGATCATACGTAGTACGTGTAGGAGTACTACACACTTTGTTATGCGCTCCAGCATCGATCGCGGCTCGAGAATAAAGGTGGGAAGCGTCACGCGGCTCAAGTCGGCACCAGGTCGCAGTTGCGATATGATGTGAGAGAGCATGTTCCCCTGCTCCGAGTCCATGACAGTCTCGTCCTCCTTGGTAGTTTCGTCGCCGCCATCGTGTCGTCGTGTCTCGTCTATCGAGGATCCGCGGCTACCTAGAAAGTTGGGCATGTATCAGCCTCAATTCGTGCTGGAACAGAGTCGGAAGAGTCGGTACGACCGGAACAAGGGACATGACGCACTGTTGACCGACGACCGGCGGTGCTTGGAGACTATAGGGAGATGCGGCATCGTGATTGTTCGCCGCAAAAGTGAGAGAGAAGGAGAAGAGGGAGGAGCAAGTCTTGGAGGCGAGGTGGCTAGGACCAGGCAGCCAGGTATCGGCAGAGGTTGTCTTGGTGCTTCGGGTGCCGGCGAGAGTGAGCTCTAGTCTCAGCAATGACGATGGGCGCTTCACAAAAACTAGCGACCCCGCGCGTTGAACTTGTTTGGCGGCAAAGTGTAAACATCAACAACGCTCGACCGTGGAAAGAGCATGCAATGAGGGGACACAAAGGCCAGGCGACATGGCATACAGTCTTTTGCGCATTCATGTGACTTGCCCTAATATAGAGATCGCCAGGCTGTGTTTCTGCACGTCTGCTGCCCCGCAGTCGGCACATGTCAGTGCACCATACGAAGTACGCGACACGCGCATGCGGCACGGCTCGGAGCAGTCTTTGTTTCCGAATACTCTCTACCTGCGATTCCAGGAACAGTGGCTTGACATGGAGTGGAGCCCGGGCCGCTTGTTTCTTCGACGTGGACAAAGTACCCGGTTCTAGTACGCGTCTGCATTCCGAGTGCGCCGGCGCTGAGAACTAGGAAATCATGACCTCGATGCTCCCTCAAATCACATGCTGTCCTGTAGGATACACGCTATCTGAAATTCGCCATTCGTCTATGGAGTGCTGGGTCTAGTCCAACACGCTCTCGCCAGCCTTCCCTGCGTCTTTCGCGTCCTGGTCCTGCGTCCGCTGCGCTTGCTCCTTGACCTTCCGCATTTGCGCGTCGTCCTTACCTATGACCGTGACTCCGGTCTTCTCGTATTCCTTGTGAACCTGTTCCATCGCTGACGGATCCACCGCCTTCGTCGCGTCGCCCACCACCCACGTTTTGAAGCCCTCCTTCTGTGCATCAATCGCAGTGAACTTCACGCAGTAGTCGGCTGCAAGGCCTACTACGTAGACGTCGGTGATTCCAGCTTTGCGCAGTGTGTCTGCGAGATTGCTCTTAGCCACATGACTCTTGAACGGATCCGCAAATGCAGAGTACATCTCCACGCGCTTGTCCTGGCCCTTCTCGACTACATGGTCCACTTTACTGACGTGGAGCTCGGGCAGCAGCTCAGAGCCTTTTGTCCCCTGCACACAATGGTCGGGCCATAGTCGTGTTTCTTGCGTCTCGTCTGGGTTCTCTGGGTTTTTGATGACGAACGTCGATTCGAAGGGTTTGTTGTTCGGCGCGGAGTGATTCGATGCGAACGAGATGTGATCTTGGGGATGGAAGTCTTTGGTCGCGACTTTGAGAACAAACGGATACGTAAGGAACTCGTTGATTGTGGGTACGATGTCGCGTCCACCTGTCACTGCCAGTGCCCCGTTCTGGACTTATCAGTACGAGGCCTTCTCACCACACATGGCCACTCACTGGTGGGCAGAAGTCTTCCTGCACGTCGACAATGACGAGTGCTGGTTTGAAGGCCATGGTTGATTAGCTGTTCGAAAAGAGGTAAATAGGTGTCAGCAGGAGGATCTGTTTAGCAGTTGGTGGGAGTAAGAGGTCTCGAGGTTAGCAAAGATAACGCAGTCGCACAAGACACCTTTATAAGGATTCCTGAACGTCTAAAATCAAAGTAGCGCAGTCAATAGTGCTGCATACATATGCTGTAGTTCCCGTGCAAGCTGTTCAGGAAGGAGCAGTTGATGAATCAACGACTCTCAGGTGTGGCAGCCAATGCAGCGTTCTGTGGCATGCCTTACCTAATCGCAGCGCCAAGCCTCTGCCGTCGGCTCGTCAATTCACGACTGAAGAACATCACCAGCTCGATAACCACGCCCACCCTCTCCACTCCACCCAATCGTTCCCGTCATGTTCGTCCAGCGCTCTGCTATCGCCGCAGCAAGGCGTGCGGCCCCCCGCGCCATTGCGACCCGCCGCACCTTCACCACCACCTTTGCTCGCTGTATGTCTCGAGAGGAGCTATCGTACGATGTGCCATTGACACCATAGCAGGGGAGTCCACCGAGAGCAAGGAGGCCAAGGAGAGCAACATTGCGCAGAAGGAGACCGGCCACTCGGCCGACTCCCCCAGCGTCCTCGCCGGCTTCAAGAAGCTCGACCGTATGTTGCGCCCGCACCTCGTCATCCGCACCGCCGCGGCTACGACAGGCCGAAACCATCAATTGCTGACGAGGCCAATTCTGTAGAAATCAAGTCCGAGGCCGACCTTCTGCCCCCCGGTGCGCAGCCCGGTACCGTCCCCACCGATGCCGAGCAGGCCACCGGTCTTGAGCGTCTCGAAATTCTCGGAAAGATGCAGGGTATCGACATCTTCGACATGAGGCCATTGGACGCCAGCCGTCTCGGTACGTGATGCTACCCCCCGGAAGATGAAGGAACATGCGTGTTGCGCGGTTTTAGGCTCCCGGTGGTGTGATGTGATGCTGATAAACCGCAGGCACGATGGAGGACCCCATCACCGTCAACTCCGCTGGTAACGAGCAATACGTTGGTTGCACTGGTTTTCCCGCCGACTCTCACAACGTGCTCTGGATCACTCTTACCCGCGAGGAGCCCAAGTCTCGCTGCATGGAGTGTGGATCCGTCTACGAGATGAAGTACGTTGGTCCTGCAGACGACGCTCACGGCCACGACGATCACCACCACGACTTGAACCAATACCCCAGGCCCAAGAACATGGCCGACTTCCTCAAGCCCGAATACATGGAGGTTTAAGCTTTGGTGCCTTTGTCATAGATTATGGAGTGTAGATATATCTATATGGTCGCGAAGACCTGTGGCATAGCTGGAGAGAAGTTTCTTTGAGTTGAATCGTGTGTTCTACTCATACGTCTGTGGTGCTCGTATACTGTCGTCTCATCATCTCTCATACGATCCCATCCCTTTTCACGACCCTTTCAGGGCAATAATACCTAGAACAACGCTTTCGATGTCCTTCTTTTCCTCCGCTTTCCTCCTCTCTACGTCACCACCATCCCCATTAACTGCGCCTTTCTTACCCTTCTTCCCACCATCTCCACCCAATTTGTACACCTTCCTCACCTTGTCAACATCACACCACATACCCAACTCCTCCCCTGTCTCTCCCAACTCCACACTAGTTCCCTCTACCGCACTTCCCAAATGCGAACTTACGCTCTCATTCGTGATACTCTCATCCTTTTCGTAAGTAGACTTTTCATCTGTTGACGCAGTGGATGATGGAGACAAAGGTAGTTTAACGGCAATGAGCGCGGTGGTGGTATCGGCGATGCCAAATTTCTTATAGGACTCTCCGATATTGTTGTTGGGTGAGAGGCGAAAAACTAGTTCGGAATGGGGAGTTCGTGTTTTTGCGCGGTGGGTCAAGTGGCCGTGGAGGGCGAGGAAGGTGGCAGAGAGGAGGTGATGGGGTGTGAGTATCTAGGGGGCAAATGTGTTAATATCATGTTGAGGTGCTCAAATTAGTGCTGAGATGAGATGGAGTATCTAGCTAGCTTGACCAGAAGCCAGAATGCTTCGCTCCAGCATATCTATCCATGTTGATACGAGGATAAAATATTACACACCTCGTAGGATCTTATCACAAGAAAATAATTAAAGTTCAAGATTGCATCTCAGATGACTCAGCGACCCTGGCATGTCATTGCGGGGGGTGGCTGGCATCATCGTTGATGAAAAAGTGATGCTGGTAACGAGAAAAAGCAATGAACAGGTAGTGAACCATGACCTACCATGGATGCATCCAAGAAGGCATAGTCGTAGTCTGGATTGGCTTCGAGTAATTGACGCCTCAGGAAGGAGGCGTTTTTGACATCCTTGAAAAGAGCCACGTGGACAGGGTAGGCCTCGTAGTGCGGCAATGAGAAGGTTCGCACGGACGCCATGAGGTGCCTTGTGTGTTGGCGTGATTTTGATGTGGGCGTAAGTTTGGGTGTTGATATGCACCAGGTCGGAGTTGGAACCTAGTCGGAAATGGAAGGCCTAGACGAGGGGCTCGGTCGTTTGGAATGTTTCGTTGGTTGCGTGGTAGCGGTGACTGTGTTGGATGACGGTAGCTGTGATGTCCCTCTAGATGATGCTAGGCGGTTCGTCAGACCGATTTGCATTGGCAATCTCCAAGGATACCAGATCGTGGGTGAGTCTAAAGCTCGAGGGCCGCTTTGGGCAGGAGCGGGGACGGCCAAGCTATGAGTTAGTCCCAGAGAAAGCAGAACCTATGGCGAATCAGGACGGATCATCGTGTCGATCGGCAGCAGAACAAACTAAATTCGCCGAATATGTCAGGGCAGGCACCGTCACAGCCGTCTGGAGGTCAAGGTTTCAAGGCAGTGTGTGGCCAATAAAGGACGGACTGGAGTCGATAGCTGAGGGCTTGCGGAGAATGGGCCTGTTCCCTTGCAGGCATCGCCGAGAAACGCGCTTTCAATCGCACCCTTTCACTCCCAGCGCAGCCAAACCTCACCTCTTCCTTCACTCTCTTCGCAGACCGGACTACAGACTGCTTCAGAGGTCGCGCTGGATCGCCGCGACGCTCAATTCCCCAGCAGCCAGAAAACTCGAGGCTAAAAGTCATGTGTCTTTCGTTTGACAGGTGATAGTCGCAAGCCACCCGAGGCGCACCACCTTTGCTGGGTTTACTTGCATCGGTCTTCTCCATCGGCATTTCCCGTCTCGTTCCTGTTTCGACGTGCATTACGAAAAGTATGGCCACCAAGCGACCCCCGGACGATGACCCCAATCTTGTCTCCAAGATCCAGCGAATCGAGCATCAAGACCCGCTGAGTCCACAACACCGCCCGTCCAACAACAATGACTTTTCCGGCTCGGTCAAGAAGAAGCTCGCCGACTCCAAGCGGACGGGTCAGGCGTGCGATCGGTGCAAGGTACGTCTTACACATTGCCACAGGGGAGATGGAGATGGATGCTTCACCAGGTCAATGGGGCAAGTCGCATCGCACAAGCATTTCGTCGCGCCTGCGACGTCATTGCGACGCGCCTTCCTCTTACATGTCGTCCAGCAAACAAACAAACTAACAACCACCACAGGTGCGCAAGATCCGCTGCGACGGCCGACCCGAAGGATGCACACCATGCGAGCAGAACAGGACGCCATGTCGCACCACCGACCGAATCACCGGACGCGCCACAGTACGCGGCCACGCGGAGGCCATGGAGTCGGAGAACTCGTACCTGCGCGCCCACATCGCTGACCTCCAGGCCCAGCTGAAGGAAAACCATATCGAACCCCGCGCGCCACCTGCCTACAACGCCTTGCAACCACCCAGCCATCCATGGTCTTCAGCCTCCAACGACGGCCAAGCTTGGAACGATGGACCGCGGCGGACAAGCACCTCCCCACTACCAGGCTACATCCCCGCTGGCACTCCGGTCAAGATCGAATCTCTGCCTCAATTCAAGCACGGTTCTATTGGCGACAACTACCTCGGCGTTGCGGCTGGAGATGCACTCCTGAGTCACATCAAGGGCACATCACTGTCAATCTTCGGCACCGAAATCAACATCACAGACTTCATGACGGGCGAGGCTGAGTATGAAAGCTCTCCCATGTCCTACACGACCCTGGTCAACGTCACTATTGGCGGTCAACATGTCGAGGAGCCGCCACTACCGGCATACGGCGAGCTGCAAGAGTACGCCATCTGGTATCTGCGGTCGCTAAACCCCTACACAATGTTTGTGCACAAGCCTACCTTTATGGAACTGGTACGATACGCTCCTGCTGCCACATGTCATCATGCTAACACACACAGATCTGGAGATTTGGCAATGACCCCAGCTTCGTCCCTTCTGCGCCCGAGATTGTAGCTGTACATTTGATGCTCGCGACCATCACCTACCAGATTGCGACCCGAAACAACCAACAGAGTGGTAGCACTATGCTAGACGACTCGCATGCCCATTATCTTTATGCGGCGAGCTTTTACAAGGAGCTCATCCGTGGCAATCACGGCTGGCAAGACGTCCAAGCCCTGGGTATGATATGCCACCATCTCCGAAACTTTCCAAAGCCTGGTGCAGCATGGATCATGACTTCGACTGTCTATCTGTTCGCAGTACAACTTGGCCTACACAGATCTGTCAAGGTCTGGGCCGACGGCGCAGGGGAACTGACCAAGCTGGATATTGAGATGAGAAAGCGAGTCTACTGGACCGTACACGCGCTACTTGTCAATCTGAACGGGAAACTTGGACGGCCCATACCCATTAGCAGAGATGACATCGACGTCGAATTCCCAGAACCCATGAATGACTGCCTTCCTGGCGAAGGAGCCAAGCTGGACTCGTTTCACCAATGCTCGTTTCAAGTGGGCATTCAAGTTGCCAAATACACCGTCTGGGAGATGGAACTCTACAAGACTATCTATGCTGTGCGGCACTCGCCAAAAGCATACGTGGAGAGCCTGAAACGCCTTGAAGTCGGCATACAGCAATGGAAAGAGGAAATCCCCTACGAGTTGCGCGATCCGTCGCACGCGTCCGAGGACGATCATATTTTCGCACTTTATCTGGAATACTGGTACCAGGCGTTCAACTTACTCCTGCACCATCCTGGTGTTTGTAGATCTACTGACCCGGCCATACTCAGTTCCAACTTGGACAAGTGCTTAACCGCATCGCAGAAGATGTTGCAGAACTGTACAATGATGATGGAGAAGAAGAGTCTGGACATTCCCTGGATAAACACAGTCGTGTACATCGCGGCTGCATTCACAACCCTCTTCATTCAGTCTATGAGGCAAGATCAGATGTCGCCTGTGGACATGACTAAACTCAAAGCTGACATGGCAGCTTGGGTCAATGTGCTTGGCGAGTGCGATCATTTCTTAGGATCTGGGAACAAGCTCAAACATGCCATTGCAAGAATCGTCGATCAGTCGCTTGGTAACATCAACGACAGCATTGTCAAACGCACTGCGACCGAGTCTCTCGCTCGTGTGGCGATGCAGGCTCCCCGCTCGGCGTCCATTGCCTCCACGTATGACAACAGCGGATATCGGGAACAATATACAACACCATCCAGTGGACCTACAGACCCTACCCTCACTTCACAGTCGGGAGCATACAACAATCTGTCAGGAAGCACCACACATCCATACAATCTCGGAACCCCCATGCCTATGCCTCAACAGACAAATAGGGTTTACGAACAACAAGCATACAGCAGTGGCGATGAGACGAACATGCATGTGAGCCATGCAGCAGCGTTGGCAGCAGCAGCCTCCGGCAGCATTTCGCAGCCTTCTACCGATGCGTATGCCTACAGTAACGCTCAAATTGCCAATAGCGGTCACCAGCCCACATATTCGACCAATGGGTACGCAGCTCAGGACTGGAGTCAATGGACACGAGCGTATATGCAGCCACAACAGGGCCAGCCCGGCGAGTACCTAAATACAGCTACAACCCTCATGACCCTGGGTCGAGATTCCGGATCCCAAGGGACCGGAAGTGATGGCCAAGGGCTCGTTCAAACATCTGGGGTTCAGGGCCACGCTCCGAGTCATTGGCCAGAAATCCAGTTCCCGAATGCCGCCAATGGCAGCAACCACATGGCTCAACATTGAGCTGGGAACAATACATCGTATAACAAGAAGGCTGTGTACCTTCGGCTAATATACATGGGTATTTGATACTTTCCGGTCCGGCGTCGTGGCATGGCAATCTTCGATACCCGGCATCTGGACCACTTTGTGGGGTTAATGTAAGATTATATGAAGCGGCTCTTCTGCAAGCTGCACGCTTTGGTAATATTAATTGGAGGACTTCTTTCTTTTGTGTATGATACTGGCTTGGAGAAATAGAATCCGTTTTTCGGAGAGAGATGGTGATATGACCGACCGGCCAATGTCGGTTAGCTGGTCGCAGATGTGTTGTCACTGGAGGTGTGTTGACTGGTTGCTATGTAGCAAGCAAAGAACGAGATCAATTTGTGAACATGAAAAACAATCATAATTTCAACGTGCACGCTCCCAGATCAACGATTGTGGTTATATCATACCAACCGTTTTCTTCAACATGTTCTCCTTTGCCTACAAAGATAGACATCGGCCGAACTCCTCGCCACGCGATCTACCTCCACCGTCTTCCAGACCACATCTGGATAGATTGACCGCCGTCTACTACCCGGCCGTCGGCTCAAAGCCACAGTGCTCACCAGACCCTGCGCAAGGCGCATCAATCTAGCAATTAAACCTAGGCTAAAGGAGGCAGCCGGCTTGTTCGCTTGGCACAACCCCACCAATGAACGGTTATCGACCTTCCACTTCGCGAATCAAGGCCCGATAAGCTTCCTGTGCTTCGATCCACCACGCTTGGTCACTACACAAACCTCCTTCTCTCTTTGGCAATGGCGGTACGCGACCAGTACACAAGATCTACCAAGCTTTTTGGTTTCGGTGCTATTTGCGGTTTAGCAGGCGCACAACGAACTGTACCGGTAATGAGGCGAGTGTTGTTAGGCCGCCTGCTGATCGTTTTCCTGGTCCATGGATGCACGGCAAGGGATGAAAGGTAAAATGGGGAAAGCGTGGTTTGCACGCGGTATGTATATATGGCTTGCTCCCGGTTTGAAGGGTTGATTGACCGTCGGTTCGCGTTGCTCCTCTTCCTCGAGTTGTTGTCGTTTGAGCAGTTGCGATTGGGCTGTGAGTTGGAGATTGTTATTCTTCCGTCACACTCCGTGTCTTCCTCTCCGTCGCCAGCATGCGGTCCTCAGCATCTATCGCGGCGGTGGCCCTTGCGCTATTGCAGGGCACCAATGCCATGAATGCGGCCATTCAACGCAAGTTTAACCTGCTTGCCGATATGGGCATGAACCCTGATGGCACGCCAATGGCCACACTCGACAACCCCGAGATTGATTTCACAGCTCTCAAGTCCCTCAAGGTTGCGACTACAGCCGACAGCACGGTCGTAGCTGCCGCCAAAGCGGAAACCATCACCCCGGAATATGTCGAACTCCCCATTGACAACTTCGCTCAGAAGAAGAACCAGGATTATTCCTACCAAGGCACCTTCTTCAACAGGTACTGGGTTGCCACGAGCGGGTACAAAGCCGGTGGTCCCGTCTTTGTCTACGACGTGGGTGAGGCGAACGCAGAGCCAAATGCTCTCTTTAGGTTGCAAAACGAGACAAGTTTCTTCAAGCAGCTTGTGGATGAATTTGGCGGCATTGGAATCGTATGGGAGCATCGCTTCTATGGAAACTCGACACCTACGCCCATCGACGTTAACACGCCACCCGAGGCGTTCGAGTTCCTGACGACGGAGCAATCGCTGGCAGATGTTGATCGCTTTGCAAAGCAGTTCAAGAGGACGGGTATCAACGCTACACTTACACCCGACAAGACGCCGTGGGTTTTCGTGGGTGGTTCGTACCCCGGCATGAGGGCCGCTTTTATGCGTAACATGTACCCCGACACTATTTACGCGTCCTGGGCCTCCTCAGCCCCCGTTGAGGCTTCCGTTGACCAGAGTTTCTACTTTGACCCTGTGTGGCGCGGTATGAACGCAAAGGGTTTCGGAAACTGCTCTGCCGATATCCAGGCTTCCGTCCGCTACATGGACAAGATCATGGATTCTGACCAGAGTGCAGCTGCGAAGCTGAAGGAGCAATTCCTTGGTCTTGGAGCTGCGAAGAACTCGCATGCTACTTTCGCTGATGCGCTCACCACCATCTTCTACGTATGGCAGTCTTACGGTATGGAAGGTGGAGCGGCGGGTCTGCGTCGCTTCTGCGATTTCATCGAGACGGATCCCAAGACGAATGTTACTGCACCCAAGGAGGGCTGGGCGAAGAGCAAGGGTGCCAAGTGGACCACGGACCGATGGGCGAGCTTCCCTGCTTTCCTTCCCAATGTCAACAGCTATCTTGAGACGGAGTGCTCAGGAAAGCTCAACACAACTGGTGATTGTGATTTGAACCGCAAGTTCACGGATCCGGCGATGATTAGCTGGACGTGGCAGTACTGCACACAGTGGGGTATGTGTTCTTTTTCTCACCTTCTCTTCTTGCATCAACCATGTTAACACTTATCTAGGATATTTCCAATCCGCCAACCTTGGCCCTCAACAACTCGTCTCAAAGTACAACTCTCTCCAACACCAACACGACATCTGCCACCGCCAATTCCCTGATGCTCCACGTTCCCTCTTCCCAGACTGGCCAAACACTTCGCGCACCAACAAGGTGTTCGGAGGCTGGGACATCCGCCCTTCAAACACGTACTGGTCGAACGGTGAATTTGACCCGTGGCGCACCCTATCCCCTGCTTCTGCTGAGCCGTTCGCCCCCAAGGGCGTGCAGGTCATTCAGGATGTACCCAAGTGTGGAAAGAAGACTAGCAAGCATGAGTTGTTTGGGCTGGTGCTGAGGGATGCGGAGCATTGCTTTGATTTTAGGACGACGGGTGTTACGGTCGCAGATGGACCGGTCAGCCAACGCTTGTTCAGGAGTGCACTGACGAGCTGGTTGCCGTGTTACAAGCCGAAGAAGGGGCACTCGAAGCCGTGGAAGGGGTAGAGATTGGACGTGGGGATGGCGGTTGTTAGTGGGAGTGGAGGCTGAGAGCTAGACTACCCAACACGCTCCGACACGCGTATGATCTCAAGACGTCCTTGAGTAGCTGTATAGACGTATCCATTAATCATGTCATCTGAGAATTCTTAAAGTGCGATCTTCGGTGATTGCAGAATCTTGACCAAAAGTGATATCCTGCGAAACCTTTGAAGGAGTGATGCAATGGAGTTTCATAGTTTTGGTACGGCTCTTGAATGTCTTCCTAAATCTTGCTCCTTCTTCTCCCTCTCCCTGTCGTTTAGCCGAGCCTCCCACTCCCACACCTCCCCAGTGAACCTACTCTTTTCCCACTTTTCATATATCTTCCTCCTCTCCTCTTCATTACTAGCCCCGCACATGCTGCTCCAAACCCCCAACTGTTCTTTGAATCCGGGGTTTGGATCGCAAATCGGCCGCCCCTCACATAACTGCTCCAACGCCGCCTCGGGAGTCAATTTGTACTTCCACATGAGGTACGCGCAAACCATCGCCGCAGACCGTGATTTTCCCATTGCGCAGTGGACGAAAACGCCTCCGTCTTCCTTGTTGAGTGCCGAGTCGATGTATGCAACGGCATCCGGGAAGTATTGCAGGAGGTTTGTATTAGGGTGATCTTCTGAGCGGATGTGGAAATGTTTCAGATGTTGAAATTTCTCTTGGAGTAATGGGTCGTAGTCTATTACTGAGAGGACGTGAGTTATGCCTGCTTTGTCTATCAGGTCGCCTTGGTACAAAGCGTAAAGACCGCCGATGTGGAGTTTGCCCGCTCGCGGGACGAGGTCGACCCATCCCATGCCTGTGTGTCCGGTGCTGCCGTGGAGAAGGAAGGACATGTAGATGCGTCAGTGTGAAGAGATGAGAACAACAGTCAAGGTTCCTGATAGGAAACTTGGAAGACGGGCGAGATGGCGGGTCGTGCGATGGTAGTGCGAGCTGGCTGCGTTCACGGCGAAGAGTGAAGAGGGCGGAGAAAGTACCGAGGTACGATGATTACACTGCAGCTTCTTCGTCTTAAGCTCATTACCACACATGTTTTTAGACGTCTAGCTACCATTATAAGTCTCCTGGGGTGACGCCAAAAGCTCTTTATAGTGGTAGAATGTCATGTTAGAAGTGCCGTTGATTATGGGTGCAAGGAGAGCGCCCCACGTGCGTCGAACGCTAGCGTAGGGTGAAGTGCTGACTTCATGTCTCTACCTCTACAGGGTCTGATATCGAAAAGCGAAGCGCAAGTATGGGTCAACTGAGATGCGGACGAAAACGAATTCAGGATCTTTAACGACAACTGCCACAGCTTGTTTGGAAGGCCACTGCTAACGAAAACGATGAATGAATTTCCATTTCGTCAACTTGAGGGAAGGAAACCGCAATTCCTAAAAGGTTCGAGGGGCAGACTATGAGCCCGTTACCTGTACTTTCATTATTGTTGTCAGATCCTCAGGCTGGCTTGGGAGGTAGGAGCGAAGGCTGGCGGTAGTCTCCGCAAGCTCGGAGTGATTTCAGCGGCATTTACAATGGTCGTCTTTGTTATTAGGTCGATGGCTAAGTCTCTTATCGAAGTGATCTTCAATGACACGGGTTATTCTTAGTCGGTCTATAGATGTAGCGTGATGACAAGGCAGATGTTGGTGATCAGGCGACGTGCAATTTGCTCGTGTTGTGCCGCTCCAGCGGAAGCGGAGTCTATCCCAAACGTACGGGTGGCACCCCGCAAACAACAGCACAGTGCCACGATACCGGCGACAAGGCAATGCGCGACAGGTGTACAACCTGAGACAGGAAAATTTGTGAGTAAAGTATGACGATGGGATACCAGGATTTTTCATGGGGAAACAAAGCACGTGGGGCGCGAGGGTCCTGCAGGGTGAGCCAATTATAGCCCCTAGCGGTTATCGATAGATGCAGGGTGGCGATAGCGGTGCGTAACACCAGGATCGTCAGGGCAGGCCAATGCAGGGCAGTTGGTAGCTGACAGAAATTGTTTTTCGAGGGGTAAAACATGACGACTGTCTCATGAGTTTTACCGCGTGTGAGAGTGCTCGAGACGGCGATGAAAGCAACGATTGTATGTGATGCCAACACGCCAATGCAACCAATGCATTTAACACACGACACAAGCGGCTAGCCTTTCCGTGAGGTTGCGGGCTAGCGTGATCGTGTGTGGATGGTGCCCCGTATCTGCCCACGCCTCGGGCCACCCCTTCTTCAAAGAGAGTGTCGCCGCTCGCTCCTGCCTCCGTCCATCTCTTCCGTCCATCTTTCTTATCCCTCGGGACCACCTTCGCTTTACTAACCCGACAGCTTAATTCCTGGTTTCTTCAAACCTCACACTCGCTTGCCGAAACCGCGCCATCCCGTCTCAGGGGAACACACACGACGGATATTTCACGCGTGCACCCTTTGCCTCGCCGCACTGCACCCGGGACCCCTACACCTGCCGTTTCACCCAGCCAAGGCCAAAAGAGCGACCCACGACGAGTGAGAGAGACGTCGTGATACCATCGTCTTGATCGCGCCGCGACTCCACTTGCCGACGATAAAGTGCTTACACGACATCGAAGATCCCGCAAACGGTCCGAAGCCATGGTACGAAGTCTACTGTCCGCCGCCTTTGCGGCCACGATATTCGCAGGCACAGCGCTCGCAGGAGCAAAATGCACAAAAGATAGCCACTGCCCTCAGGACACTCCCTGCTGCTCTCGTACGTCCTGCCAAGGCGCATTGTGGTGAAAATGGTGCTAACACGCGCGCAGTATACGGCGACTGCGGTGTCGGCGCTTTCTGCCTCGGTGGCTGCGACCCCCTCATGTCACACTCGTTCGACTCGTGCGTCCCCGGCCCTGTATGCAAATCTGGAACATATTCGCTAGACAGCCTGGACGATGTGCAGACCATCGACAAGTACCTGGGAGATGCATCCAAGATCAACTGGCAGTCGCAGGGCATGCCCACCATCTACACAGACCCCAAGACCAAGGAGAAATCCACCCTCTTGACCATGGCACAAGGCACAGTCGGAACACTTCTGGCCTCTACCTACTACGTTTGGTACGGCAAGATCTGCTCCAAGCTGAGCACAGCGCAGGGCAAGGGTGTTGTCACCGCTTTCATTCTCATGTCGGATGTCAAGGACGAGATTGATTTCGAGTGGGTTGGTGTAGACACAGGCCACGTGCAGTCCAACTACTACTCGCAAGGTGTCACAGTGTGTAAGTAGTCCTACAATCCGCCCAAGCCCCCTCGTACAAGACTAACACGAATCCAGACACCAACGGCGAAAACCTTACTGTACCTGACTCCAACACTGTTGAATCCATGCACGAATACTGCGTTGACTGGAAGGAAGACACCCTTACATGGACTATCAACGGCAAAACTCAGCGCACCCTGGAGCGCGAGTCGACATGGAACAAGACATCTGGTCGCTACTCCTACCCTCAGACACCTGCCCGCGTCATGCTCTCCCTCTGGCCCGCCGGTCTACCCACCAATGAAAAGGGAACAATCGATTGGGCAGGAGGTGAGATTGACTGGAACTCGCCCTACATGACCAACGGATACTACGCCGCCCGCTTCTCAGAAGTCACAGTCGAGTGCTACGACCCACCAGAGGGAGCCCAGATCAAGGGCAAGAAGACGTACAAGTACACAGACGAAGCTGGCACCAACAACACCGTCGCCATCACCGACGATGTAGTCGTCCTGGGCTCGCTCATGGGCACAGGCGAGAACCCGGGTGAAGCCAAGGACAACGACGACTCAAAGGCTTCCGATGTTGCCATGGTACCTGGTGGTAACCCTGGAGGCGGTGCCGGTCGAGAAGTCGAGCAGACCAGCACCGCTGCGAACCCGAACTCTCCCGCTGCCGAAACCGGTTCTTCTAGTGGTGCTACCGCTGAAGGCCAGTTCATTCAGGGTGGCTCCAGTATGGGTGCTGGATCCGTTGTCCAGCCTGGTCTGAGCCGTATGGGTGGCTCCGTCTTTGCCATTGTTGTCGCTATCGTCGGACTCATGGCGTTATAGACGCATGTCCTTTCCCGCTGCATCACGCCTTTTTCATGTCTGTCAGTCTTTGCGGTTTTTGGAGTTCGATACCTTGCCTTGCAATTTTTGTGTACTGGGGAAAATGGGGGCCTCGTTGTCATGTTGTGCATAGTGCATGCAATTCCTTTTTGTCTGTGACAGTCTTCCTGCCACGTCCTGTTTCCTTTTAGATTCGTTGCATATGCTCGATACAATACGAAATGTAATAATCTTCTAACAGCTTGTCAACATGCAATGCACGGAAGATCTTGAATTGGTTTTGGCTTCGATTATGGGGCGTGAGGAAAGTATTAGAGGCCAGAACGAACTGGAAAGAGCAGGCGAAGATCATACACGGCTTAATACTAAAGCAAGGTTCGGATCCGAAAAAGACAACGAAACGATAATACTATTCTGCAGTGCTCGATGCAGTGCAGCAGTGGCACGGTGAGCTAGTCCATTTCCGTCACTGCCGCATCATGTACAGGTAGCAGCCAGCCGTTACGGAAGGTCCATTGGTTCTCCCGGGAACTACATGCATGCCCCGCGCGAATGTGGATATGGGTATAACAATTCTCCACACAACTGCCGGAACGGTATTCGAGGTCAGGGTACCTGTAAGCGCTACACAATGGCGGCCCAGTAGTATTGGGCTCATGCTTACTATAGTGGAGTTTTCCTGCGAGCACTATATTACCATGTCGATGACTATAGCCTCGCAAGATGGGCTTGTTGGGGACTTCGAGCTGGGCAAGACTTGTCTAGTACCAGTCTTTGCATCATATCTGCTTGGCTGATGGGATGGTTTTAAACCCGGTACGCGTCCTGATTGCTAAAGGACTTTGCGTCCTGAGACACTACTGTGACCTGCGCTTCTGTTACTTTTGAGGAATCACCCTGCAGTTATTTTGCAATTCTTTCTCGTCACCATGTCTCTTGCGTTCTATGCTTTGCTGGCCGCCTTGGTAGCCGTAGCTGCCTATAGCCTACGTAAAGTCGGTCGAAGGCCAGCAGGTTACCCTCCAGGGCCACCGACACTGCCCATTATAGGAAACCTGCATCTGATGCCAAAGGGGAAGCCGCATCTCCAATTTCAGAAGTGGGCTGAAGAATACGGGCCAGTGTACTCACTCATCCTCGGTACAAAGGTCATGATCGTATTGTCGTCGGATCAGGCTGTAAAGGATCTGCTGGACAAGCGCAGTAGTATATACTCGTCGCGTCCGGATCTGTATTTGAGTAACATTGTGAGCGGCGCGTCTGAAGTAAGCGGTGGATTACGAATGCTGCTTATGGTAAGTCACTTTGAGACAATCACTTGATCAGAAGGCTCATTGAAGTAGCCTTACGGAGATACATGGCGCATGATCCGGAAGATCGTGCACAACAACCTCAACATCAAGGCAGCCAGGACATACGTTCCATACCAAGAGTTAGAGAACAAGGCCATGCTCGTGGGGTTCTTGGATAGTCCAAATCTCTTCACCGACCACATCCGTCGCTACACCAACTCATTGACCACGCAAATGATTTTTGGTTTTCGTACTATAAGTATTGATGATCCCAAGTTAAAGCAGCTCTATTCAGTAAGTTCATCCATCTCCAAGAACCTTCTGCTCATATATCTAACAAAGCTATCTCTAGGGATTCGAGAAGTTCTCAGAAATTTCGGGCAAGACAACAGCTGCCCTTCTCGATCTCTTCCCAGTACTCAGAGCATTACCTGACTGGGCGCTTCCTTTGCGAAAATACGCAAGAAACCTTCACGAGAAGGAGTGCGAGCTATACATTGGCCACTGGCTCAACGTGAAGAAAGCCATCAAAAATGGAACATCGAAACCATGCTTTTGTCTCGATTTAGTGCGAGCACAAGACGAAGAGAACTTCTCAGATGCCCTTGCTGCTTACGTGAGTGGTTCGTTGCTGGAAGCAGGATCGGACACCACTGCTGCAACGCTCATCGGCTGTAAGTAAACTGTACCCAACCTCCATACATTCTAGAGCCTACACTGACTCATACACCCAAAAGTCATTCAAGCAATGATTCTCTTCCCAGAGGTTGCAAAAGCTGCTCGCGAAGAGCTTGATCGCGTTTGCGGCGATCGTTTCCCGACGCTGGACGACGCGCCAAATCTGCCTTATGTCCGCGGCTGCGTAAAAGAAAGTATGCGCTGGATGCCCACTGCCATCCTTGGTGTCCCGCACGCCGTGATCCGCGACGATGAATACATGGGGTATACGATTCCCAAAAACGCAGGCGTAATGTGGAATGTTTGGGCCATACATAACGACCCTACGCGGCATGCTGAGCCCCGCAAGTTCGATCCGCAGCGATATGCGAATGATAGCCAGACTGCGGCTGAGGCGGCGAACAATTCAGATGCGAGTAAGCGGGATCATTTTCTTTTTGGGGCGGGGAGGAGGTTGTGTCAGGGTATGCATATTGCGGAGCGGTCGTTATTTTTGGCAATCTCGAGACTACTCTGGGCGTTTGAGTTTGAGCCGGGTAAGGGTGAGCATGGCGAGGTGGAGTTACCCGATGCAGATGACCTGACAGAGGGCATGTTGGTGCAGCCAAAACCGTTCAAGGCGAACATTGTTCCGAGGGATGAAGAGAAGGCGAGAGTTTTGAGAGAAGAATGGGATAAGATGGGGAGCTTATTGGGTGAGGATGAGCAGTGGAAAGTGCTACCTGAGGGGTTGATCTGGAAGGAGTATGATAATGCTGCGAAGACGGCATAAACTTTGAGAGTATATTCGTATCTAGAGAGGCTTATGCTTCGTTATTTTTCCAAAGAAATTCTGCACGGCACTTGGTACCTAGTTGGGTTAGCTAGTGAATGCTCAATCCTGGCTGAACACGGCTACTTACACTCCATATCATCACAGCCGCCGTCCTTGAGTATTCGTACACCGCACTCAGGGCAGGGTTGAGTAATACTACCGATGACCCTCAGCGCTTCGTCTTCCTCATCAACGTGACCTTTGATGCGCAGTTGATATGCTTTGCACGATTCTCCTCGATGATACGGTCGATCGCAGGGTACGCAGGACAGTGCTCCGCACTTGCGACATTTACAAATGTCCGTTGTATCTGGTTCTTCTTTGGCTGTTTTGCTTTCATCATCATCTGGCGTCTCCCCATGCACTTGTCCCTCATCACAAGACGAAGCTTGACACCAACGCCATCCTGGTGTGTTGTTGCCGATATGAATACGCTCAACTTTCTCGAAACGCGCAAACATGTTCTCGGAAGCAGCAGTCTTGATGTCGTCAGCCTTCATGATAGCAGGACATTCTGGACAGCGGATGCCAAATGTCTTGTTATCGTCTCCACCTATTCTTACGTTCGCGTCCTCGATCTGTGTGTCTACGTATCTCTTAAGACATGAATTACAGGTGTTTATGAGATGCTCGCATTCAGCAGAAGGGTTGAAGTCAGCAAAGTGACGCTCGTGCTTGGTTTCGCCACATGTAAGGCAATGGTAGCGGGCAACCTTCTTCTTCCTAGGAGTATGGGGATCTCTTTTTCTAATTCGTTTCCCCATAATCAGTCGATTTTATGGTATAGTAGTAGTGTGAGTGCGTGGGGATTCACGATACCAAGAAAGGATCGTTGTTAGCAAAGAATTTCGGAGTTTCTTACAATCTGGGAACATACTTATACAAAGAGGAGGAAGTTTCCGAAGAGACAAGGATGCGGAGAGAAAGTTACAGCTCGTTCTCGTTGAGCGCGATAAACCTCTCCAACCTCTAGATGGGCCAGAGCGAACCTTCGTATGAAAGACACTGCAAACCCCTGACAATATAGAGGAAGTTAGAGTTTTCTTAAGAGCCGTGTAGTAATGAATAGAATATAATAGACATCATCACCCAAGCTTTGACATATATTCTCCACATTTCAGGGTAGCCGGCGAGAGTCGCAGTGCTAGAGATTTATATTTCTTGTTATCTTAATCCATAAATCATCTCTCAGGGTTCCTATCAATCCACGCTGTATTTCCGAGTTTCCCCGAGAATGGGTACTGGAACACCTTCTCCAGAGTAGAGTACGGCTCATATTGCTTTCGGTCCATAACAATACTGACATTGCTCGCTAGCCGAGCAGTTTCATTCCACCCAGGTCCGTAGTCCTTGTACTCCGCCATCGTGGTATTGAAGTTCACTCTCTTATCCGTGGTACCCCACTCAATGTATCCATTCGGCTGGATAGAATCATCAAGATAGCAGTTTGCGAAGATAGAGCGATGTTGGGAGTTCCAAGGGCGACCGAGCGCGCATTTTCCGGTTATGGAGAGGGATGAGTTGGCTTTCTTTACGTCGGAGTCGTGGATGTAGACGCCGTATTTGTTGACAAAAGTTGTGTTCGTGCCCTTCCATGCTGTGATGCCGCCGCCGCAACTGCGAAGGGAGACGAGACTAGATTGGATCCATGCTGTGCCGAAGCCATAGAAGAAGTCTGTTTGTCCGGCGATTTCATTCTTGTAGAAGTATGCATTTCCTAGTTTGCCAACGTAGACGGTGTCTTGGTACGAGTAGAATCCGCAGTAGTAGAAGCCTGTGTTCGCGTAGCTTACTGAGACTGCCAGTGCCGGGCCGGCCGAGTAAGGCGCGTACAAATTGCTGAAGTCTATGTTGTACGCGCGGAAATCGGAGTTGCCGAATGGCGTATCTGCTGGTACGGGATTGCCAGTCGGTCCTGAGCCGGTCGTACTTGCGTTGAAAGTTGGCGCGACCGTGAGGACAGAAGTGTATGCGTTATCTAGCGTAGATAGGCCTGCTCCGGTAGCGTTACGCCATATAACGTTTACAGTGTTCTGGCTTTGATCGTTTGGGGCTTTTGTCTGACCAAACAGATAAACGGGGCCAGGCCGAGTGACGTTTACTTGCTCGGTATAGTTTCCAGGAAGAATCAGGATGTGATGTGGTGTCGTATCGTTTGGCAAGCTCAGCACTGCGGACTGAATGGTAGAGAAGTTCCGCCCAGGGCCCACGAGAATTGTGTTCTTAGGGCAACCGTCTAGTGGCTTCTTGGTCGGGTACTGGCATGCCTTCCGGTTTATCGTAGATATGGCAGCGCATGCCTCGAATAGGCCAAGGAGAAGAGTAGCCCAGTGCATGGTGATGAACCGAGACGTCTCGAGATGACCAGAATTGTGAAGAAAGCTTATCCTCGTGTCGGCGAGTGAGGAAGCTTGGCCGGCTCTTTATATCAGCCCAGTGTATCCTGTATGTCCAGGGTTAGGTCTCAAGATACCCATGATGCAGCATACCTGGTTGCCGGTGTGCCATTTAGCACCATTATCAGCCGCAAGTACGCCTCTAGTATCAATTATCCGTTCGATGCCTCCAATCAGCGTTACTTTTCAGTACAGCGAACGCGGGGAGTATCCACATGGAGAAATCCGGAGAACGTGGGGAAGAGGAGGAACATTATCCACCAATTAGCCCGAACACTAACGAGCCTCGGAAATGATCTCATGTCATCAAAACAGCCGACAGGCCGAGTTCTGGAGAGGGAATGAAGACCCAGCGTTGAGATTCGGAAGCCGTTGTGTTTATATGATCTATGCCGTCCATGAGGCTTTCGTGGCGTCGGTCAAGCTTCGGTGCAGGTCTTGCTGAAGCTTATTCTCGGATGACTCGATGACGCGTCCTTACCATGAACACAACGCAGCATACAGTAGAGTTATCGTGTCTACCTCAGGGAACGTGTGCATGGGGTGTATGTAAATCGAGTGTTGATGCATAGCTGTGCTGCAAGTGTAATGACGCGAGAGTCATTCCTTCGCCAAGGCTGGCTTCTTACTAACGGAAGCTCTTGACGATATCAATGTCGCAACGCAAACGGTGACGAAGACTAATGAAGGTCGGAATTTTGGTTCAATACTGTGAACTTGAAATTTAGCTCATACTATGTCAGAGATGAGCCAGCTCGTGGTGTTGAAGAGGAGTGAGCTTCTAGTGCTACCTGAATTTGGCGCTAGAAAGGAAAATATGGGTCACTGGAGACGCGAAGGCCCGCCGACAGCTCTCCGCCCACAACTGCATCGTCAACCATCATCTTTCTCGACAACTGAGCATCTAGAACTTATCGCCACAATTTGCGCACTTCTTTTTTTCGATCTAGAAGCTAGCGACATCGTGATTGCCAGCAGCAGTTGATTCTGCGCTTCGGAAGCCTCCATGAGATCTAGCCTCACTATACGGGGCGTCATCTTTGCCATGTGCACTTCATAGGATTCCCCTGGCGTTCCTGAAAAGCCACAGCTATCGCGAATATGAGCCAAGTTGGAAGCAGAAGTACGCGCCAAGTGCTTTGGTGTTAGGCTAATAATGCCCAGCGATCACGACATCGCCCTTGACCTTTATGCGCATCGTTGAGAGGATCTACCAAGACAATCGAACCAACCATTTGCTTCACCTTCCTGTTCAGGGTTCTTGGAACTGGTCAGCTCTGAACACCACAAGCAACTCAAGCCTCGTTATGTTACAGCGCCTGCTGATCGCGACATGGTAGGAGTGTATTCGCAATTAATTTCGCGTGGCATGCTACAACGATGTTATCGCGCCATTACAGAAGGCTATATGACCCTACAAGACCCCGGCTATCTAGTGGTTGTCAGTCGCTCGCACAACTTCTGTCTAGAGGCCATCGGCGGTACTTCGATCACCAAACTGACGCGAGCTAAGGGTGCTCTTAGCAAAGGCTAAGCATGACCGCGATTCCTGACGACGACGCAAAGGTTGCGCGGTACACAAACGACGAGACCTCACCCCCACCGCCTGTTTACGAAGATGGTAGTGTACAGGAAGACAATGCTTATGTGTACGATGACTCTCAGAAGCTAGGCTACACAGCCACGGTTTTCGTGATCCTGAATAAGATGATCGGTACCGGCAGTACGTATTCACCACGCATATTCGCTCGAGTATCTGCTTAACGGTGTACAGTCTTCTCTACTCCTTCCGGTATCTTCGCTGTGACGGGCTCTGTCGGCGTATCACTCTTCCTTTGGATTATTGGCGGTGTTCTCACGTTTTGTGGGCTCAGTAGGTCGGATCTCGGTTTGTAACTGAACAAGTCGCGTTAATGCTGTGGCAGGTGTTTTTTTGGAGTTTGGACTTGCGATCCCACGTTCAGGTGGCGAAAAGAACTATCTGGAGCGCGTCTATCGTCATCCTAAGTATCTCGCAACATGCGTTCTTGCATCGCAAATGCTTTTGCTCGGCTTCTCGTCCGGTAACTCCTTGGCGTTCGGACGCTACGTACTATTCGCTTCTGGCTCGGAAGCACCCGATGGTTGGGCGGCGCGTGGCATAGCAATTGCTTGCGTGACCTTTTCTGTCGGCCTCCATGCGACATTTCCAAAATGGGGCATCCGTCTCTTCAGCGTCCTCGGCGTCTTCAAGGTCTTCATTCTCCTCTTCATCGTCTTTTCGGGCTTCGCTGCCCTGGCCGGCCATCTGAAGATAGAGCAACCGCACAATTTCGACAATGCATTCAGACTAGAAGTTGGTGATGGCTACGGTGGCGGTGGCTCCTACGAATACTGTCAAGCTCTGCTTCGTATCGTCTACTCGTACAAAGGTTGGGAAAACGCCAACTATGTGTTGGGCGAAATACGAAACCCGAAGAAAACCCTGGCTTGGTCAGCACCGCTAGCAATTGGCGGAACTACCATCCTGTATGTCCTCGCGAATGTGGCTTACTTTGCTGCGATTCCCAAATCCGACCTTGCAAAGAGTGAGGTCATCGTGGCTGGTCTCTTCTTCCGCAATGTCTTCGGCAACAGCGCTGGGGCGCGAAGTCTCCCGGCTTTTGTAGCCCTTAGCAACTTGGGCAATGTGCTCGCAGTTAGTTTTGCCCACTCGCGGCTTAACCAAGAATTCGCGAAGGAGGGCCTGCTACCATGGAGCCGATTCTGGTAAGTTTTGATTGCGAGATGCACATGAAACATACACTGACTTCGCCCCTTTACTTCTACAGGGCATCAAACAAGCCATTCAACGCGCCTGCAACGGCGTTGTTTCTCCACTGGCTAATTACAGTCATCGTGCTTGTTGCACCTCCTGCTGGTCCTGCGTACAACTTCATCACCGATTTGTATACCTATCCCGGCGCATGGATCAACGGTTTCGTCACCGCCGGTCTGATCTACTTACACTACAACAAACGTGAGCGCTGGGAGTCGCCATGGCATACCTATCTTCCCGTTGCCGTTCTTTACTTGGCTGTAAACATCTTCCTCGCGCTTGTCCCCTTTATTCCTCCGGATGGCGACTGGAACGCAGATGGCTACCCATACTACGTGTTTCCGATTGTTGGTGTTAGCGTCCTGCTTCTGGGTGGATTCTACTGGGTATGCTGGACGAAAATCTGGCCGAAACTTGGTGGATACAAGATCGTCAGTGAACGCTACGAAGATGCGCAAGGCAACGAGCATGTGAAGTATGTCAAGTTATACACGAAGCACGATTGAGGACCACATAGGAAGTTGGTTCTCGATGTGTTCTTATCTGGGTTGATTCTACCGTAGCCATCGAACTGTTATAAGTAGTGTGGTCTGTGCATGCACCGCTGTCATTCAGGCTATCCATACTCCATTCACTTGTGGACGATCTTCAACTTCCTTGGTGCATAACTCCCGATGATCATAGCAGGCGAAAGAATGTCAAGCAATCTGGATGCTGTTTTATGAGGCAGAGGCAGAGACACTAAAGATTCCAGCTTAAATCGCAGTGTTTCTACAAAGGACTCTAGTAAGCGTATTGTGGTGACGCGACCTCAGGCAAATGTGGGGCCAGTTTATCCGGAAACGCGTTCCAACGCGCAGCGCGTTCAACACTCCGCGTTCAACACCGATTTCCATCTCACCTCCCACCTCACAAGCTAGGCCAAGTGTTCTCAATGCTGCCAGCGAATTCATGCAAATGTCATACTCCCGACACCCTGATGATTCGACATGTGGATCCCCTCGCACCTAGTTCTGTGCCCTTATGTGGCGTATCCGGGATAGGCAAAGGCTAGGCCTCCAACCGCCCAACCTGGAAAATATCCCTTTCCTGCTTCACCGTCCCAGGCAGCTTCATGCTGCCTGAGCTAGCGCATCAACGACTCTTGCAGTTCCAGAACGTGGTAGTCAATTCTATTTCTTTAAAGGGCTCCGGTCTTCCAACTCCTGTTTTACACACTTCGAACAAACCCGGCTGGACATTACGACTCTTTACTCGCTCAATGACGACGACGGCTGAGACTTCTAGCAAACCGAAGAATGAGTATCCCGGGCTTGGACTTCCTCTTCGTAACTGGGAATGGCGAAACTACGGCTTCTATCCCATTGGCTCCCATAGCAACTGCTATGGAAGCGACTCGGATATCATCACCGTTCGGGAGCTCGCTATGATGGACATTATGGAGAAGCTTACCGACAAAGTCGATTGGCACAAGAAGGTGTTCGATGACGCTATCATCGCTAAGTGGCGTAAGGAGGCCCTCTCCATTCCCGATGATCACTTTTGGCAACTGGCCGTTGGTGCGAAGAGACAGCGTTGGACCCATGACGATAATCGACTCGAGCTTCACAACGATTGGTGCAATCGCGAGTTGGAGAATATTCTAGACGAGGATACATTTAACACTGTACGTTACTTCTTGCCCAAGTCTCGATCTCATTACTCATCTTGAGCAGTGTGTTCAAGAGCTTCGTAGCAAAGCCAAGTATTTCGAGCAGTCGGGCATTATTCCATCTCTGGATGCGTGCGCCTCTGTGGCAAAATCTGACACGCTTGTGACGAGCGAGCTACACGCAAGTCTGCGCAAGGCCTTTGACGAGCTGAAGTCGGACCACGCTGCTTCTCCTGACTGGCATCCAAATTCGGATGATATGGTGCAGGATCTAGTACATCCATCCATGTATCCATTAGTGTACGGCCGAAGTTGTGGCTTTAGCGAAGAGCACGTCGGTGTGGCGAACGCCATCGAGTGCTGGGCTGGCAAGGGCGAGATCATTCCACAAGAACCCCCTGTTGAACTTTCAGACAGCGACCGCTACACTAACATTCCGCCTGAGTATTGGTCGAATACGTATCAATGGCTGCCAGCCAACGTCGCTTTCCAGAATGATGGCACTGTTAAATTCACCAGCTACATCAACAATCTGCACCCTACGAAATGTTCCGAAATATACCGTACCATCGAGAAGCTGGTCGAAACATCGCTACCTCTGTGGGATCAGTGCTTGAGACTGGCAGTCGGCTATCACAAGTTTGAAGGCGCCGGCCGTATGGATACCCGCACAGGTAAACCCGATAACCCTGAGTAAGTTCGTCAAACATTTGACACTTTTGCAGCTGCTAACCTACTGCTTTGGTAGCGATGAGAATGAGGAGAACTGGATTCCTGATCATAAGGAAGCGTGTGCTGATGCAGAGGTCAGCGAAGAACAGTTGAGGGATTATGACTACGACCCTGAATATTACGAAACTGAGGAGGAGCGTGCAGAAGCTATGTTGGAAGCCAAGTGGCAGGCTGTCCGCAAACCTCGCTTGCATCCAATTCCCTTCAATAACGTATCTTACATCCCACAATCAGGTAAGCGTCTTGCTGACAGGTATCGCGATTCGGGACTCCAGATCATTGTCAAGATGGCGTCGATCGAGCTCACGCCCGAGAAGCCTGAATTTCCCGTAGGCGGATGGCATATCGAGGGGCAAATGAACGAGCACATCTGCGCCACAGCTCTCTACTACTTGGACAGCGAGAACATCACCGACAACAGCCTTTCGTTCCGTATGCAGACTTCATATCACATAAACGATGACAATGACTACCCCGTTGGACAAGGCGCCTATCATTGGATGGAGGCGGTGTATGGCACCAACTTGGGTGGCGGCGGCTCGCCATGTTTGCAGAATTATGGAAACGTCCAGACGCGTCAAGGAAGGCTGTTGGCCTTTCCCAATGTCTTGTAAGTTGATTCTGATCATGCTCGAATGTGGGCCTTGACTAATGCTTGCAACAGCCAACACCGCGTTTCACCTTTCAAGCTCATCGATCCCACAAAGCCCGGTCATCGTCGCTTCATCGCACTATGGCTTGTCGATCCCACAAAACGCATCATCTCGACAGCAAACGTCCCACCTCAACAGATGAACTGGTACGTCGATTCGCTCCTTGGATCGAACAACAGGGCACGTGGAGAAGCATTGTCAAAGCTACCCCCAGAACTCATAAACCTGTTCGCGGAGAAAGGATTTGCTAGTGTCTCTGCAGCTAGAGAAGCTCAACTTCCTGAGGAGCTTATGGACTTCGTGCGCAAATATTTCGATGATGGCAAGCACTCGCTTCCCATGAGTTCTGAAGAAGCGAGTGAACATCGTAAGAAGCTGATGCGGGAAAGGAGCGCATTCGTCCAGACCTCAGGAAAAGGATGGCAGAGGCCAAGTTACAACTTCTGTGAACATTGAGTCATATGTATCACTTAATAAGAAACTGAATTGTAGCAACAACATATTTTCTTATGCTCTAGAACCTGTCGAATCTGCTGATATGCAATCCCTTCTGTCTATAGCTTTCCTGTTAGACGTGAGGTCATTGGGATCACTATCGGAGTACCTCACCCCATTCGTTTTCACGGACACGATTTCTTCGTCATTGCACGGGGTATAGGAGATTACACCGATAATGTTCCTCTTAAGCTTGACAACCCGCCGCATCGCGACATCGCCATGCTGCCAGCTTCGGGCTACCTCGTCATGACTTATGCAATGTCACATTGGTATGTTTTCCTCTTCATTTGCAATCAAATCGCTGTACTAACATCTACACAGGCTGGCACATATCCGAAGGATTTGCGATGCAGTTCGTGGAGCAGTATGACAAGATTGCAGGGTTGACCGACCATGATGCGTTGAAGAGCAACTGTGATGGCTGGAAGGCTCATAGCCAGTCTGGATATCTTGCAGGATGATTCTGGCGTGTGAGGAATAGGCTACTTGGTGCGCACCGGCGCGTGTAGGCGTTGTAGCGTTCTTGCCCTCTCAACCCTCTTTTTAGCCTGATCATAAACCTTGGATAAGCCTGTGGGCGGAGTTTTGTTCGCTTCGAATTAACTCTTTTGTTCTACAATTGGTTGCGTGATTCCTCGCGATGTTCTGCTTACAGAGCAAAGAAGCCGACCCCGCCTTAGGGGCGTGCGCGGGACTGTACCTAGGTAATCTAGCTCCACCACAAATCCGTGCCATCTCCATGATAAGTCCGATTTGACTCGGCCAATCATCCGGAGCACAATCGTCATTCCCCAGTCAGCCGCGTTTGAGCGACTTCCAACGCGCATGCCGCGTCGCGTAGCATAGTCATCTATAGTCATCAGCAGCAAGCATGCTCCAGAAGACCGCAACCCGCGGATCTGCGCTATCTCTGGCTACCTAAGCTCTGGGTGTCTATGAGAAAATTTCCTCCAATGCGCCGATGGCAAAGAGGGCACCGCAAATATTGACAGGGGGACAGTCCCACAACGAGTAGTGGGATAGGTAATGGACCTGTATCTTACAGAAGAATGACGCACCAAAGAATTGCCTTAGATCTACGAGTACGCGTCGAGAATGACTTCATCACGACAATTACAAGCCTGGAATATTTGCATAAAAATGGCGCCCATTCTCCAGCAGGAAAGCTCTATCACAGACAATCATAGACAGCACTTTTGTACATACAAAAATGGCTTCCGTATGTGTGCACCTTGATGTTGGTTACATCGTAGCTAACGGACCTATTGCAGCAAAACACCGATGCGCCAGTATATACTCTGGCTGAAGGTAAAGCCCTCGTATGTGATTCTTGAGTCAGTCGCTCACAAGCATGTAGGACGTCCTGTTCAAGATCCAACAGCCCAGACGGTACTTCGAGGCTCGCCGCTCAAAGGTGGTGGTCTCGCTCTACTCTCAGACACTCAGCTCATTGAGACGCTTGCGCACTTTCCCCGCGAAAGGATACCAGAGAGGTATGTTGATAACGCACGATCTAATACATGCTTCATACGTTGACGCTTTGCAGAGTTGTACATGCAAAGGCTGCAGGAGCATGGGGAGAGTTTGAAGTCACTCACGACATTTCGCACATCACATCCGCCAACTTCCTGAACAAGATCGGAAAGAAGATCAAAGTCCTAGCTCGTATCTCTACCGTCGCTGGATCGAAGGGATCTTCAGACACCGTCCGCGACATCCGAGGATGGGCACTGAAGTTCTTCACCGACGAGGGAAACTGGGATATGGTTGGAGATGACCTACCCGTCTTCTTCATCCGCGATCCCGTGAAATTTCCATTTCTAAATCGCTCCCATCAAGCACACCCGCAGACACATGTCCCGGACTCTACTATGTTCTGGGACTTCCACAACAATAACCAGGTAGGTTCACTCATCACATCAGAGTCACACCTTTAATACGTCCTGTCATCTACTCAACTCAGTCTAACGATGTCTAGGAAGGAATGCATGCGCTCATGCAATTATTTGGCAACCGAGGCGTGCCGGAATCTCTGCGAAACATCACCGGCTACGGTGTCCACACTTTCAAATTCGGCAAACCTGAAGATAGATCTTTCAAATACGTAAAGATCCACTTCAAGCCTGATGCCGGCAACGTTACTATGAAGTCTGCAGATGCAGCGCGACTTGCAGGCGAAGAGCCAGATTACCATGTTAAGGACATGTTCAATGCGATCGAGAATGGTGACTTTCCCACTGGACCATGATGCTCCAGGTTATGGATCCCAAAGAGGCGGAAAACTACCGCTGGAATATTTTCGATGCTACTAGGATCTGGCCGCACGCGGACTACCCGCCCATTCCAGTCGGCAAACTCACGCTAAACAAGAATCCCGCGAACTACCACCAAGATGTTGAGCAAGCGGCTTTCTCGCCAAGCACGTTAGTACCTGGCATTGGTCCATCAGCAGACATCATGCTTCAAGCAAGAATGTTCAGCTACCCAGACGCGGCCCATTACCGTGTTGGTCCAAATTACCAACAACTGCCATGCAACAGGGCCAAGAACGTTTACAGCCCCTACCAACGCGACGGTCCTATGAGGATGGATGGAAACTATGGTGCCGACCCCGACTACGTCCGCTCCTCATTTCGTAAGATTCAGTCCGGCCCACCGGATGTTGCGCACGACAAGTGGGTTGGTGAAGTGAGCTCGTATACATCCGAGGTCACGGATGAGGATTTCGAGCAGCCGCGCAATCTGTGGGCGTTGTGCAAGAAGTGGGGCGATGACCAGATCTTCATTGACAACTTGAGCGGACATATGAAGAAGGCGTTGCCGCAGGTGCAGAGGGAATCGATCAGTAAGTTGCTTCGTGAGACACTACCTCGAGAACTTATAAGCTAACGACAAGTAGAAATGTTTGCCAAGGTCGACAAAGAGATTGGTGAGAGGCTCGAGAAGGCATTGGGTGATTCGCTGTCCATGAAGAATGTGGACCATGCATACGCGACGTATGGCCTGCAACCAACACTCGGCGGTGGATACTAGAGCAACACTGGTAACAACTAGTGATATATGAGATAGTTATTCATTTCGTTTACTTCGTTTGTCGTCATGACCAACTTTCAGATGTTGGTATCGCTAGAATATCAAACCTTTCAGATCAAACCCTCAAGCTCGCTACGTTATCCTTCAAGAAATTATATGTATCACTTCTGAAGTCATCGTTCAGGTAGCTGTTGCTGTTCGCGCCAAAGTTCACCAACTTCTTGCTTTCACTCCACCTTGGCCAGTTCATCAGTCCACTTCCCTCATTGGGATCCAAGTTGTAGATGAAGGAGTAATAGTAACCCCTGATAGACTTGGCGGCGTTGTTTGGCAAGATACCATTGAAGACTTGAAGGATATCCGAGCCATGGAATGTCCCTAGGATAGGCGTGCCATAATCGTACGTCGCAAGGTAGGACCATGACGGCACACTAGGGCTGACTTGCGCAGCGACTTCTAGAAAAACGCGACGTGTAAGAGTGAATGTCACGTCGCCGAGGATAGCGGAAATGCGCTTGAACTGCGGGTAGTAGTTGTTGAGGAGGCCAGTTCGGAAAGGTGATCCGTCCTCCGTGATAGTTTGGTAACTGCCAACCAATTGTTGGACTTGCGCTGGCGAAGCATTGTTGAAGAAGATGGTTGAGAGATACGTCGTGACCTCACTGGTGGTGGTAAGATTCGAAGTGAAAAGGCCAAAAAGGGTACCCTCATCCTCTTGGTCGCCAACAATGAAGGGCACCTTGGCGTACTTTCCAGCCTTGACAAGGGCATCGGGGGATGCTGTTAGGGCTTTTCCATCTGGTCGTGGTAGATAGGAAAGATTGACTGTAAAGTAGCTCAAGATACCAGGAACAGTATTTGCGGCATTGAGGAATTTCGTGTATGGAACTGTACGGAGGCATGCCAAAGTATCGGCGGAGCCAGCGCATCCAGCTGCTTCGACAACCTGTGGTGGTTAGCAATGGTCCTCCGTTTTCTCCAATAAGAATAAGAACTCACTCTATCGTAGATAGCCTGACCCTTGGGGCAGTCCACGGGATCGGCTGGCACTATCGAGCCCGAATTCATGATACCAGCTCTGAAGAGGGGCTTCCCCTTGTAGCTATTGTCGCCGTCGTACAGCATCATCTGATCTAGTACAGAAATAGCACCTGCACTCTCACCCCAGATTGTCACCTTCTCGGGATCACCTCCAAATGCAGCTATGTTGTCTGCGACCCACTGTAGGCCCAGCCTTTGGTCGAGAAGCCCCAGGTTGGCTGAACCGTCTTCCAACACCTCTTTTCCGGGCATGAAGCCAAACCCGCCCACGCGGTAGTTTACCGCAACAAAGACGATGGGCTTGCCTTGAGCAACCGACTCGGCTACAAGACTGGCTCCGTCGTACATTGCAGTAGATCCAAGTTCGAAACCACCACCGAATATCCAGAATAGTACGGGAAGTTTGGCGTCAGCCTTTGTACCAGCTGGCCGCTGAACATTGACAGTGAGGCAGTCTTCTCCGGCATTGGTAACGGTTTGAAGGAGTGGCAGATTCAATATGGTTCCTAGAACGTTGGTTGGAATGTTTCTCTCGTCTATGCTGAAGAAGAATTGTGGGCATGCTTTCGGAATGCCAGTGCCATCGACTTTTCCTAGGGAGGAAGTCAATGGCTGAGGTGGTTTCAGTCGCAGCTGATCAATCGGAGGCTGTGCATATGGTATGCCTTTGAAAGATTCAACATTCGCGATGCTGGTGCCAGCAACCGTAGCTTGAGGTGAAGGAGCAATAACGGTGGGATTTGCACGCCTTTCCAGAGGTGCTGGGACTGCAAGAGCCAAAGGAATCAATGGTAGGAGTATTGTGAGCTTCATGTTGAGGTGAGTATGTGTTTGACTCCTGTTGTTCGAACCAAACGAAGATTTCGCTCTTGAAGACTGCTTCTACTAACACTATCCAACACGCGATACTTAACCATCTCGGTAGAGCAGATGTCACAAGCCAGGAACAGCTTTTCTCGCAACGAACCTCGGACGGTACCCACGTCGACTACGTCCGGTCGATGAATTAATCGGGAAGAATAAACACGAGCTCGATGTACTCCGTGGCTGCAGATATACCCATGCTCCAATAACATCTTGCCGGATTTTTGGGTCGCAGATCGCACTCCTTATGGTGGAAGTGAGCTCTGACAGCCTTGTAAGAATGATGTGGTGTGTAGAGGTAATCAATTTCGACCTATCAGAAAACGTAATTGAAAAACTCGGCCAGGGGAAAGAGCCTGAATAGGCTTGGGCTCTTGGTAGCTGACTCCCGGCGCCTATCCACTAGGTGGTGGATCATGAGGTGTCGGCGCATTTAGCGGACGAGTCGCACGACATAGATCATGCCTAGGTAATTTTTAGTTTTGTAACGACGCGAGTCTTTGCAAACATCGCCCGTCTGGTCTTTCCTTTCGGCATCTTCAACGGCAATCGATTTGACTCAAATACAACATCCACCAAATGCGTACTGCAAAGGCGCCTGGTTTAGGATCTCAATGCCAAGGGTGATGTAAACTGCCGAGACGCAGACGGATGCATTTTCCCGGTACATGGTGTATCGACTGAATCGTCGTCTTCGATCTGTCCGGAGACCAGCCGGAAGTCGTTGGTTCGTATTCTGTTGACGGAGATGCTGCCATTCATGGGTGATTACTTGGTACCGCGTGGACAGAATGCGGGGTATTCAAGATGGATTTCCCCACGATTTCGGCCAATCTATCGCCCAATGCATTCCTCTTCGACGCCTCGCTGACCACAGCAGAACCTCGGTGCGCCGTAAAGTTTGCGCAACATCAGATTACATGTGAGAATGTTAAGGGTGGTCTGGAGGACTCAGCGAGCTACGTCAATCTCGGTATACCTAGGCACAGCCTGGTGGCCGATCGCTTTGAAGCCAACAATAGCTCTTGGCACTAGTGGAGCGTATTCTCCGTATTGAACAGTCTCACAAATCGTGGTCAACGGGAGTTGCCGTGGCATCGGTAGAGAGGTGCGCTCCCCGAGATCGGGTGAGAGGATCAGAACAAATGACTTGTCGTGGTCGGCATGCACTCCGAAAGCTCAGTGAAGGAGCAAAGAAAAATTGAAAAGAGTGCTCTCAATTTTCCGATATCGAGAGTGCGCACACTGGTGGTGAGATGGATGTTCAAAGCTTTGATGCGTAGAGATCGTGTTGGGATTAGAAGCTAGTGCAGTGTTACTAAGCCATACATTCAATTGGAAGAGCCCTCAAACTTTACTTACGATCAAGACTTTCTGGATCTTATCACAACATGCCTACAACCGCGATTAGGTTATCCGAGAGGCCTTCGTGCTACATCATTCTAGAATGGCACATAAGATGAGATCAGGCTGCCTTTGGAGTTGATTGCACCATGTCAGCCTCGTCTCCGCTCTCCACTCGCTGTTTTCGGCATGACAGTTCAGCCGCACGACAGTACATGGATGCGATCGTCGCATGCTGCCATCCCGCCACCAATGAGCATAGAAAATTTTCATTCCTGAGATGATTGTGCAAGATTATGCATTGTGTCAAGATCTGGGTAAAGAGCGGGCCTTAAGGATAAATGCACTTTGGGGTCGTACGGTGTCCTGTTCTGTTCTGGAATCCGCGGAGGCGCCATGCAAGCTTTCGCTACGAGCGCGGGCCGCTTTTTCTACGCGGTGTTAAATAGCGTTCCTACGTCGGGTTCACAGCACTTCTCGAAGCCTTATGGAACATGTCAGGGCTACTTTACATTTACGAGCTGAAAGAGTTTGAAGTCCTTGCGATAGCAGGCACAAGTCGGCTCTTGCATAGATCCAATCATGAGCAATGATCACGTCCTGTGCTTGCAAGCGCGTAATCAATCCCCCTGTTGTTGGGGGCCTGAAAAGTACAAGCAGATATCCTCTTTAATTTTCCTTCAACGCGCTTTTTCACCGCTACAATCACGATGCCAGTTTCCAATATCGTGATCGAGCCTCTTCGCTTTCAATGCCAATGTATCGGATTTTCTGAATGGATCTCGTTGTTCACTTTGTGTCTAGCTCCTTTGATCGCCGTAAGTTGTTCTCGAGTCGTGCTTCTCCAGCAACGAAATACTAACGGTTGTCCCGCTTCAGCATCTCATATCCGGGACGCCTACGACGTCGTATCTTACTGATCGACGCCCTAAGTGGTACGATCGGTTGTGTAGTTGTAATCCAACGTCCATCATCTGGAGATACGCTGCGATCACCGATCGGCGCATTCGTGCGATTCAGTGGAGTCGCCATGACCTAGCAGCTACCAATGCGATATTCTGGACCTCGGATGGATGGAATGGTGGGGAAGAGATGGTCACGACTTCTGCTACGTACTGCTTGCGTTATCCAGAGAGTACCCGTGTTGAAATACTTTCATTGACGATGTTGAAGACTGTCATCACAACACTTCAGGGTGCATCAGCATTTTACATACTCGTTGGTAGTGTTGCTGGGGTTGCACTTCCTGGTGTTGCTATTGGGTTCGGCGTAGACACTCTCTTCTTCCCTCTGTCCATATTGGGTCTTTTGCGATTGTGTGCTGCCGCTTGGCTTACGGACGACTTTATTTACCAGGGAGACGGATTGCGAGATACTTCATCCACGGAGACAGCAGGGCCTGTTCGTCAAAGTACTATGGCCAAATACGATGACATCGAACTCGACCATCCCCCTAGAGCGTTGGACCCGCTGATAACGATGCCATCGGAGACATCCAGGTTCCGGTCAGTAATGTTTCTGTAGGAACTGCATTGAAAACAAATACTGACTCGTACACTCCCGTTTAGATCTCCTGCGAACTCATGGAGAAGCCGTTTTTTTCGCATCGCCTTCCTGCTTGTGTTCGGCGGCGTCTGGATAATAGCTCTTTTCATCATCACCCCGCTCCCAGCTCTAGCAGACACGTATAGATACACGATGACAACGTTCCTCCTCGGGATGTTTTACTTCGCATTCATTACCATATCGCTCATCTTGTACACCTTCTATTTCTTTCGTGGTCAGACTACAACCACAATCATACCCTGCGTCTCCAGCATGTGGTACAGGCTCTATAGTCTTCTTCTCACGGGCTTTATGATGGCTCTCATCATCATTGCAAGCCTCGAAACGAACAAAGATCCCACGGGTATATATACGAGTGCGAACATGGGAACCAGATTTTCATGCGTAAAAGCAACGCGGTGGTTGGTATTGCCACAAGCCAGTCGGTGGGCAGGACTTGCAACGGAGTGGGACCTTGGAGAGAGCTGGTTGTCGCAGAATAAAACTAGCCTACCGGTCAGGGGCTTGCAAGAAACGGGGCCTTTTGCGCAGAAAGAATTCTGGTTGTAAGTCATACCCCTGTGCGAACTGTTTGGATCATACACTGACTTCGTACGCTCACTTGTTTAGATACAATTTTACGGGCTATTGCTTCGGAAATATGAACGACATGTAATAGATCGCGTCGGTACTACGCTTGTTGGTGCGGTCCGCGGCCTCATCAGCCGCTTGCTACCAGAAGTACTACGTGCTTCAAAAATAATGTTATATCGAATAAATGTGTGTGCATCTTGGAGGACTTTTTGATGATGAATTGAAACGGGCTAGTGTCATGACGTAATGGCACCTGGGCCGAAACGGTCCCGCAAATCGGCCGGTCGTGCTAATGTTCGTTTGTGCGCTTCAGCTACACAACAACCGTGACGGTGCCCTTGACCAGCCCCCTTCTGTCGCGCATGGTAGAAGGCTTATGATGCCGAATTCTGCCTGAATCAGCGCAAGACCCCGCTATCCCGCCGAGGACTCTTGGACTAGCTATTGATCACCTCTAACTACTAACAACCCCACGTCTACACACGCGGCTTGTCGTAACCATGCCGAAATCCACAGACATTCCCTCGTTCGCTGCATCGCAGCTCACACTCCTCGATGCCGAGCTTCAAGCCGAGCTGTCCGAAACAAACGCGCTTCTCTCCTCGCACACGCCTACCGCCCTCTCACGCGCCGGTCTCGCCATCCTGAACCTTAATGTGTCTTCTATACGGACAGGGCTGGGCGGCAAGACCGTGGTCGAGCTAGGGTTGGATTCGGCAGTTGTGGCTAAAGGCGAGAAGCCCGATATCCCGGAGCACGGCATACGTGTGGGTGATATAGTCGCGGTCCAGGACCAGCCTAGCGGGAGCGCAAAGAAGACGGAAAAGAAAGAGCTAGAGAAGAAGGGTGCCGAGGGGGTCGTGTTACGGGTGCGCAGGGAGAATGTAGAAATTGTGCTGGATAAAGAGGATGCAGATGTGCCTACTGGCAGCAAGCTATGGATGTTAGTCTACGCGTCGTGGACGGTTGTGTTATACACGACAAGGCTGATATATGTACTAGAGTCAAATTGGCCAACGACGTCACCTACAAAAGGTACGTCTTTTCTAAATGCATTCTTTTTGTAGCTACTTGAACTTATGCATGATAGGATGAACCAAACGATGAGCAGACTACAAAAGCTTGGAGATCAAGAGTACACCCCCTTCATGCGCGTACTCTTTGGTCAAGCATCGCCTACACCTTTACCTTCAGATCTGAATGATCCGTTAAACCCTCTTCACAAGCTCGAATGGAACGATCCAGGGCTCAATGACAGCCAGAAAGAGGCAATTAAATTTGCACTGGCTTCACGAGAAGTCGCGCTAATTCATGGTCCTCCTGGGACAGGCAAGACACACACTCTTATCGAGCTGATCTTACAGTTGCTCAAGCAGAAGCTCCGTCTGCTAGTATGTGGTCCATCCAATATATCTGTAGACAATATCGTCGAGCGACTAGCCTCCCACAAGGTACCTATGGTGCGCCTAGGACATCCGGCACGCCTATTACCATCCGTTCTGAACCACTCTCTTGATGTCCTTACACGAACATCAGAAGCGGCTGCCTTGGTCCAAGACGTCCGCAAGGAAATGGACGAAAAGCAATCGTCTATTCGCAAGACACGCAACGCCAAAGAACGCCGTCAGATCTATACCGAGCTGAAAGAGCTTCGACAAGAGTACAGAGAGCGAGAAAAGGGATGCGTGAACAACCTCGTGACTGGCAGTAAAGTCGTCCTCGCGACGCTACATGGCGCAGGAGGCTTTCATCTCAAGGGCCAAGAGTTCGACGTCGTCATCGTAGACGAAGCCAGTCAGGCTTTGGAAGCGCAATGCTGGGTGCCTCTGCTGTGGGTCAAGGCAAGTAAGCTAGTGTTGGCCGGTGACCATCTACAATTACCACCTACTATCAAATCTCTCAACTCAAATCAAACAAAAGTGGCCAAGAAAGATGCCAAGAAGAGTATCGGTAAGGATACCCGAGCTGGAGAAGACAACGCAGAAAAGGCCGCTGGCAAGCCGATCGATGGCATGACGCTAGAAACAACGCTTTTCGACCGGCTACTAGCTTTGCATGGCCCGTCGATCAAGCGTATGCTAACGACGCAATATCGCATGCATGAGAAGATCATGCGATTTCCGTCCGATGAGCTATACGACTCGAAACTTATTGCAGCCGATTTCGTCAAGGATCGTTTGCTGAAAGATTTGAAGTACGATGTCGAAGACACTGAAGATACGCAAGAACCGCTAGTCTTCTGGGATACACAAGGCGGCGACTTCCCTGAGAAGCTCGAAGACGAGGGTGTGATAGGCAAGGGCGGAAAAGGCATGAGTCTCGGCGATAGTAAATCTAACGAAGCAGAGGCGGCATTGGTGAAGATGCACGTCGGTAATCTGATCAATGCTGGTGTGAAAGCGGAAGACATTGCGGTGGTTACGCCATACAATGCGCAGGTACGCGTCTCTCTCACCCTTGTTCAACTTTCGTGCGCATAGCGCATCAACCCGGACATCCATGTAGATTGTGGGGTTTGACCGTTGACGTTGGTAGCTCGCATTGCTCGCTGGAATGCTCAAAGAAGCATATCCTGGCATCGAACTAGGATCGGTCGACGGGTTCCAAGGCCGCGAGAAAGAAGCTGTCATCGTCAGTACGGTACGGAGCAACCCGGAGCATGAGGTGGGCTTCTTGGGCGAGAAGAGACGGCTCAATGGTACGTCAACGTCAATCCTACCGACTCGCCGCAATATCGACGCATGAAATTGCGGCTGCAAGTGTGTGCGATGGGCTAATGAAGGACGCAGTTGCAATGACACGCCCAAAGCGACATCTTTGTGTGATAGGAGACTCGGACACAATAAGCAAGTACGTCCACATTCCATCCCCAATCCATGCCCCCCGCAACGCTCGCCTTCCGTGTTGGTCGCACAATTGATCCCCTCCTCGTCATCGCATATTTCGGTCATACCCGAGAACGTGGGCGTCGGGACATGTTCTTTGCGAATAAGCAAATCTGAAACCCGCGTAACTCGAAACTGCCGTGACACGCTCCCCTGCTATATCACACGGGAACTCGTCGTCACCCACACTCAGACCACACCCTCGGCATCCTGATATACGGCGGAGGATTCCTATACGCTTGCCATGGAAAAGTGGCTTGCATTGTTACTGACTTGATGAATCCATAGGGGGTCCAAGTTCCTGAAGGCCTGGATGCAACACCTAGAAGACCACGCCGATCTCAGATACCCAAACTTGGCAGACGTTTACGTGGACCAAGAGAAGGGCGGATGAGGGGTATGAGTAAGCGAGGCTGTGACAATGCGTTGTCGCCACGGACTCCCAAACAAACAGTGTCGGAGTTGTGGTTCGCTACTGGGTTGGAGTGAGTGTGGGGAGGAGATGGTCTCAGCGCTATGGTTTGGTTCGCAAGCGAAGCGCGATGCTGCAGCTGTGGTATGCAGCGTGACTTTAGCTGCAGTAGTTCCGCGTCAAAGCGCGAGTCGAGACAGGCAAGCTTGCGCCAAAACACCAACGCCGAATGTCTTTGGTAAGAGAGGCATGCGGCAGGAGACTACGGTGGTAAGACGGCGAGGCGAGGCTTGCATGCGTCTACATGCACAAAAGAGAAAAGAGAGGAATCGGGAGGCGCACGACGGAGTAGATTGCGAGTAATGCGCTCATTCTTCCTCAAACCCTTGACGTGAACGGTGTCGTGTAGGATAAAGTGTGTGTGGTGGCGAGTCGTGACCATCAATACATGGCGCAATCACTGTCCGACTATCGAAGTATTCAGCGCGCGGGCAGAAAGGTTGATCAAAACGGCGCCAAGTGCTGGCCACGTCGCTCCTCTCAACGTTCTTCCAGAACGCCTCGCTTACTGCCGACCAGCCTCCCCTATTATTCACGTTTACATCAACACACATCGCCAACAGTAACGCGTGCAGTAGAGGCAGTAGAGTACCAAACATGCGAGATAGACGGTGTAGTGTGGGCTAGAGCGACGCGCCCCAATCAGCCCATGGTCGGAGTTAGTCCGCAGACAGTCTCAAACACGTTAATGCAGGCTGGTGCAAGGATTTGTGTTAGTCTGTACGGCCGAGGGTCCATGACATGCGTCCTAGCGTCCCCATGCATTCTCTCGCGCGCTCAGACCTCGACGCGACAAGACGAGGGTTCGTGGAACGCCTCGGCCAGTGCAGCAAAGCCGCTATTTCTAGATACAGGAGGATTAGCTCTGCGACGGCTTTACTAGGATCCCCAATGGCGTTTCCCTCGACAAGTGGTAGGTTTGGGAGCTCGACAGGGTGGCTGAGGTCCAAGACGTATTAGCAGCATGTTTCAGACGGGCTGAACAGGCTGAACAAGGCCATGGCCGAGCGCGCCTGCGCGTGCGTGCATCCAACGGACGTGTATCGATTGCAACAGTGTACCGCTTTGGCCAAAACATGCAGCTGTACTGTACCCAAAACCCCACGGCCCCATATCCAACAACATGCACGTCGTTCGTTCGCGCCGTCGACCGGCTTGTTGGCCTCTCATGCAAATGCAACGCTTGTGCAGCAGCGATCAGGCCTTTATTTGACTGCAGCCCCCCAGCCCCCGTTGTGTAGTGGTCAAAGGTAATGCCGGTCATACTGCTTGATTCGCAAATGCGCCATCAATAATAGCCTCCTCCTTCCCGCCGCGACACCCCCCATCCGACTGACCCTCCCCACTCTATTGGCACCCTTGTCCAAAGGGTACATGACGCTCTCGGTCTGATACATAGACCCTAAAGAACGCCTCTTTCCCCCCCGTTCTTTTGCTGCTGTTCCCGTTGCGTCGTCTGTGGCACGTCTCTCTTGTTTAACCTCGTCGCTCTTTCTGATCGAGTTCGCTTCTTTTGACTCTTGGGGGCTATCGTTGTTAATTCTTTTATTGCCTATTCTTCGCTTGCTTGCTTGCATCTATTTTAGGAGGAGGAACATTTGCCGCGCTTGTCGCTCCGGTCCGCCTTTGCTTTGCTTCTTACCCATCAATTGATTTCGCAACATCGGTGATGGTAGTCGAGAACCTCAACGCTCGCTGGGTCATCCCGGTAAACTTCGCCTAATCGCAATCTCCAGGACTCGTCCGCATAACCGCATTCGCCAACAATCAGAATCAAAAACGTCGCCTTGCATCCATATGCTTCAACGAGAAGGATTTGTCCTCGCTGATATGAGTGCGTCAGCGCCGTCGCCTTCGCCTTTGCAGCGCTCTAGCTGGAAAGCTGAGGCCATCAGGAGAGGGAACTTGAAGATTAGTGGGCCGATCCCAATCACCGAAGATGTGCCGCTGAACGAAGAGGAAGAGAAAGAGTACGCAGAGAATGGCGTGCTGGACCGAACATTGCAGCCGCAGGACGCGCCGGTAGATCAGTATGAACGCTCGCAAACTCCGCCAAGACCGCTGCAGTCACCCCCACCTGTGCCTGAACAGCACATGTCAGCTTTGCGATCGAATCCGATAGGAGAGCAGACGCAACGCGATGATGCTGTTACTGAGCGACCCATCTCTTCAAGATCCCCACCACAGGTGCGACAGTTGAATGAAGTACAGCGCGAAAGCGTTGTGCCGTCGACTTCAATTGCATCCCCGACTCCCTTTCGCTCAACGCCAGAGAGCGCCAATAAGGCTGCGCAGAAGAAGAAGCGCAAGAGCGGGCTCAGGAATGTATTTCGGAAGATGTTCGGACGAAAGAGCCCGGACCGGGAAGATCACGAGGAAGAACCGATGCAGCGTGGTCATAGCTACCACCACAGCGTAAGTCTGCGATAACACTCTGACGATCCAATTCTGACGATGGACAGGATCCTGGTCTGCTGAGGTCAACACCACCGCGAGAACCGAGGACACCGCCTGCCGGTCCTCGGATATCAGATCTGCCAGTAGAGGAGCTACAGCCATTGCACCCATTGGGCCAGCATCTCCCGTATCCCATGAACGTGAATGCCCCACCAGCGAGTCCACCCAAGGAGTATCTCACTTTCGACATGGATAGGCCCGATCTCGGTCGCCGGAGAGCGACACTACCCACTGTTCCAAGTGCTATCACTCACCGGCGCAGTCTGGACGAGCCCCGAGAGAAGCTATCAGCGTGGGATGAAAGGGTGGAAGAAGATGAGATGTCTCCAGGTATTGGTATCGCCGTGTCCAGTCCCACTCAAACGGTGGCCTCAAGACACGACAGACGACGATCGAGAAGCGCAGATGCTCTTCATAGTCTCGCCAAAGAACGCGCGTCGACGGAGAGAGGACGAAGTGCGGAGATTAAGTTCTGGCGGGAGAGCTACATGTCCGGCAGCATCTACAGTAGACCGCAAACGGCGAAAACGGTGGAGACCGTTCGCACCGTGCTGACGCAGGAGCCCATGATTCGTGAACCAGACAACGAGTCTTTTAACGAAATGAGCGCGACGCTCGTCCAGGCGGACGACTCGCAGACCCCCACTCCGATCACCGAAGAGCCGAATCGCGAGCAGAAGCACGCTGAGCAACCCCCAGTCCCGGCCTTCAACTTTGGCGACCTGAAGAATGCGCTGTTTGGACCCAAAGAGGAGACTATTCCAGAGTCGCCTCAAGTCAGAGACGTCTCCCCACCACCTCCGCCGCCAGCCAAGAGTCAACATCGCGTGCCCATTGAGGACCGCGTTCAAGATCTCGAACACAGGTACTCTAACCTCGAATCACTTACCCGCCAGATGTCATCCCGCAACAACCGGCAAACCATCATTCTCGAAAACGCACCTCGTAACTTGCGATCAAGGAATCGGAGCGTATCCGCATCCGGTTCTCATTCGCGATCTCACTCCAGAGCAGCACCCAGCATTCACCAAGAGCCCATTCATCAATCAAGTAGCGAGACTCTTGATCCTGAGCCTGCGCCTGGTTCCCCAACTCTAGCGGTACCCCCCGTTCCCAATACGGGCAGCAACGAGGAGAATGCGCGAGCGCTACGAAACGTGTATGAAGCGCTCAGACACGAGAGGGGCGCCAGGAAGGCATTGGAATCACAAGTCCGCACTCTTCAACATGACGTGTCAGATCTACATGCTCTGGTCAACAAACTCATCGCTTCAGCGACCGCTACCTCACCATCGTATCCTACTCCTTCTCCTGACACGTTGATAATCTCAAGTGAAGATCAGCGGATAAGCTGTTCTACACCGAGAGCTCCAACGCATGACCGAAATGTGATTTACGGCCAGAACAGCCATAGCAAAGACCAGCGATGGGGTAATGATGATTCGAGCGTTTACTCTGAGGATCTGGCGCGGAAGCCGAGCTACGATGACGTCGCGACGCCAGACGTGTGGGCGACACCCAAGGAAGAAGGGTTTGGCGGAAGTGGTTTCTTCCATGGTGAGGACAGGATGAGAGGATATGCTTGAGACTTTTGGATCGCTTGATGCGGTCTTGAGACGTGGAATGGTTGGCAAGGTTTTCTTTCCTCTGGATACGTCTGAGTTTGGCATGAACTTTGCATGTTTGTAAGATACCCAGCGTGGGCGTTGATCTGGCGCGCACGCTTCTCTTTGTTCAGCGACTTCTTTTCTTGTGTTTACGGTTTGATTTAGCGAGTGAGCGTATGGAAATGCATGCATTCTTGATCAGTTATTTATAATCATTCATGGAAAATGTGATGCTGGGTCCGCTGCGATCTGAGTGAGGTAAAAGATAACATATTTGTCATTTGAATCACGCAGCTGTATGTACATAAATATGAAGCTATATTGTGGCTACCATCCACTGCCACGCGTAGTACCGCGATGACCCTTCTGCACCTCGTTATACACGGTGATTGGGCAACGGAACGATAAGTCTGTGGAGGAAAAGAACTAAAAAGATGCTTGATAGCTGGGAGACGAGCTGCAAATACCATTGCAATGACGACAAGGCATGCTATAAAGCGAAACTAGAGAACTCAGACAGACACTTCCCTCAGTGCTTACATTAGCTGACATGAACGCCACAGCATCACCAAATCCGCGCCCGTTCCCTCCTCACTCACAAAAGCTGCAGAACCAAGCACTTGATTGGAGTCAATGAGCTTGAGAAGTTCAAGGCTGGACCATCTTATGTCTTCGATAAGACTGTGGCACCCGAGAAGAAGTGCACTGTGTCTTCTTCCTCATATCCACAACGGAAGTGGGATGCAGGCCGGAGGATGACGTACACATAGAGCAAGTAGGGATATCTTTGGAATGCGCTGTTTAGCTCACGGATACATTCATGACAATGAGTCTAGATATACGAAGAAATATAGCCCATACTCCCACGTCTCCATGTTATGATCAAATGTTTTCTATCCTCATCATGCAGCGTGTTCGAACACCGTACCGTCTTGAACTCATACACCAAGCCTTATATCACATAGTATAAAATTGGAGGTATGGTTGAAGAACTTCATTACATTAATCATTATGTACTTGTTCGCTTGCTGGCTCGCTTATAACGCTTCAAAAACATTTCCCCTCCAACAGTAAATACTTCTCATACAATCATTATTGATCCCCACTAGTTGACGTGGGGAACATAGGTGGGACCTCTACCCTCCTCGAAAGTAGGTCCGGCAGGTCCGTCGAGGTAAGTACTTCCGCGGTTACCCGCATAAGAGCTGTCCCTCATGCTCTCGCTGTAACGCGCATCTTTGACAACTTCAGGCCTATGCTCGCCCTTACGGCCAAAGCTCCAGGCGCCCAAAAGTACCAAAGCGAGGATGCCAAGATCGCACAGCTCGCCGAAGATGATGAAGAGAAAAGCGAGGGCTTGGTTTGTAGTGCGCGAATAGCTGTTCACGTTCTTGTAGATGAGTACCAGCTGCGCAATGGAGAAGGCGTTGCGGGCCCAAACAAGAGGCGTAACAAGGAAGACGAAGCGGGTAAGAGCGGACTTGGAGCGGTTCTAGAAGTTGTCAGCACATGCTTATGCGCACAAGAGGAGTAGACTTACACCAGTGACGCCGTTCTTCCTGATACCAAGCCAGCACAGCACTGCCTCGAGCGTCGCACTAGTCGAAGCCGCAATAACAACAGCGACGTAGGTAACGTACAATGTTCGGACAAGATAGTCACTGCGAATCAAACTAGGGTACGCAAGCGCACTGTTGCCGCTACCACGCCTTGCAAGACCAACAGCCCAGCTCGCAAATCCAAGAGCAAGGATAGCCAAGATCCAGAACCCGTTCCAAATCCAAGATAGAAAACCAGGTTCCTTGATACCGGTACCGTTGTTCTGGACGTGGTTGGCGTGGATCCAGATGGCGCCTACAATGCAGGCATTCATGATGATCATGGCGCATTGGTAGAGGAAGGACAGGATGGAGATGATTTTTCCATATTTGATGGAGTCATTGTTGCCGAATGGCGCAGTGTACTGGGGGTAGGAGTAGGCGGATGTGATATAGAAGGGTGAGTTCAGACGGGATTGAAGGGCAACGATTGAGGATTGTGTTGCGTAGGCGATCATTAGGGTGAAGAGACCGGTGATGAGGAAGATTTGAGTTCCCATAGAGCTATTTTGCGTGTCAGTAGCTGTGACATCTGAGTAAGAGAGGCTGGAAGATAGTACCTGTGCCTCTTCTCGGTTGACCTGGTAAACTTCATGAATCTTCGTGGGCGGCCTGGTCCACCAGCAAGCTGACGACCGAACAGAGCGAGGGCCGCCAGGAGGAGGATAATAGCACTTCCTGCTGTAACGACATGGAGGGAGAAGATGGCCTGGACGGTGCTGGTGGTGTTTGTGATGGCCATTGTGCGAGCTGGACGGATGCGCAGGACAGCGCCTGTGCAAGACCAATTCTTCAAATTATTTTGCTATAGTAATGTTGCGTCTCTGGACGCAAACACAAGAGACTTTATCACATCAACCAAATCTATGCGGTCATACCTCACAAGCCGAGGCCATGACGACGAGTTACTGTCAGACTCTGACAACGTTGACGTGCATCGAGACCCAGCAACCTTCTGGCCTGGTGTTTAGCCATGTGACTAAACGTAGCCTCCACGTAGATCGTGCAATCAATGAGTACGGTGCGAGTCGCGATGCTGCGTTTAGCTTGGTCGAATGACGTTTAGCGGCGCGGAGAGTTCGGAATGACGTCGCTAGCCAATAGCACAAGCGAGACCATCATCGTAGCCAGATGCTTTTCTGTTTGAACCCTCTATTTGAGTTGTTTTGTTTGGGCACCGAAGATCGTCGCGCTCGTGATGGTGTCATCGTGGTGGAGATGTGAGCGCGGGAGATGTGTTCGCTTGTGGCATGATCTTCCCAGGGGCTTCTTGCTTGTGGGTTCCGTGTAACCGTGTTGACGCGCTAGCTGGTGGGAACATGATGCGCGATGAACCTCGAAGCAGGATTTCCAAGGCGGAAGAGAGAAAGGCGACGATACTCAAAATTCTCCTGCATCGAGTGCACACTATTAGAACGCGTGGATTGGCGAGTCTTCCATAATCGATGACGTGCTCATGGCTTCTTACACCCCGATCCATCAATCGCTCTTCCCAACTCCAACCACCCTTCCACTGCCTCTGAGTCCCAGCTCTTCGGGTGTCCTGAACCTCCGCACGGACTCTATATCATTCCTTCCACCACTTTTGCGTTTGCCATGCTGCGCCTGTTCGTAGTCGTCTTTATGCAATCCACACCCAAAGATGATAAACAAACACACAATGACGAACAGCGCCATGACTGCAAGAATAAATATGAACAAAGACCAGATGCCAGAGCTGATGTAGTCGATAAAGGATGACGAAGCCGAATTGACCATATGTGTCGCTGTGCCTTTCTTGCCATTGGCATCCCAGTCGTGGAACCACATGTGCATTTTCATCGGTTTTTTGATATCTTTACGTGGAACGAGTGAAGCACGGATGATTTCGTACGCGCTCGCATGGTCGCCAGCTGAGAGCAAGGGACGCTGTAGAAGCACGACTTCCAAAACCTTCTGCTCCTCCTTGTCCATGATGATGGTAAGATGTGGAGAGGTCAGATCAGTCCACATCTCCATGACATCGAAGTAGAATAGCAGCGCGTTGGACTCCTTGAGACGACGTAACGAGTAGGAGTATGAAGCGCCAAAGTAAGCACCTCCAAGGTTGTCGAGCTGATTGGATTCAACAAGCTTATCGACATCGTCTTTCGACGTGTCCAACAAGACTTGATTGACGTATATCCGCGGCAGAATCTTTGAGTCTGCTAGCAGTGGAGCATTGTTGATGTTCAATCGCGATGAGTCGTATGGGAGAGAGATGTTCAGCAGCTGGAGAGCGTCAGCCTGCAAAGTCATTCTTACGAGAGTAGGATGCAATCACCAGAGCGTTATCATCTTTCCTCTCAGTCCATGGTGCATCGCTGCCTTGTGACGTGTCCTGGTGTAGGAACGGGCAGCCAATACATGGGAGCTTGGCAATCACGTTGTAGCCTTCTGCAACGGTGGTGATCTCCGGCGCAACTTCCGCAGCTACGAATCGTGCGATCGCGGAAGCCACAATTAGAGGTGCTACCTGGAATATCATGATAATTAATATGAAGATCCGGTTGAAGTGATGTTGCGCGTGTTGACACGTTTGAGCTGAGTGTATGTAAGCCGAGGCGAGTGGGGCGACATCCTGGATCATGTGAAGGCGCGAGTTAGCGTGTTTGGAATACGAGCTGCATCAATTGCATTCCACTTTTTGTATAAGACGTGTAATTCTGGATTTAGTTGCATTGACCGAGCAGACTGGATGTTGAATAAACGCTTTCCTGATATTCGTTTTACTCATTAACATACACACTTGCTCTCAAGGTTTGACCTCTCAAGCGCCGTCGCCAACTCTTCCCTCTCCATGAACACTCGAGGATCAATACTGTAAACACATGTATCCAGAGTCTTTGCATCATGGCTGAGCTACTATCCTGTGTATGGAGAGCCTGCAATGTAGTGAGTGCTCATTTTGTTTTTCTATTTACCTCGTCTTGTCCAGCAACGCCATTCTCTCTCATCAACATTTCCATGATCTCGTTGTCGTCATGATCGTCGTACGTATCGCATTGCGTTTCCAGGCGCTCCTTGCCAGGCGCTTCTGAACAGACCTCTACTGTGTTGTCCGCTACATCCACATCCTCAGCGTCCATATTCCTTGACAGCGTAACGCGAATCGTCATACACGCTGGGAGCGCTTCTTTACATTCCTTGTTCCTAAGATGTTCTTCGATATCGCCCAGCTTCTCCAGGATTCGTGCGCGATCCGCAGTCGGACTAAGCGGCTCAAGTCTAGGATCCAGTTTGGACCGATTGGAAACGACGAGAGCGCCAATCTCAATGATGCGCCTGCTTCGTGCCATTTCGTCAGGGCGTCTCATGTGTCGAAACACCGGGCCTTCCGAGTGGACTGTATGAACAGTTGTGCCAGTGCGGTAATTCAATTCTTCAATGTCGGCCAACTCGTTTAGTGGTGTGCCAATGGGTGTTGGTAACAGGCCACCTACCAACGAGTCACTGTAGATATGGTATGGTGTACTTGTCGGGTTCGTTGGTCTGTCTCCTTGCGCGGGACCTTGACTTGCACTCCTTCCATGCCGGTAGTATAGACCATTCCTTCTCCTGTCTTCTGGTGTACTCGATCTCGCGCGTGGTGCTTGAAGGCGAATGAAAGTTGGGTTGTTGATGCTATTACTTGCAGCGATTCGATTCGCGTCGCTAGTACTCAACGATCGACGACGATGACCGTAGCATTGTGGCAGCTGTGCTGGATAGTTGTAGGCATTATTCGTTTGAGATCGTGTAGGACGGGGACGGTGATTGTAGTCTTGCTGATCAATTATCGCTGGATGAACTCGTTGCAGCTCTAGTGGGTACGGATGTGGTGAGTTTGGCCCAGGGGTCGGGTACACTGCGGCGTTCTGGCCGAAGTCGTAGTTGGAGAAGTTGGGGGTCGAGATTGCGGAGGGGTTTGATGAATCAGCAGGTACAATACAGTCTTCTTCGTATGCAAATCCGAGCTCATCAAATATGTCGCTGTCGTTTGACAAAAAGACAGGCTGTGCTGAATCAGCTGTTCCAAACAATTCTTCGAAGTCGGCTTGTGAGAGTTGTTGATCCTGATTCATCGATGGAGAGAACCGATCAACGGCTGTGCGACTGAGCGGCGTGCTTGTCTGAGACATTCTGTTATGTGCTCGCTTGATCCTAGTAGGTTCACAATATTGAGTAAAGCGCGAATGGTCAACCACAATCTATGGTCTGCTGGTACGCGAAAGATGTTACACAAGAGATGGGAGGCTGCGTAAACGATGCCCAAATATAATGCTGTTTCTTCCTTCCGTTGGCCTGAGCTGAGACAGACGGGCTTAGAGGGTTCGGTGAGCATAGACGGTGGTGCTGGAGAGGGCGAATAGACGGATACCTACGTACATGACATGACCGCTAGGCAAACATCGCTCCTATGCACGTAATGCATGTAAGCCAGTGCCAAGATGAAACGGGCACGCTCTCGATATCATGTGGGAAGAGAGTTTATTTGCCATGCCTGCGTTAGAAACCATCAGTTGCGACATTTTGGAGACATTCGTCAATGCAGACCATGTTCTTTCAGTCAGCCACGTCGCGCATACATTGTATTACAAAATATTCGCAGGGCCGGAGCGCACATGGAGATTTGACATCAGCGAGTATCCACTGACTGCTGTTTAGAGCCGAGACAATGATCTTTCAAACTCCTCGCTCTTCCGTCTTCATTGAGGCATTCAAGTCGTGGCATCATGAACGTGAGGTTCCACGGTATCTTACATCCATATTATACAAACAGAACTGGCTCCCGAGGCCCGGATGTTCATTCACTCTTTCTTCCCGTCAGCGCCCTTTCCTTTCTTATCCCAATTCCAAACCTCCCAGATCTGTTCAAAAATCATATCACCATAACTCTTCCCCTCCTCAATCGCCTTCTTCTCTTCCTCGAGTCTCCTCTCTTTCCATCCTTCCTCCTCATCACCCATCCACAGCTTCCCCAGTATACTCTTCTCTTGCCCCTCCTTCCGCTCTAGACTCTTTCTACTCTTTTCCCTCTCCTCCTGCAATATCTTCTGCATCTCTTTGGCGCGTTCGGTGGGTAGTTCCATTGTGCGCATTGGACTGAGGTTTTGTACAAGGCCACGGCCCGTACGTAGGGTTATAAGGTGGTCGGCTGAGAGGTAGAAACCGATTCCCAGGGAGAATGTGTAGAGGTCTAATTTTCGGGGCGGCATGGCGGCTATTGTTGGACATAGAACAAGGCCGCCGATGGCTAGGTTGCGTGTTATGCGTTGGTAGCGGGCTTGTTGTTCGAGGGCTAGGCGTTCTTCTGGTGGGATGGGCATATTTTGTATGGGGGTTGGAGTCGCCATCTTGAAGTTTGTGGTTGTGCAGTCAAATTCAGATGCAACGCGTCGGTCGGAAAGTAGTTTGCGCAAGTGTTGCAGGTCAGGCAGACGTGTGGAAACGGTGATGGTAGGGCAGTTCAGTGAGCACGATGTCAAAAAGTTCAATGATGCAAAGACGGCGGTTAGCTCCCGCCTCGGCTGCAACTTCCTCTTCGGAGCGGAGGTGCTGCGGAGAACTCGATGTAGACGCAAGCCATGTCCAGTACATAAGAGATACGCATTATAACTGTGTATAGTGCAAGTGCGCCTAAAAATGCGCGGTCGTCCGAGTTCAGTGCTCATTCCGCCATGTTCCTTGTCCTAATCATTCATGCACGACCAATATCATACAACACGCGCCTCCCTAAACATATGCTTTGTTACCGGTGAAACTTCCGCCTCTTTACATCAACTCTGTCTTCGAATCGTGGGTCCTGTTCTCTCGCTGGCTCATCCTCCTTCCTTTTACCCAGCCCTTCAAAAGTTCCACTGCTCCTCAGCCGTTTGGTTGGGGTTCTCTCCTGCTCACTCGCACTGTATCCACCTCGGGAACCTTCCTCATCTGTGCCGGCCGGCCCATCTGATCTGGGCTCCTCCTCGTATGAATCGAACTTTCGCTTCTGCGCCGTGCTCGGAGTCTGCATCAAGCGTCGTAAGCGGTTTTCTTGCAGCCGCCGGTTGACCTCCTCTGTGACATCGACATGTTGAACAACATATGTGTCTTCGATCTTCGTTCGCTTTGCGCGTGGTGTTGGTGATTGGTCTACGAGAGGAGATATAGCGTGGGCGCTGGGAGTCGGGGTTTGCGCAATCGGTGTCTCTGCGGGACGCTTCGCGCCTTCGATACTGAGGCGTTTGTTTGAAGTCTTGACCTGTCGCGTGTTAGGTCGGCATTTCGAGCGCACATGGCATAGCAAACCTTCTTCTTCTCCGCCAGGCCTTCGTCCTCAAGCTGATCCCTGAATCTCTTCATGTCGTCCTGTAATCTACCTGATTTGTTTCGCAGCGATAAAAGGTCCGCGGAGAGCCAGTCCGGCGCATTGTGATCCGTCGCATCGAGCGTCTCATTGAGAAACAGTAGCTGGGCGCGCAGATTCTCGATGTGTTTGTCAAAGTCCTGAAGATCGAATGAGAAATGTAATGGGATTGGTAATTGTATGAATTACCTCGAGCGACAGCTTCGCCATTTTTATGGCAGAAGTTTGAAGACGAACAAGGGCAGACGCATGCAGGAGACTTCGACATTAGTTGCGGAGTCCCGAACACTTGGACCCCCCTGTTCCGATCGGAACCGGAATGAGCATCTTGGGATCATGCCTCTTAACCACGAAGGAGCAACATGATAGGCCATGGTTACATAGCTGCATGACGCTAGTTGATGGGGTTCCAGACTACTGAAAACTGTTCATGTACTATTGTGATTGATATTGTGATGCCAACTTTAGTAGTAGGCATGCCTACTTGTGGCCCCTTCCATCCTGCACAAGTAGCAATTCGTGGCCGTCGTACTTGACATTTCATACCTCCATACAATCTCCCATCCTGCATGAACACTCATTCTACACACGACATAGCTAAATATCGCACTTCTGTTCCATGTTACTTGCATCGCGCCACTGTCGTTCTTCGTCTACGACCAATTTCTGTATCCATGGAAGCGAAGCGCTGGGGACGTGAAGGGGAACTTTTCCCCTGTTGTTGCCGCCTCGTGTTTAGACTGGGTACATGTCGCTATCTGCGAACGGTCGGATGGTAAACTGCACAATCCAAGCTGGACAATTCGACTGTCTTCAACCTTCATCTTCGCCAAACGTAAGCTTGACAGCTTTGGCCTTCTTCTTGGGCTTCTTCGCAGGTTTAGCATCCGGCTTTTTCACAGCTGTCTCTTCTTCCCCCTTGCTCTCGCTCTGGTCTTCACTGATAATCTTCGCCGCCTTGCGCTTCTTTGCATTCGCACCAACTTCGGCAATTTTGTCCTTTGATTGTGACTTAGAATCGTTGTCTTTCTTCTCGCCAACCTCATCGGTGACAGTCTCTTCCCCCTCTTTACCATCTTTGCCAGAGACAAGCGCATCATACTCCTCTTTGCTTAGTGACTGGTTTGTCTCTTCCATGACATAAGTAGGTGCGTCATCCTCGTCATCGTCTTTCTTCATCCTCTTGTTCCTGGCGATGGGATGTTCATGACGAGCTGTATCCCCACTGGTGAGCTGGCCACGCAGGCGTTGCAAGAACGCTGGCTGTGAATTGTCTGTAACAAATTAGCAGGTAATGCAGCGCTGGAGCAAACCCGCTCACCGAAATGCAGGTCCTTTGCTTTGAAGTTGCTCATAGTGATTGTAATGCAAGGAATGCCGATACGACATGCACGTAAGGTCTAGATTGGGCGCCTGGCTGGATGTCGTGTCGATCGCTTAGCGGTAACTTTCCGTGCGGCTCCTTCCAACGTCTTGGCTGTGGAGATTCTTGGGGTATACTTTCAATCTACGTTCTCCATCTCAGAGTTGATTCACCTTATCAAGCCTCTGAGCTGAATTGGCGTGTGAAGGTCCATTCCCAGAATGTATTGGTCCGCTGCACCTGCTATCAGCGTCTGTGCTAAAGTGCTTGGCGCGTCACCACCGACAGGGAACATGTCAACTAGCAGATCTCGAAACGCATACGCAATCGTCGGCCGCTAATAATTTACATTCAACGACCCTTTTCCCTCCTTTCACTCCGTCAGGGTTACAACCTTGAGCCTGTCGCGCCAATCACCAACCGCCCACCATTGTCGTACGCCCATCTGGAGTCACGACCCACACGCTCGTTATCGATCAAGCTCCCTGGCTTGAACACGTCGCCCTTTCCTCGTCCACAACCGTCGCACTCATCTACCACTCTCTTAAACGTCCCCGAAGTTACTTCGCATCGCTCGCGACTGGACCATAGAAGGGAAGGACTGCCATTGGCAGGGAACACATTTCAGGAGTTGCCATCACCAGGGCGCCACTATGGGCTTCCTACAAGATATGACCAAGAGGCTACCAACCTCGAAAGATAAGATAGACACATTTGACGACCTACCGCGCCGCAATGAAAAGACGTCGTCTCGACTATCCTTCTTTCGACGTAGGATACGACTGAAGGGGAGCTCCTCCGTCTCGATACCTCTGGGCCTGGTGCTCCTGTTTCCATGTCTCGTTATAATAATAATCATAATCCTGTTCGTGAAATCGCCAGACTCGCAGGGCATTATGAACATGCCAGCCGGCGGTCCACCATCAATAAGGTAAGAGAACTTCGTCCACCACAAAATGGAGCCAGCAACTAACATCGCGCAGACGGATAAGCGAAAAGTACGATAAGCCATTCGCAGTAGGCTGTCTCGAGCCACAGGTCAACGGACCCCGAGCAAACGCCGCAATCGTAGTCCTGGCGAGAAACAAGGAGCTAGACGGTGTCATACAGTCGGTCAAGTCGCTCGAGAGACACTTCAACCGGTGGTTTCACTACCCATACGTCTTCCTCAACGACGGAGATTTCAACGAGACGTTCAGAGAGACTGTTTTAAGCCACGTCAGTGGTTCGGTGGAGTTTGGAAAGATACCTCCAGAGCAATGGGGCTTCCCCGATTGGGTAGACCCAGAGGTTTACAAGGAGGGAATCGCCAAGCAGGGTGACAGGGCCATTATGTACGGTGGCATGGAGAGCTACCATCACATGTGCCGGTTCTACTCAGGGTACGTTTTCAAGCGCAACTGGTCTTGACTTCTTCTAACATTGGCAGCCAATTCTACAAACACGAACTACTCGCCAAGTATGAGTGGTACTGGCGTCTCGAACCCGAAATCAAATTCTTCTGCGACATCACATACGATCCATTTATCCACATGATTCGAAACAAGAAGACGTACGGGTTTACCATTGCAGTGAAGGAACTGAGGGAGACCGTGCCCAACATCTGGAGATATGCGTCAGCATACAAGCGGAATAATAACCTGACTTCGAAAGGCATGTGGGAAATGTTTGTGGAGAAGCCAGAGAAGAAGGACGAGGAACTCAAGACAGAGCCTAAGAAGAAGAACTTCTTTCCCCAGGATATCATGGATACCGAGTTCGGCACAGAAGCCATGCCGGACATCCATCCCGAGAACATGGAAGGCGAATCATACAACATGTGTCATTTCTGGAGCAATTTCGAAATCGCCAATCTCAACTGGTTCCGAAGCAAGGAATACAACGACTTCTTCGAGTTGATGGACCGTAGCGGCGGCTTCTGGATGGAGAGATGGGGAGACGCGCCTATCCACTCACTGGCCGTTGGAGCACTACTTGGTCCTGAGGATATTCACTACTTCCGCGATTTCGGATACCGGCATACCACGATTCAGCATTGTCCCGCCAATGCCCCCGCCCGGCAGCTCGCACGCGAGCCATACCTAGAGAAGACAACACTCGACGAGAAGGAGCGACTGGAAGAAGACAAGTACTGGGCACAATACGACCCCGTCAAAGAGAATGGCGTCGGCTGTCGCTGCAGATGCGACACGGACATTGTCGACGTGGAAGGCAAAGAAGGGTCCTGTCTTACAGAGTGGGTGGAAGTTGCCGGTGGTTGGGCGTCGCCCGGACCAGATGGACCATGATCTCTTCTCGCGTGGTATTATATCAGCTTCGTGCTATCATTTTGCGGGAGCGTTAGCATGTACTCCCTTTTCGAGTAAGGCGTCAGGTGTTGGCATTGCATACGGGTTGGGCAGCCCTTCACTAGAGTATCAGGACTATGGGGGCGTCGTAGAAGCGCCTACTGGCTGCACATTGGCAGACAGATACAGCACACGAAAACGAATACGAACAAGTCGAAAACACTAACATTGTTTCGGCTGCTGTGAATCAGACACTACGCTGTACGTGAGTCCGTGATCGCCCGCAGTCGGGGATCGCCCACTTTATTGTATGCGCATGTGAACCATGTTCCGTATCTTATCGCTTACAACATGGCCTGCGGGGTATACCCCCATTGGCATCCCACCTAAGCACCTAAGCCCTACCGTCCATCAGCACCCTGTCGTCACCACAACTCGCACTTGTTTGATCATTCACTCACACTCACATTCACTGACAACAGCCCAACAGTCGTTGTATCAGCAACAGTGCCCAGCTTGGTATGTGCTGTTATCTGCCCCGCGTGGTCTCCACTCCTCCCGAAGGCCCCCATACGCGCTTCGCCCGCAGCTAGTTAGGCAGCGTCCACCTGGTGCCCACCACAACCACCTCACCCTTGGCCGCTCCGCCTCCCCTCCTTCACCACACTCGAACCTCTCTGAACCTCTGCGCACTCACTAAGCATTGCATGAACACGAGCTGACATGTCTTCCAGCGAGCCTATTCAGTCTCAAGATCTAGAGTTCCCTCCGGTTCAAGTTGATCGCTCACTTACTAGGCTCGATCTTGAAACACTCATGATGAGGTCGACGCAACGTCGGCAGCCAGAAGAGGCGGGCAGCACTCTCGATGACAGCAGCTATGATCTGCTCGGCGACGGCATCATTGACATGTCCGACGACGAAGCACACACTGAGTCCATCGCGTCCACCGACGGTCCTACCCCGGATGACACGTCCGACGACTACAGTGATGACGACGGCGAGTATGATACCGTCGAGCGAGGCTTGCAAGATAGCACATACTCCTCACACGCTGAGCACCACGAGCACCCCGCCCAAGTACACCCCATACTGTCCGGCGAGGACTCTAGTCTGACAGAGGTGCCCCCGTACCTAAGTGGGAGCATGAGCCCAAGGCATTTCATACTCCACGAGCGAGCCACAAGCAACGCCGATGTAACTCACGGAAGCAGTGTCATAAAGAGCTCAGCGGGTTACACAGACGAGCTTCCACCCGTGTTCGAACGTTATGGTTGCAAAGAGATCAGACTGTCGGTCAAAGCAGCCTTGTCTCAACAACCCCTTACCACCCCCGACACGTACCGAATACTTTACGTTGGCAGTGGAAAGTGGGCAGAAGGCACCATCACGTCCAAGATCGGCGCGGCACTCGCTGCCTACCCTGACGCTTCGAAGACGGTCATGGTCCGCGGTCAGGTCGAGCCATACGCTCCAGTCCCACACACTGACCGTTGTGCCGACATGTTGGTCTACAATGCTGGCCACATTCGCGTGCTCACCGAAGATGGTCGCTATCTGGTGTTCGGTTCTGGCGTCTCTGCTCGCTCTCAAGATCGACCAGACCTTGTCATCCTATGTCACCCAAGCGTCCTTGACCACACTGCTGACAAGCAAGATCTTGCATCTGTTAAGAAAGTATTTGATCGCGAAGCAATTCCATGCATCGAACTTGCTGAGACTAACCCATTCGGGGCCGGGTCTTCTGCTGACAACAACACGTCGTTGCGAGTATGCGTAGAAGGTCGGGGGAACCCAAACACTGACTACGAGCTGAAGGAAGTGCTGCCTCTTGACATCCACCAATTCGATCAACTTGAGCCATCCCAGCTTAACCGCCACCTCGCACTGATTAGTCCTCATCTAGCGACGGCCCAACACACAAAGGCTTTGACTGCCCGTAAGTCGTGGCTCGGCGAGAAGACCCATGCCCGTATGAAGAAGATTGGTCCGCATCTACACTGGGCTAGGTGGCTAGCATCTGCCATTGTTCTATTCGCTCTTGTTCCTGCACTGCTTCAGCATACAGCCTACCTCCCTATGCTCTACCAGAAAGTATCGCAGATTCAGTCGGTATCGCCAGCCGTGTCTGAGGCACAGAGCATTATGTCTACAATCACACCCATAGCGGCAGTGTCTTCAAGCACGGTTCATTCCCCATTATCGTCTCCTACTTCAACTCCGACAGCATTTCAAGGAGGTCTCACCATCGTCCCCCCTCAGCAGAAGCAACCTCACCGAAAGCCAAAGGCAAAAAACGACCAAGTTGAAGGTTTTGAGATCCAGACTACTGGGGATCATCAGTTCATTCTGCGTCCTTCAAAGACGTTCAGCTCGAGCCGGAAGAAGCCTCAGCTCCAGATTCATGTTTCCCACCAGTCAGAAGAGGTTCCAGCACGCTACAACCGAACCATCACTGGCGAGTACATTGTCGATCTGGAACAGCAATACCGCTTCGACAAATTCAACGTCAGTATTGCCACCCACTCAAAGCCTCTCCTGCGGCAGTCCTTTGAAGTAATGCTGGGACATAACAAGACCGCACTGGATCAACTTCTCGACACCGCCAAGTTGAACATGTTCGATACACAGATCGCCCTTCTAAACGTCTCAGCTACAGCAGCACAAGCAGTGCAAGTATACATGGCTGGCTTAGATGCGTACGCCTCGAAACAGCTTCAAGAAACTAAGAACCGACTGGAGATGAAGACGCGACGGGCAAGACAGATCCCAGAAGCTACATGGATGGGATTACGAGACATAACCGCGCCAGTGCGGACGTCGTCAGCGATGAAGAAGGCTAGGATGAATGCTCTTCGCGTCAGGTGCAAGATGGAAATGGCAGCAGGTTTATCTGCCAGGGGAGATGGGGAAAAGCAGAGCTGGGCTTGTGCAAAGGTGCGAGGAGGGGCATAAAGGAGACGGCACGCAGTGGAGGATTTATTTCGCTTCCTGTACTGTTTTCTTTTGTTTAGGCAGCGGCGTATGTAGGACTCGAAGGCAAACATGAAGGTGCAGAGTTATACCCATGGGATTTGATTGGGATACTGGGATGTATGGTGGGATGACTAGGAGTTATAGGCTTGTCAAATTCATCATATACCATAGTGGGTCTACAGCAGCTTGTAGGCTGGCACAAACCTTTGCCCGGTTTTTATGGCAATTGTACACGCATGACATGTATCTTGTGATCATGTGAGTAGCCGGCATGAAGACTGGACGCAAATATGGCATGGTGCACCATGTGTCAATTGTGACGGCGCGTTGGGCAGGGATATCACGCACGTCCCTGAGCCCAACCGGGTAAGGCGCATTCTGGAGGGGCATCCCACTTCCTCAATTTACAGGCAGGGTGTTGACACAAGAATCCACAAACAACACACCCTTCACCCCCAAGTACACTCCTCTTCTTATCACACGCAGACCCATATACCACTCATCCATAGTCGAAAATGTCTGAAGCAGCCAAGCCCGACCCCGCCGCCGAGCAGGTCGCCAACCCTGCGGCGACTCTTGTCCAGGACGAGACCGCAAAGGTCACAACAGACAAGGCTGCCGACAAGCCTGAGACTACCACTACCACCGAGAGCAAGGATGACAAGCCCATCACCGAGAAGGCGACAGAGGCAGCAGCCGCAGTGAAGGACAACGTCTTCTCCATGTTTGGTGGCGGCCCCGCAAAGATCAAGAAGGACGAGGAAGACGACGCCAACGAGCCATCAGGTGCCTCGAAGCCCAAGGGCGATGTACGAATACCACCAGACACTTTGTAGGGAATTCTAACACAGCGACAGGACGAAGACCCCGAGAACGAGGAGCCCGATGTCGATTTCCAGCCCGTTGTCCACCTCACCGAGAAGGTCGACACCAAGACCAACGAGGAGCTCGAGGAGCAAGTCTTCAAGATGCGCGCCAAGCTGTTCAAGTTCGACAGGGAGTCGCGGGAGTGGAAGGAGCGTGGCACTGGTGATGTCCGGTTATTGAAGCACAAGGAGAACGGCAAGACCCGTCTTGTCATGCGACGAGACAAGACACTCAAGGTCTGCGCCAACCACTACGGTATGATGCATGAAACACGGATATGGGAGTGAATACTGAGAAGTGCATAGTTGTCCCCGACATGAAGCTGTCGCCCAACGTAGGCAGCGACCGCAGCTGGGTCTGGAACGCCGCCGCCGATGTTAGCGAGGGCGAGCCCGAGGCTCAGACTCTGGCTATCCGTTTCGCCAACAGCGAGAGTAAGTGCTGAGAGATGGCTTTGACTAGGCAGCAGGACACTAACTATATTTTGCAGACGCCAACCAGTTCAAGGAGGCTTTCATCAAGGCCCAACAGGAGAACGAGGCGCTTTTCGGCAAGTCGGAGCAGTAGATGGGTCGGATAATAGCGAGTTGGACGATAGGATGAGATATGAAAAGAAGATGGATTGCATGAACAGTGAAGGATGGTTTGGGACGGTATCATATGGTGGTATCACGGTGGCAGAAGAAATTACCCACACCCTGCACATAACTAGATAGTAACTAAATGGCCCGACTACTGTAGTCAACGGCATCCCCCCACGCAAGACTATGGCAGTTGATAGAGTTCGGTAGTGATGGCATTGGTGTCGTGATTGCAAGTTTGGCCGTCTGCTGCGCACAGCCTCACAAGTAATACAAACAATTGCGTCGGCCGGTGTATCGTGTCTCTCACATGGTGTAGAGCAGAAGTGGCTAGCCCTGTCAGGCAGGCTTCCGTGCTCGTGCAGCTTTCAAAGAGCTTGATGGTTTGCGCCAAGACCAAAGCAATTAGTCTCCGTCTCCGCCGCCCCGCGACCATCTCTCTCAGTTAACTCGCCAAATCAGAGCTCGCGACCCAAGACCAGCCACCGCGCATCTCCAGACCTTTGCCCTTCACCACACGCGCACACTCTTTGTCGCAAGAAGCAGACCCCCAAGATCGCGCCCAACTTGAACTCCCTCAACATACCTCTACTGCATATTTTTCCCGCCAGCCAAAACAAATTACCTGCGCAGTAGTCCGTCCTCGCGGCGCATATCAAACAAGATGCCTGACGTAAGTTGCAACCTAGAGATACGCCCAAAGCCATCGCAGAGATAGTAACGTTCGCGCAGGTCAAGCGATGGGTCAAGCTCGTCACCCACCAGAAGCCCATGTACGTACACTTCGCGCGCAATCGCATGCGCCTGTCCAAACCACGCGTCTACATGCCATCAGTCGCTAATACGCACCCACAGCGCGGAGCCTTCGCCCGTTGAGGGCTACCCCATGCGATCATGGAGCATAGAGATCTGGCTGCTAGATGACCAGGGCAACGAGGTCATGCCTAACGTCTTCGAGAAGGCTGTTTACAATCTGCATCCTTCATTCGAGAAGAACAAGCACAGTGAGCGCGCCGCATGATGCGCCGTTTGTGAGACGTCTTACTGACAAGTCAAAAAGTCATCAAGAAGCCGCCGTTCCGCATCGACGAGAAGGGTTGGGGTGAATTCGACATGACCATCGTACTGACCGCCATTGGCAAGGGCGGCGACCACACGCTCGACCACGACCTAAACTTCCAGGCAGAGCGCTACGAGGCCAAGCACCAAGTCGTACGTTCCACAACAACTACACAAGTTTACTTTCCTCTACCCGAGAAACCGCTAACCCTCTTGATTGTAGACTTTCCGTAACCCCAAGCCCGAGCTACTCGCCCTCCTCGCAGAGTCCGGCCCCGCCGAAGCAAACGGAATGCGCAACAAGGACCAGGCCAAGAAGAAGAACCGAAGGGACAAGAACGTGGACATGGAGAAGCTTGCCGATGGTCTGCAGAAGCTGGGCGAGGATGATCTTCTACACGTCGTCACCCTGGTACACGACAACAAGACTAGCGAGACGTACACTAAGAACGACGTTGAGAGTACGTTTGCATTCTTCGACACTAACATGCAAGGGATTGTGCTAACAAATTGAACAGATGGCGAGTTCCATGTCGACCTCTATACTCTACCCGATTCCCTCGTCAAGATGCTCTGGGACTTTACGGCGAGCAAGGTCGAATTATAGAGTGGTTTGATCGCTGTTTGACGGTTTTCCGTCTTTCTGTCGATCCCGACCATTCCCGGTATCACGTTCGCATTTCACACAACCCCTTTCCCAGCATAGCTATGCTAGAGGTGTCGTGGCAACATCATAGTTGCTTCGGTCCTTGCGTTGGAGGATTGTGTGTTCTATGCGAATCAACGTCCAACGATATATCCCCACCATGTTTTTTGTTCTTCTCGTGTTCATGAGCCTCGGAGTTTAAAGGGCAAAAGCTGGGTGTGGCTATTGCATGCATGAATAGCAAATCTTTTGGATCGATTGGCGCTGGATGAGGGTTACAGGCTTATTATAGGTGGTGGAACTATGCATGGGAGATGAATGAGGGTACCTAATTCTTGATCTTTCTCTTCTTCATGTTTCTCTTCTGTTTTTGATTTTGTGACTACCTTTATTAATGCTGTGTACGAACGACCATGTGAATTCCGTCACTTCAATGGAGTCCGACTACCACCTAGGACAAAATGTCTGAGCATTCCAACACCACTGGCACATCGACGTGTGCTATCTCCAAGGGTGTCAAACGTGGATATTTATGTGTTCTTGCCATCAGATTTCATTCCAAAGCAGTGTTTTGGAGATTGGACAGCTGTTGTTACATCATAAATCATCACAGCAAGCTTCCAAAAGGCTTTCAGCGGGATTGAAGTACTACGCCTTACTTCGGAGTAGACCCAAGACTGATGTTTCCTCTACCGTCCGTTGTCCAACTCATAACTTTCAGGCTTCCAGTCTCGGGCGTAGATGGTTACATTCAAGACGCGGTGGGGAGGAATTCAGATGCGGGTGTCCTCGAATGTGAACATGACTTTTCTTTTGTCCCAGCATGGGTCCACATGTCCTGGAAGACGATGTTTTTTGGTAGTACAAATGGTACTGCTAGGCGAAATGGAGAAGACATGGTCACCATCTTGATCGTTGTTGACTTTCGATCCGCACATAGTTTGCTGTCATTGAGAACTTGGAATGTAGGAGAGCGACTTCGCCCAACGGACATGATGAGTTTGTTTGCGTGTTTTGATGCCCCTCCGCACACCATATTTTGCAGATATGCGTCTTTTGGTAAACAGGGAAGAACCGGGGATAATGATATCGAAGAGAGAAGAAGAAGCAGTCTCCCACCCCAGAATTTATACGTCAATCAGGCTGGTTTCTCACGACATAGGTATGCTCGCCGGACCTTTTGGAGTACAATTGTCTATCCTCACATCATAAGATTTTCGGTTTCAACTTTCCAAGTGCAGCAAAACTTCTCAGACATTCTTCTTCTTCTTCTTCTAATTTTTTCGACAGGACAACTGAGCAGCACTCCAGAGCCATGATGTGCGACTATTACGTTTTGAAGAAGCTATTCTGCACATGATGAGATTGCTGGCATGTTTTTCCAGTCTGTACGGGAGACCACATACGTTGTGGTTGGACAATCTTTGGTCATGGCTTTCTGCTAGGAGTTCTTTCGTATAGAAGGAGGTGGTGAAATTTTGAGGAAGAAAGAGAAAGGCAGTAACGTTTTTCCGCGTTTCTGGACTCTCTGCCATGAATGTCTCTGAAAACCACTTTTGGGAAGAATATTAAAAGGTAGCGTGAAGCAAGGAACTTGGAGGGAGTAGGAGGACTTTTATAGTTCATGAAGCGAGGTATGGCTATAGTTTAGATCTTTCAAGCATACAGTCGTTGTTTCAAAACTCAGGTAGTTGTGCGGATATGTCCTCAGTCGTCAGTATTTAAGGTTTTCTTAACCGCAAAGGGTACATCCTTGAATGTGGAAGCTACCGGGCCGTGGGACATGAACGTGTTCATGCCCAGATTTTTTCAAATCCATGAGAACGACCAATTCTTTTTTTAGAAGATCTGCAGCAGGAATGATCGTAGGAAAATGGACCGAGAAGAGATAGATGGGGTCTATGCATCGACCCAAGCGCCAAGTCGAAGTACTACAGTTTCAAGACGCCACTCGTGCAAAGCTCGCTGCTAGCCATGGACACGGAGCCAACGAGTTCTGGAGTCCTGTGTCTTCAAAATCTCCATGTATAGCAGCTCCGATTTCCACCCACAAATGACCACACAAGAAAGGCCTTTGCATTTCATCAACCTAAGGAATGGCAATTTTGGAAAAGATGTAACCGTCTTGTGCAAGCCGGAGAAACCAACATTGTTTTAGAGTCGGAATTTTTCGGATACGATTAGGAGCGACGAAAACTTCCATGGAACCTTGGAGGACTGTTTTGCGACCGCTCAGCCATATAATCATCCAGGTTTTGTTTCGAGACTCTGCACGAACAACGACATAAGGCGTATCAATGCCACTTTTCGACCCGACAACAACACATACTATGCCTCCACGCCTTTTTTTTTTATACAAAAAGAAGAACGTGGTGTAAAGTAGAAGAGAAAGGGTAGGTAGTAGTGAGCTCCATTATTTATATGTATTGAGCATGTGAGAGATAAGTTGAAGCAAGACGAGACGGGCTCTGCATGCTCGTCAGTACAGACGTAAAAACATGCGTGCTTCCAGCTTGCTACCACCATGCTATCTTTGCCTCTCAAACAGCATGCTTATTGGCTTGCGTAACTGTGCCTGCATTCTTCTTCCAATCCATACACCACATTCTCACCCTTCCTTCCTTCCACTCTTCCGATTTCACTCCCCTGCTCGTCTGCCGTCTCGACTAGCAAGTCAAGACTGCTTCTCTTCTCCATCCTGCTCTCCCTTTCACCGTTGCCATCTCCATCATCCACCATAACTACCACCGCCTGTAAGCCACTGCTCCACCGTCAGTGCAAGCCCCTCTTTCTTACTCTTCTTCTCTGAAACCTTCTGCCGCAGCCTCAACAACCTAGCCTTGCTAGACTCCCCACTAACTGGTTGTTTCCGCACAACCCAGCTGCGCGATGGGTACTGGACGACGTTGATCACGGCATGCCTTACTCGTCGCACGCGCAGCCGCTCTTCTTTTGTGATTCGTGGTGAGCCGGTGACAGATTTGCGGTGTGCGCGCTTACGCTGACGGATCCGAGTTTTGATCATGTTGACCTCCTTCTTAAGATGTTGGATACCTAGCTGCCATGTGCGGGAGTTTCTGCGCGCATACGCCAATAAATCCATGGGCGAGGTACCAGGACCGATAGGCATCAGATCAGCATCACGGCCCCATCGTCGTATGAAGCGCCAAGAACTCTGTCGTTTACGCTGTTGAATGGTAGCCATGATGGTCCTTGCTTCCTCTGTCAGATGTAAAATTTCTTGGATTGCATAGCCCAGCGTCTGGTTCAGAGCTTGCGGCGTTGCCAGTTTCGAGACAGGCATTCTGCGAATCTTGGGTCTGTACTGCTGAATGGCGGCCAAGACAGCTCTGGCTTCCTCGGTCAGACGGGAGACTTCTAGAACTCCAGATTGAACTCTCTTGTTGATCTCAATGGATATAGTCGTGCCCAAGGAAAGGAATTTGCGGATAGGTACTCCGGTAGTCGTAGATGACACTGGCCGAACATTCTTTTCTTTCTCGGCCTTGATCTCTTTTCGGAGTTTTGGTTCGGCCCTCGGAGCCTTCCCAGCCTTCGTCTCTTCTCTCTTCAAGGTACTTCCTGCAAGGTTTTGTCTTTCTGATTTCCCTCTCTTCTTAGAGGAGATCCTCCTTACGGGCGTATGATAGTTGTTTCCCAAGACGAAATTAGCCTCTTCCACCAGGTTTGCTGCTTCAACCATGATAGCCTTGAACCTCATCATCGTTAACCGAACATCCCGACGTCGAATCATTGTCATGATCTCCCTGTGTTTCATCTTGTTTTTATCGAAGGACTTCTCAAACCTGCGCATTATGGCTTTCGCTGTTCGGACCCGGAGTCGACCGGTGGTAGCATGTCCTTCTATCTTGAGTTTGCGAACCAATTCTGAGACAGTTAGTCTTGGAGGTGATCGTGGTTGCCTTCTGACAGTAACGGTGGTGGACAACCCGCGCCCACTGAAGAGAGTTTGGGAAATTGAAGCATGTCGGAAGCCACGCTTCTGATGAGATGAGAATAAACTGGCTATATGCATAGTTGGCCGACTGTTAGCTGAGTATGGCGGATTGACGGACGGCTCAGATTTCAGTGTATTTGACTTATGGAACGGCTACTTGGATTATCAGAATACATTGGAAGGAGAAGCTAGTCCATGACAGGCTCACCTACGTCCTTCTTCGGACTCCCCTCTTTCTTAGTATACTTTATCCTAGCATCCACTTTTGTACGTGTGTAGGTTGGCGCGGAGAGGCGGGAGAAGGGAACATCGATCGTAGTAACATTGACTGTGAAGTCCTTGTCGCTATTGACGTGGGAGTGCCGCGTGAGTGTCATCGGCCCTTCGGTCAGCGCACCAAAGCCATGGTGGACATGTATTTTCTTTGTTGGGCGTGGACGGTGTTGCCAGGACTCTCCGGGAACCGAGTCAATAGTGCTAGGGATAGTGCCTAGCTCCCAACCCCAATGACGTTTAGGAATAATACTTGCAAGCCTGCGGGTATTAGTCTCCTGAGCTATCTTTTCAAGGTCTGATTTTGGCGAGATAAAAAATTGTATCGAGTCTCCGTCTCGTACCACTGGCGTAAGGGTCGACTCAAAATCTTCCGGATCATTGATTGTGTTAGGAAGATCGTCGTGCTTTGATGGCTCGGCAGCTTCATTGGCCGGAACGGGATCCAGTGATAATAAACCAGCTTTCTTTCCCCATCCGCCTCCGCCACTCAAGACCCGATGGAGACGTGCTCCTTCTGTAATCGCCTTGGACACGAGCGTATTCCATAGAGGTGGATTGCTGCGCCACAAACGTTCCCACGAATCTTCCTGTTTAGAGGGCGTATCTTCGCTTTCCATTGGCAAGCTAGAGAGGAGCTCATCTGTTCTAGCAGCAATGACGGTTCTCAGTTCTCCGGGGATCACGAGTGCCCAAGCCACTGTTGCTTGCGCTGGCTGTCCCCGCGATCTGAAAAAACGAGGAACGACATTTTCAAGTTCCGAGGAGGCCTGCATAGCTTTACCTTCCGGCCCAATAATCCCGCGGATGATGTTTCCCATGCACCCTTCAACCAAGCGCGGCATTGTTAGCGGGATCAGGGGTACGTTGAGAACGGGAGGAATTGTTGCACGATGTCCTACTTGCTCAATCAGACGGATGCCGTGATGAGAAACGTTCCTCTTGGACTCCAGAATCAACCCTTGACCCTCACCGAAATTCTTCCAAGTCGAGAGGATCATGGTTGATGGCATACCCGTCTGAAAAACAGTATTCGAGAGAGGTAATCGTAGTGTATCTTGATAGGTGGTGTCGTTGAAGACATGTTGCGCAAATATGAAATCGATGGCACCTTTGTCTGACGGCGAAAGACTCTGGGATGACACAGAGTCAGCAGGCGTAAGCAATACGTAAGTCATTCCCTCGAGCCCAGTTCCAGCAGTAGGTGGCTCGGTGGCACGTCGCGATAGCTCTTCGTCTCGGTCTCCGTACTTGAATCTACGGATGGGAAGCTTGTCTACGACGGCACACAAGGCATCTACACGGAAACCTTTTTCGTAGCTCGTGTTGTAGTATATTTTCTTGAGAGCTTCATGGAGGAAGTCATCGTCGAGTAAGTGTTGCGCATAAGACGGCGTGACGAGGAAGACACAGAAGGTCTTTTGGCGTGCTACTCCAGGATTGAAAGCTTTGATATGGTCTATGAATTCATGTGGCTGGGAGGTTGTTAGGGTGTATCAACAAATCGACTTGATGCTCTTACTTGACTCTCAAGGGACCTTGGCACGATTGTGCCGCAGTGCAGGAAATGCAGTGGTGATGGAGATACATGAGGTTGTGATGGAGATGTAAAGGGAAGAGGTGCTAGTGGTTTGGAGCCTCTCCATGTATTAGATGTGCTGGATGAAAAGCGCAGAGTGCGAGTGGCGGCAGCGGCACGCCTCAGGACTGGCCATTGTCGGGCGACCAGTAGAAGCATTTGTCGAGGCTCAATTGACCATAGTGAAGGGTGGAGATGGGGTTGAAGATGTGCAGATGGTCATGACGCACGACCGAAGGCTAGCAGATGGCACTAGCAGACATGCCTGCAGGCGCTGGAGACGAGATGAGTACGTAAGCAGAGAGCCGCATCTCGCGACATTGGCCGTAGTAGCATTTGAAGCACTCCTGTCACCTGCCAGCCCACGCATTGAGCCTGTCGAAGCAGCCGTGTCGATACCCGCTGGGAGCCAAAAGGACGCCCAAGACCCGCCTTCGTGTCCGTATACGCCGCTGACGCTTTTTGGTGCGCCGGCCAGGCCACGTCTCGCACACCTCCTTGCGCCGAACCACGCCCGCAACCTCACCACCATCTGCCCTTGTTTCTTCTGATGCGCCCTTCATAGGCCCCTACCATCCTGGCAGCCGCGGTTCGCCTTCCTTCCTAGTCGTCCACCCACAATGTCACGCTCGTTTCGACGCTCGAATCCCATTACCATAATCCTTGCCGGCATCCTCTGCATTGGCTTCTTCGTTTTCTTCTTCTCTGGCACCGATGTGCCGTCAATCACCAGAAAAGGAGGGGGCGAGGTAGCCTCGAACCCGCTCTCTCCTCCATCGCTACCGTTCCGCAAGTCCAAAGCGAACGCTCCACAGGCCGCGCCGCCCGTCGTGCACTACTACATGAACAATGTGACCAACACGCGCACGCCAATCGAGAACGAAGAGACGGTCCTCATCCTCACACCGCTGGCAAAGTTCTACCAGGAGTACTGGGACAACCTCCTCAAGCTCAGCTACCCACACAACCTCATCTCACTGGGCTTCATAATACCAAAGACAAAGGAGGGCAATGCCGCATACGCTGCGTTGCAGGCACAAGTCACCAAGACACAGACAGGATCCAAGAAGAACCGCTTCTCCGCCATCACTATCCTCCGTCAGGACACCGAGTCCCCACTCCAGTCGCAAAGCGAGTCCGAGCGTCACAAGATGGAGAATCAGAAGGCACGACGGGCGGCTATGGCCAAGGCGCGCAACTCGCTCCTGTTCACAACCCTGGGCCCCACAACCTCGTGGGTTCTGTGGATGGATGCCGACATCGTCGAGACCCCGCCTACCCTGATCCAAGATCTCGCCGACTACGACGTGCCCATCATTGTCCCCAACTGCTTCCAGCGATACTACAACGAAGAAAAGAAGGCTATGGATATTCGGGAATACGATTTCAACAACTGGATCGACAGTCCCACAGCAAAGGATCTTGCTTCGAAGATGGGCAAAGATGATATTCTGTTGGAAGGTTATGCCGAGATGGCTACCTACCGCAGCCTCATGGCTAAGATGCACGATACGTCTGCGGACCCCAAGGCCAAGATCAAGCTCGATGGTGTAGGTGGTGCCACTCTGCTTGTCAAGGCAGAGGTACACCGAGACGGCGCCATGTTCCCGCCCTTCGCCTTCTACCACCTCATCGAGACTGAGGGTTTCGCCAAGATGGCGAACCGATTGAACTGGGAAAGTTTCGGATTGCCAAACTACCTTGTAAGTCATTCTTCAGCATGCTTACCCGGTACTGCTTGCTAACTTTTATCCCAGGTGTACCACTACAACGAGTAAGAGGATTGGAGGCGATGTACAATTTATTTGCAAGCTGCTTCCTTTGGCGGTCTTGGGGCGGCGTTGAGAGGGGCACACTACTGCTACATTGTTGTTATCATGAGCGCTGCATGTACGAAATAGTCATGTATCAGAGGTATAGAAGGCTTGCTGGCAAGAGATTCCTAGGTATACCAGCAACATCCTTGAATTGGAATATGAAAGTCTGCACTACGACAGTTTGCACCTTCCCTTCATCCAAGAATAAAGCAGTATGATGCGCAGTATCCAGACTGTTCCAAAAAGCTTAGCTTCAATTATGTGGGCTGCGGAACACGCTTCGTTTCTATAGGCTGGTCGCGAATGCGGGTCTTGCGTGACTTTCAAGCACGATCACGCTACGTCCATCTTGAGCTCTAACATGCCTGATCCAGAGTATCTGCAAGCATTCAAGGGTTAAGTGCATCATGCATCGATATGCGACATATACGCAGACGACTATGATCACCCCCGCGGGGACCGGCTCATCGCGTGCGACCGATACTCGCCCGAGTCCACCTCGGTGCGGAATGACGTCTCCTACACCATTCACTCGACCCTACCGTAACAATATCCAGAACTTCGTCTATACGGGTTCACCGGAATAACCCAAACATCGCACAGATACTAGTATACAGTTCAGAAAAGAGCAGGGAAGCATGGCAGACATAAGCGGACCCCGTAAACGCGGTACCGACCGCAGCGACACCATGTCACCACGAACGCTCAGCGCCGACGAAACCTCTCCCATAGTCACAAGCTCGCAATCCCACAACAACCAGGACTACAAATCCATATCGCCTGATATGCGTGCGCGCGACCACTCCTCCACCACGAAAGCCGCAAACCCATCTCAAGATCCGAATGGCGCGTCTTCCATACCTCAAGAATACGCGGTTACAGAACATGGTGCACGACAAGAAGGCACGGCAGGTAACTTGCAACCGGCAACCGACCAGAGACAGTCAAAGGGTCATACTACTACGGAGCGCGCAAGAAGCGCAGAGAGAGAAGCGGCAGCGGTAGAACGACGGGAAAAGGGTTGGTGGAGCGGGTTCTGGGAAAAGTACGGCAGCGTGGAACTGGACAACAAGGGTAGTGTTGCGAGAGACCATTTAGCCTTGGGTAAGCACATCTTCCCATTCTCTCCACCTACATAGAAGCGTAAGGATGCCGGTACTAACAACACTCGACAGAACGCACTTTCTTAGCCTGGCTCCGAACCTCCCTTTCTTTCGCCAGCATCGGCATAGCAATAACGCAACTCTTCCGCCTAAACACATCCCTATCAAACTCCCCAGACGCATCCCACACGTCCTCTCCACAAGCCAAACTGCGGCACTTGGGAAAGCCGCTCGGCGCAACCTTTATTGGTATTTCCATCTTGATGCTTTTGATAGGTTTCCATCGGTACTTTGAAGCCCAGCATTATGTTATACGGGGCAAATTTCCTGCATCAAGGGGGAGCATTATTATAGTTAGTGCGATAGCGGGCGCGCTGATAGCCAGTTCGCTCATCATCATAGTGGTTACGGCGCCGGGGGCGTTTGAGAGTTGAGGAATCGAGATGATAACGAAGAGAAAGACTTAGTTTATCTTGTTGCTAAGCTTGGGTATCTTTGATTCATTTCCATCGTACGTGATTCTTCTATCTTTTCAGAGAGGTCAATGGCTGTGTTGTTGCTTCTGCCATATGCTTGCTATCGTCCAGAAGCCTGGTTTCCCCCAATTGATCATCTACGAACGACGTTCTAGACGCCTTGGAGAAATCCTGCTCTTACTCAGATAGTCCAATGTTTCTATCCAGTGATCGCCTTCGTCATCTCCTCTGTGGTCTTACCCGCTCGTGATGACTTGATGATCTTTTGAATCATATCCTCCACAGCGTCCCAGTCCGATGTGTCGATAGGGTGTAGATCGGTCTTGAAATAGTTTGCGATGAAGTTCAGCTGCGACCAGCTGTCCTTATCGTGGACAAAGGTGAGGGCGACACCGACACGTCCGAAACGACCGGTACGACCAATACGGTGGAGGTATGTCTCGGGGTCTGCATCCCTTCCGTTTGCCATGGTTGGAACGTCCTAGTAGAATGTTAGCATGTCTTAGATACGTCTTCCTTGAATACAACTTACGTAGTTGATGACCATGGTGACGGACTGCACGTCGATACCACGAGCAAGGACGTTGGTGGTGATGAGCACCTTGGCCTCTCCGGAGCGGAACTGGTCGATAACGCGATCACGGTCAGCACCTTCGAGTGCACCACTCAATTGTGCGACCTTGTGGCCTTCAGCGACCATGCGCTGCTCGAGCTCCTCAGCCGTCCTTCGGGTCCTGACGAAAATGATGGAAGATGCTTGTGTCATCAGACCATAGAACTTGAGCAATGTGGCGTACTTGTCGTTGTCCTTGTCAATATCGATGTAAAGTTGCTTGATACCCTCAATGGTCAACTCTTCGTGAGCTAAAGTAAGCGTGTTCGCGTTCGGTGCGAAGCGCTTAGCGAAACCGATGACGTTGGGCGGGAAGGTGGCGGAGAAGAGGACTGTCTGAATGTCCTTGTTCAGAAGTGATTTGACACGAGTACATTGCTCGCCCATGCCCTGCTGGTCCAGCATGTTGTCGGCCTCGTCCAAGACCAAAATCTTGATGCTCTCTTTGTTGATGAGACGCCGCCTCAGCATATCCTGAACAGTGCCGGGAGTGCCAACGAGAATTTGGGCGTCGAATTGTTGTCCCCTTCGTGAGGGGTCGGGAATAGCAGCCATAGTCGTGAGGCCTTCCATAAATTGACCCATGTGTGTAATGACTCCGAGAATTTGGCGAGCGAGTTCTCGACTAGGCGCGAGCGCCAACGCTTGCGGCCGAGGGTTGGACAAGTCGACACGGGAGAGGATGTTGAGTGAGAAGGCGGCGGTCTTGCCAGTTCCCGACTGCGACTGGGCGATCATGTTGGTAGGCGGCTCCATCAGGAGCAGAGGCAAAGCTTTCTCCTGAACTTTGGAAGGCTTGCTGAAGTTCATGTTGCGAATGCCCTTCAGAAGTTCCTGGGAGCTGTTCTCATTAGCTCGGCCGGTTTGTGAGAGCGTGTGCCTTACAGATTTAGCTCCTCGAACGACTTGACGGAGTACAGCGGGTTGTTAGGGTCCGCCTGCAAGTCGGCAAGCTTGACCTCAACCTTGAACTCGGGTTCAGCCAAGGCAGAGCCATTTCCTGGTGGACCGCTGCCGTCGGCCTGAGCTTGTTCGAGTGAGCTCTCTTGGGGTTCTTGGGCTTCTTGCGCAGGAGCCGCCTCGACGGGCTCTTGCTTGATGGGCGTCTCCTCAGTTGTCGACATGGTAGGCGATTGCGGGTCGCGTTGCAGGCGGTGAAGTTGGGGAAGCTGCAACCTTGGAGACAGTCGCGGTGGTTTGCTGAGTAGAGCGGCTTGCTGTGAATACAAAGGTGAGGCTCGCTCGAAATGGAATGGTGTCGTGTGGGGTGAGGTGATAGCTGTGTTGTTGCAGTTACCAAGAACGCGTTGGAAATTGTGAGAGCTCCAGATGTCGACTTTGGCGGGGCTGTGGCGCTAGCCGGGTTTAGTGCGCGAGCCGCATGAACAGGCCCCGAGCATGTGTGCAGGCGCGACCGAGTGAAAGCGCTCCATAGCCCTGTTCCTGCATGCCATTGTAGTCGTCTGGCACGACTATTCACAACACCACATAATAGAACAAGAGCAGAAGAATTCCAGGATCCGACGCCACCGGCCCAAGATCCCGGCCTTCCCTCTTCGGCACGCACCGCCTCGTTACCATTCCTCCTGCCCCACTAATTGGGCAGCCGGTAACCAAGACACCTGGTATACTCCGCGTAACCCTTCCCGCCCTCGCCCTCGCCCCAGCAGCCCTCCCCCCTCTATGTCTGGGGTCCTAGTCCCCTCTCTCCAAGTGCTCGACCCATATATATCTTAGGAATCATGGAGGTCGACATTGCGCCCCAGTTCGGCGCTGAACTAAAGGTATGCGGAGTTGGAGCGGCACCACCGAGCATGCGCTGACGGATAATCACAGGATGGCTTCAAGACAGTCAACGCTTGGGTACGTCATACACGTTTCCTATGGATTTCCGAGTGACCCTTGTATAGGCGCTGTTGGCTACGTCTGTTGCGCTTCATGTTACTGATGCACGCGATTGCAGGTTTCCGGTGGCATCTCCTGGCTCGACGACATCCAAGCATTCTACCGCGAACGAAGCGCGATAGAGAAGGAATACTCGGCAAAACTCAGTGCGCTCGCGAAGAAATACTATGAAAAGAAGGCGAAGAAGCAGAGCAGTCTGAGCGTTGGTGACACGCCTACCGTTACTCCAGGCTCGCTCGAGAGGTACGACTCCTGTCGCATGACTTTGGGCCTTCCTGACACGTCCTTGCAGCGCTTCCATGACCACATGGGGTGTCCAATTGAGCACCCTCGAATCGCGCGCCGCCGAACACGAACAATTCGCTGGCGCTCTCATCACCCAGCTTGCTGATCCCTTGAAGGTCCTTGGTACACGGACCGAAGAGTTGCGCAAGTTGCACGGAGACTATGCTGCCAAGCTGGAGAAGGAGCGCGACAACCAATATGGTGAGTTGCGCAAACAAAAGGGTAAATACGATAGCGTTTGCCAGGAGGTTGAGAGCCGGCGCAAAAAGGTTGATGGCGCATTTGACCACGGCAAAGCCAAGGCGCGTAATGCTTTCGAACAGCAACAGATCGAGATGCGTAACGTCAAGAACACCTATCTCATCAGTATCAACGTGACCAACAAGCAAAAGGAGATGTACTACCACGAGTACGTGCCTGAGCTGCTCGATAGCCTCCAGGATCTTTCGGAGACGCGAGTCAATAAGCTAAATACTATATGGTCACTCGCTGCACAGATCGAAACTCAGACACTCACGCGAAGCACCGAGTACCTGAAGCACCTCTCCGGCGAGATTCCGCGCAACAACCCTCTGCTCGACTCGATGATGTTCCTACGGCACAACGCTGGTTCGTTCCAAGAGCCTGGCGACTTTCAATTCGAGCCCAGCCCGGTTTGGCTAGACGATAATAGTATCGCCGTCGACGAGCCTGCAACGATCTTCCTGCGCAACGTTCTCACCAAATCAAAGACATCCTTGGGGGAATATAAACGAGAACTTGATAAGAAGCGCAAAGAAGTTGAGAATGCCAAGGCGGTACGGCAGAAGATAAGGGATGGCAAGGACAAAAGAGACGAGGTGGATATTGTTCGCGCTGTTTTTGCTATACAGGAACAGATGCATGAGGTGGAACGTCAGAAGGTGAATGCGGAAGTGGAAGTCTCAACAATCACCTCAGTCGTCGGTGACTTGAGTATCGGCGCAAGGAACCACAACTTCAAGTCGCAGACGTTCAAGATACCTACAAACTGTGATCTATGTGGAGATCGGATATGGGGTCTATCAGCAAAAGGATATGACTGTCAAGATTGCGGCTATACGTGCCATAGCAAGTGCGAGATGAAGGTACCTGCCGACTGTCCTGGTGAACAGTCCAAGGTAGAAAAGAAGAAATTGAAGGAAGAGCGGCAAAAGGCTGCACACACAGTGACAGCAACAAACGGCACTGCGACGAGCTCTAATGCGGACATGCCCCGACTGGGAAGAAGCGACACGGTGAACTCCATGAACACCCTCAGCTCCGGCTATTCGGCGACTGCGCACCGGTCCATATCCGGAGGTATGTCGCCCACTGTCGAGGAGACTCCTCCACCACCAGAGAAGAAGGCGCCCATAGTGCCGGGTGCTAGGAAGAACCGATTGGTTGCACCACCACCTACACAATATGTCAAAAACGACGAGGACGTTCCTCCACTCCCACCCAAGTCTGCAGAAGCCAGGGGTAGAATGCTATACGCTTATCAAGAGAACGGGGAGGGCGAACTGACTGTCGCGGATGGCACGGATGTTGCCATTCTAGAACCTGATGGTATGTCATTAGATGTCTCCGACGTCCTAGGGGTTATCAACCGATTCACTAACACATTGCCACAGACGGTTCCGGATGGATGAAAGTTCGTGCTGGCGTCAAGGAAGGTCTTGTTCCAGCAGCGTATGTTGAGATGACGGTGGCAACGCCACCCACCACGGCCTCTACATTCTCTTCAACAAGGCCGGACTCGACGTACTCTGCATCGTCAGCATCAACCACTAACTTCACTGCGGCTGCCGCTCCCGGTAAGAAGAAGGGTCCCGCCGTTGCGCCAAAGCGTGGCGCAAAGAAGCTGAAGTACGTGGAAGCCTTGTATGACTACACAGCGCAAAGTGACGTAGAACATTCCATGTCAGAAGGAGATCGCTTTGTTCTTATCAACATGGAGGCTGGCGACGGCTGGGCAGACGTTGAGAAGGATGGCATAGTACGTAGTGTACCAGCCAACTATATTCAGCAAGTCTAGGTCACTTGTCTGGCAGCAGTTCGAGAGATGAGCTTCTTCTGATTGGATAATTCATTGTACTCACGGCGCAGTTGGTGCTGGAAAGGAGCCGTTTGCATGGAGAGGTATCGCCAGAGTCTGTACATACCTGAAGCAACCATTCTTACCAAAATCTTTGCCGTAGGTCCATGAAACACATGTCGATAACGGTGTCGCAGTCACGAAACATGGCTGGTCATGTTGTGGCACCATATTAGCTCTGCGTGCTAAAGAGCATGTGGGGCTCCAATGATGAGCGCGCAACTATCTCATCTCATCACATCGCTTCCTCCAACATTCCTTCATCAACACCATCACATATCGTCGCATCGACATCGTGTCTTACCGCAGGTCTCATGATCGTATTGTACCTGATACAGACTGCTGCGCCTGCGCCCGTCACACTCGACAACAGGGCTGCATGGAGCACGAGCTCCGGGTAATTCGCGCGCTACAACGTCGCTTCCACGATGGATGCTGTGTAGCCGTATGAATCCCAAGTACTGACGTTCGTGAAAGAAGGCAGGGGCTGTTACGTATGCTGCCGCGCAGACATCACTATGCATCGAGTTGAATCCAAGCCAACGCGCTACTTCACGAGGTCAGTCATTATTCGCCCAGGTTACGCAAATTATCGTGAGTGTACATACATTCTGCATACCTCAAGAATCAATACGACAGTAACATCGGGGAATTAGTACTACACTAGAAGGCGTCGAAAAAAGCCATCGAATACCTATAGCAGGGCAAGCGCTGTAGTCAAGAGCTTGCTGAAGCTGTCCCTGGTACGCTAGAAACGTCATTTAGAAATTTCTTGTCCTTCACGCGTTTCTAGCTTTCTCTCTATACGGTAAATCTACTCGTGGAATATGAACGCAAATAGCTATTTGCGGTCTAGCGGAAATTCGACATTGCACGACACGTCGGTAGGAAGAACCGGTTCATGCGTGAACCGAAGCCGTGTTCAGATCGAAACATTCTTAGGAACTCAGTGTCCCCTAGTCGATCGATGCCATGCTGTTATGGACGAAATGTTCTTCGTGTATGGTTTCAAGGTTATTTACCTCTGTAGGTCGACCAAGGAGGTGCACTGTCGTCCCCCTCGTACACGTACGTACGTGATACAGGCTGATATTCTACTTGGAGAGCACCTCCCTAGGTAGGTACCTATGCCACGCAGTTGTGCCACTAGCCAGAACGGTAGTATCAGTGAGCCGTCCTTGAAATTGGTAATCTCTCGCTGATTGTTACTTTCCCTCTTCATGCCATTGAATTGATTGTCATCTTCATGTTCACTCCTTTCACGTCGTATCTCATTCAAGATATCCCTAAGTTGTGTATGCACTCTTTCTGGTCATACCCAATGCTCTTTCCACTTCGAGTGACCGGCATTCGCCCATTCTTTTGACACTCTAGAACCCAGCAGGCGCATACCCATCTCATCGCTCCTGTGCAAACGAAGCAGCCACGCTAGCGAGCCCCCGTCTTGGCGTCACAGTACAAACAACCCTCACCTCACTCTCGCTCTTGTGCCCTCGTACTATCTTCGTGGACTTTCCGTAGGCCAAACTTGACCCATCCGCCTTCACGCTTCACCGGTCATTCTTTCGTGCCTCCACCCGGAGTTGTATCTCCATTTCACTCATTAGACACTGCCAGTATACTACTCCGCCACTCTCTCGTGCACTCCACCGCGTAGCGAACACCAGAAAGAGCCAAACAAGCATCTGGATATTCAAGCATCTGTCAAAAGCGTTCAGCAAGTACCCATTTGTACGGAAATAACAAGTCAGTCGCTCTTCCTCGTCGCTCTCTGCTACGCTGACTGTGATGGGACAAGTTGTCAGCGACATCCAGAAAACGTGTCGTGCAAAAGCCTATCATGAAGATTCAGTATCTAATTACTACTACTGCGCTTGTTGCAGTCACCGCGGCTAAGCCGCACCACTTGCACCGTCGCGTCCACGCCAATGGTCCGGCCAAGCGTGGCACTATCTTCGTACCTGCTGCAGTGGAGACAGAGATCGTGTACTGGCTCGATGATCACGAGATATCAGAGGAAGAAGTCAACCAGGGTATCACCAACGGCACTTTGATGTGGGGAAACGATGGTGTTTTGTCGACATCAACTAGCAGTTCTGTCGCATTGCCTACTCCGCCTCCAGCCTCCGATCATGAGATTCAGGTCCCCAAGCCAACACCAGGACCTACTCCCGAGAAGCCTGTGGACGAGGTCAAGCCTATCGCACCCGAACCTCAGAAGCCTGCACCACCACCAGAGACGCCACCCATCGACCCTGCACAGAGCCCTTCCCAGGATAGGCCGCCTGTACAGCAGTCGGGCACTTCGTCGAGGCCTTGGGCAGACATGGTCGATAAGGACGGTCACTGTGCTGAGTGCGACAGGAAATTCCCGGACGGCACAATCCTTTGTACAGAGTTCCCTTACGGCTATGGCGCTTTACCTACAGCTCAAGAAGGCTTGGGAGGCTGGTCGGGTATCCAAGATCCCCAATATGCCGGAGCAGATGGCTTCGATGATATTGCTACTGCCCCAAAGGGGTCGTGTTCAGACGGCACTTGCTGCACGACTGGTAGCTTCTGTTCCTATGGTTGCCCTAACCCCTACCTCAAGGCTTCATTCCCCTCTATCCAAGGCAGAACAGGTCAGAGCGTCGGTGGCTTATATTGCAACAAAGACGGGTTTCTGGAGATGGCCGACGGCAAAATCGCAGATACGCTATGCGTGCAAGGATCACAGCATATGGGCGTGAAGGTGCAAAACAAGCTGTCAAAATCCGTCTCTTTCTGCCGCACAGACTATCCAGGTATGACATTTGCTCACAAACTCTAGATAATCCCTCACGTACAGTAGGCACTGAGTCCATGACTTTCCCAGTCACTGTTGGCCCTGGAGAGACTGGCTTCCTAGCCAACCCTGATCAGCAGAAATACTTTTTCTGGCAAGGTAAGAAAACATCGGCTCAGTACTACGTCAATAAACAGGGTGTGCCAGAAAGTGAGGCTTGCACTTGGGGTACACCGATGGGTGGTAAGGGTAACTGGGCACCCGCAGTCTTCGGAACATCCTTCGACGATGGTCCAGCGAACCAGGGCTTCTCCAGCATAAAGCAGAACGAACTATGCAAGCAAGAGCGACTCGGTTACGATATCACTTTCGTTGGTGATGGTGTTGTCTCTCCTTGCAGGTACAAGAGCGCGACAAACCAGTGGTGTGAAGGCGACACCTGTTGGGAAGACCCGGATCGGGGCTGCACTGTATGCCCTACTATAGTGTGATCTGAGAAGAAAATGTGCTAATAAGAACAGGCCGGGATTAAACATGGCGATCTCATGGTTGTACTATCGGACGGGTAGTTTACCCGCCCCCCGTCTAGCGTTACGTTCATGTACCTCACTGTCGACTCGCTTTTCATGTTGTGGTCGTACTAGATCTCTGGCTCTAACGACATTGTTTGCACTATCTACCATTCCCACGTCAGCCTATTTCAGCAGGCTCATGTACCACTGGTCAATTATTTCACAATGTCGAAGGCCCGGCGGACTGCGGTAACGATCTCGACGGAACTTTTGGAGGAGGTTTCGGATTTCTTGAAACGAATTACCAGCTAGCTTTCTTCGGATATGCAGATAGTTTTCTCTTCTGTTAGCAATGTTACCGAGATCTCTACGAGTATCGTTCTTTGAACGGGTTGGTGATGGATCGTCTTTTCGTATTCAATTCCCGGAAGAGCCCTTCTCCTCGTACAGTTCACTTGAACTCATGGATAGGAATCGTACAGCATCACATCTCGCAATCATAGAATGAGAACAACAATACAAGGAAAAATCCCGTTAAGCTTATGAGCAGCATGAAGACCAAATCTCACTTCACTATGCTATCCGCCCGATGTGGGGGTATCGTACGAATACACCGACGGAAAAACCCATACAATTCAAACACTAACTTCCTTGTATGCCAGACAATTCTCTCTTCCCACGCTGAAACAGGCTCCTACCCTCCCATACCCATGCAAAATTATCTAGCCCACAGTCGCGCTGTGGGTGACGCTGAACATATACAAAATGAAGAAGATAGAAGATGCAGCATATGACGAAGTGAACATTGCCTCATCGTTGTGGTCACACAACGAGTTGTGCCGGCGGAGTTGTCATGGTAAAAGGTTGAACGCCTGTCGCCTGTATCGCTTCTTGAAGTGTACAAGGTGGGCATAATTCTAGTGTATATCCCCGTAAGCTTCGCGCAATCGCGCTTCGCTTTAGTGTGAGGCAAAATGATCGTCGTTGACCAAGGCAAGAATAAACGGTTTAGTGGCTAAGTGTCTCAGCTCGGATCTGGATTGAAGTTGAGAAAATCCGTTGGGTCGTTCATGTTGAGCGCGAGGCTTGTGTCGAAACTGAGGAACGGATCATGTTCCGCTGCTGTTCCAGTGTCATCGAGAGATTCACCGGTGTGACCGCCATGTGTAAGACAACCAACACATGCGCAGCCATCGCCACATTGGCAAGTACCAGACGCGTCTGAGCAGCTTGGCAAGGTCATTTCGTTCCAGAAGTAGGATGATGGCGATAGCGTCACTGTATCTTCATCTTTGGTATCGCTGGGACTACTGGCTGCGGGTGAATCCATGGAGTCACTTGGTTTCCGCATTTTTGTATCACCTGGCGCCGGCATGGGAGGTGTGTTGTAACTAAGGCTGCTCGAAGTCGAGAATTGGGCCTGCTGTGGTTGGCTTGGTGAAGGAGTTAGTTGTTGTGGCCAGTTCCCGGGCAATGCCATTGGTACCTGCACCATATTTGGCATATCCATGCTTTGTTGAAAGCTCATTTGCGTTGGTGTGGGTGTTGTTAAGCCTTGCTGCATTGCGTTGAAACTCATGTTGGCTTCCGCTCCGTATCCGGGTTGATGTGGGTATGTAGGCATGTCGTAGAGAGGTGGCGCCATGCCTCCGAACCCGCCGTTGTATTGAAAATGGGCCATAATCCGGACATACTCCATCATCGTAGCGTTATTGGGATGGGCTGCGCATCCAAAGCAGCTACATGACTCTCCACAGTGACAATTGTGTTCAGGGACGTGTTGCCCGATTTGGGGACTGGCGACAGACGGAGACATCGAATTGTTCGTGACTGGGCTCATAGACACAGAGTTCTGCCGATGGTAGGCTGCAGCCGCGTGATTGTAGATTGGAGTGCCAAGGCCGAAAGGGTTCGACGCAGCTGATGGTGTTTGTGGATGAAAGTTTTGGTACTGTGGAACCACTGCTTGGGCGGGAAACTGGAACTGGTGTCCCACGTGTTGATAACCGTGTGATTGGCTGTTGACAGGCGCATCTTCTTGTTTGCGTGATGAGCAACAAGACTTCTTTTGAACTGGCGGCTCTACAACTGGCTTTGGCTTGCTGCCACAGCACCCTCCTTCTTGGACCGGCGACAGGACAGGCTTTGGCTTGCAACAACTTGAGACGGGCTCATTCTGTGCAGGAAGAAGACGTGGCGTTGAGCTCGCACTTGACGGAAGTGATGCTCCATTACTATTGCTTGTTTCGGAGGGTGTGTACGTGACGGATGAGGTTTCGGTTTTGGCGTCGAAGCCAGCCTGGATAGCCTTCTCGAGGTTGTAAGGGGTGGGCGCAGCCGATTTACGCCTACTCTTCGTAATCCGACTGTTTCCTGCAACGGTAGCTGTGGGCGGAGCTCGTTCTGACGGACAAGCACATTCTGACGTTTTGGGAATCGTGTAGTTGATAACAACACGCTCGCAACTGCAGGATCCAGTAGGATGTGGACAGCTACTCAACGGCCGACCAGGCTTCCGGACCTCAACCAGCACTCGATCTCGGTGATCGCATTTCGACGAGCGATGACCGCGAATGCACGGACCGCTAATCAATGTCAGTCAAAGTATATGGCGAATAGACACCCTGGACAGTGCAATGCAAGTCGCAGTCGCTAAAGAATTTTCCGGATAGGTGCAGTTTGCGCGCAACAAATAGTAGAGAGGATATAGTAAAATAAGACAGAATGAGGGGTGGAACAAACAGATGAGAGAACCTACCAGGCGACCTTCTTGCGCTCTCCGTTGACTTCGGCCCACATGATGCGGGGCTATTATGAGGTCGAAGTAACTTGCTCAATCTACGGCATGTAACCACCAAGTGCGCCGTGTATCGGGGACGAAGTAAGACTGCTGGTGAGAAAGAGCTTATGTCCAAGCTTACTGTACACCGCGCACGTGAAAGTATTGCAGAGGGGTACAGTGGCGTACAGCGCAGAAAATGGAGTGGCAAGGTCCTGGGCTAGACGTATGACCCTCGCCGCATGGGAAAGCAGCCTACAGGTTCGGGAGTGGTCCGATGTGGGTGTCCAAAAGAGAAGGTAGACTCGGCCCTCGGCTTGGCCTAAGTGAGCTGTGAAGGGTCCAGCTCCAGGTGGGTGGAGCGTTGATAACCCTGAGATTTGGCGCCGGCTTCCCGCAGTGTCGGTGATAATACTGTATCAGCACAGGCGTTGATTGATGCAATAGCGATCCTGAGCTCGGAACGGATGAAGGGTGGATCGAATGTCCGGGGGGACGTCGGACATGCACACGGTTAAAGTGGCGGGGTCTACAATCGAGAGCCAGCGGAATCAGGCGCTGGTTTCACTGGATTATCCCCCAGGATACGGTCTGGAGAATTGATGACTTGACAGGGCTCAGCGGTTGGTGGGACGTGCAAATATCCAGTTCAACACCGCGAGAAAACGCAGCTGTCACACCTCCCCACTAGACTGATGAATGACTCGGGACTTAAGGCGTCAAAGGCGTGGGATCTGCTGGTCGGCGCTCGAAGGTTTGTCGTGAACTGAATGGATGCGACGTTTGGCGGAGGGTTGGATTAGGCTTAGTCCCTTAGCGTTGAGCAAGTTTCTTACTAAGCGGGTTTAGTCGCTTCGAAACGGCACAAGTAGAAAGGTGACAATCGAGAAATAGACAGCAAGGATTGTGTCCTCAATAGGAGGGATAAGTGAAGGAGGTGTCGCGATATAAGAGGTATGCGCGATGTGAATAAAGCGAACGCGATCCACGAAGAGCAGCACCTGCGCCGGCGTGTTTTGTGGTCAGAAGAACCGTGGAAACGACGCTGCGGCCGCCGGGTATATCATTGGGGCGTGGGGAATCTTGCGCCGGCTGGACCCTGCTTGGCTTGGGCTCGCTTCAGGCATGTGAGTACCGCGATAATTCAATCAGTGTGGGCGCGATTGGTAGGCCGGGTATCATTGAGTTACTTCGCTCTGAAGCCACCTGAGGCACTCCCACGCCATAGGGCTGGTGCAACGCCCACTGCTACAGCCCAACAAGGGAGCTGTAGACCCTGCTATAGTCACAGGGTACTGTTTGGCCAGCCCTCTGACTTCGTTGATGACGACGGTCCGCTGTTTCGAAGATGGAGTTTATCTGGAACGCGACTTGGACAGGCATAGCGGTGGCTGGTTAACCGGGCACGTGCCATCCGTGGTGGCTCCGCTCTTTGAAACACCCAAAATACAGTCTTCGCCAAGGCTATAACTTCATCACAACTTGCCTTCCGCCATGTCGTCAGAGGCCGGTGAAGAGGGCTTGGACCTGTTCCAAGAGCCTGCTGATTTCTATGAACCAGAAAAGCAGGCAACCTTCGCGACTCATCAGTTGCTTTCCGGTAAAGGGCTCACTGTTCGATTGGTCGGTCATAATCCTTTGTGGGTAAGTTATGCACTTGACTAGCGACATGCCGAAACACAGTATGGAACTTCCTGATGTCCTATGCGTTGGTTTCCAACCTTCTGGAACTTTTATAGAAGGACCGTAGAAGCGATTCGGCACTCATCTGACTTCTGACGGTCATGCACTATCTCAGCATACTCACTGACGTATTCAGGGACATTTTCTATGGAACGCGGGGCGAACCATATCCGATTACCTGGAAGAGCATGCAGATAAACTCGTAAAAGATCGAACGGTACTTGAGCTTGGCGCTGGAGCGGGACTTCCAAGCCTTGTCTGTGCTCTCAACGGTGCCGCTCAAACGGTCGTCACGGACTATCCTGATGCCGAGTTGGTCGAGAATTTACAGTACAATGTTGACTACTGCGAACTGTTATCTAAGCCTCCCAAAATAGTGGCGGAGGTTTGTGACTGTGCTCAACATTGGCGAACGTCACTAATATGCGCACAGGGATATCTCTGGGGTGCACCTACTGAAGACTTGATGAAGTGTCTGTCTGATAGTTCGGGCTTCGATGTTCTCATTCTTGCCGACCTTCTGTTCAACCACTCGGAGCATGCCAAACTTATCAAGACTGTGCAGATGACTCTCAAGAAGTCACCGACGTCCCGAGCATACGTCTTCTTTACACCATATCGCCCATGGTTGTACGAGAAGGACATGGCTTTCTTCGACCTAGCTAAAGAATCGGGATTCACCGTCACTAAGACGTTCGAAAAAGTCATGGAGAAGGTTATGTTCGAGGAAGATCCAGGGGTGAGGCTCTCCTAATGATTTATCTTGAGGCGTCACTGACCGAACCTAGGATGAACTTCTTCGCCGGACTGTCTTCGGCTACGAGCTGACCTGGGATGCTTAACACCTGATTCTCTCAGTAACAGCAAGCAGGTCGGGATAACATTCATATATCTGAGTACACTCTATAGTACCGCCCGCCACGAGCGGATAGAAGTTTTCCAGTCAGTGGAGTCTTCTACACAATCGCGCTATCTCGCTTTGAGACCAGATCAAGCTTTCGGCAGCTACGCAAGTGGATGTTGTCTTGTTGCGCTTCAGACGAAAACCTTCACTAAACGCATGAACATGGGTCCTTGCAATACAGTCGGTGCATTGCGCAATCATCTTGCGGTTGATCCTGATTCCGCTCCCTCGTTGGCACCTTCCACCATAAGTGGCGATTTACAAACATAGCATTTGTCCAGCGTTCATGTGTGCGCAATAGACAATGGATCGCGAGATACAACACTTTTTGTACCAGAATCCCAACAAGATACTGATACAATATGTCACCCCTAGCTTCACAATTCCAAACAGGATGTTGGAAATCGGCAACAGGGACGCCAAGCGAGCTGCCGCCATGTACCAGCAACGCAAGCGCATTCTCCACGAACCAGTGAACGCTTCGCGAGTAAAGCGCTTCCGGCGGGCCACCAAGATCATTGGCCGCTCTATTTCCGGGAAAGCCAAAGGTTCTTCTATGCTAGCGAAGCTACCTTCCTTGCTTACAAGGGTGTAAGCTACCTTTGTGTACGAAGTTCTTTTTGTCACACTTGGGGTGTCCCGTGAGATATGCGTGGGATATCTATTGTTCCCTGCCTGCGGCCTCGATATTCTGCCATCTCGTTCCGAGGACTCTTCTCTTTACAGAATATTGTGTACATACTCCGTTACAGCGTCTGTGTTCTATCACATGTCATGCGGTCTATGATGATGTTCTGTTTCATACCGAGTATTATGCTCGCCCTCCTCGCCATTGACTCCTTCTATGTAATAAGCGACCATGTTTTCATACAGTGTTCCAAATACTGGCACTTGGTTTGATGTAGCCTCAGGGGGGTTACTTCTAACATAGATCATCATCTACATTTCGATGGTCTAGCCTCACCGTGATTCTCCAGCCCCTCAAGTTAGATAATCTTGTTGAAATGTCCACACTTGAGTCGCAGGTGATATCCTTTAGCCTAGGAGGTCATGTTAGATGGCAGTTTCGTATCGATCTAACAACACCAGAGTCCTCCACTTGCTCTTCTCCGACTTCTGAAGCGATCGCTTTTAACTATCCGCCAAATTTAGCTGATCTGATAGACAGCGTCGAAGTAGACGTCCCACTCTCGTTCTCAGCACTTATGAAACACATGGTAAGTGAACTTCTGCTTACGGGTGAACGTCCTCTCCTGGAACATCTCCTTTGGAGACCGGTTATGCTTGCTGATGTCGAAGTTCTTGTCCCTGCACTCATCAAGAGTGCCGCAGTCATGGATCAGCTGATTGTGAATATCAGCTACTTTAGTGCATTAGGGCTCATTCCGTCTCATGACCTCGAGCACATGCTCATACACCTCATTGCTGTTGACGATGATCAAAATCACCTGTACGGGACAGCAAAGGCCTGTATTGAGCTTGAACGCCGGCGCCATCAGTACTTGGAGTACATCGACCGTCAAAAGCGGGTCGAGCCTCATGGGCAAATCGATGAATTGGTTAACAGAGCCCAGCATTGTGAGACAGTTGGCGAGTCTTCTCGTTCGCAGCTGCACAACGGCCCAGGGCTAACGGATCGGAAGCATCCTAGGGCCCGGCTGCCGCAAAATGATACGCGACTAGCCAGTGCAATGCCCGACCTGTTGGCTTCGGAAATGAATACGGAGCCTGAGTATGACTTTCTGTGGGGGTAAGAGCAAAGCCATATCTGACGCTCTATCTGGCAGAAAGCAGAAGAGGAAGATTGTCGTGAACCTCCAACCCAGGGAACCTGCGCCTGTCGCTCAAATCCCTACACGCACGTTTGCTCTCCGGAAAGTAGACGGATCATCACTGTGACCAACAAACAACAAATTTCGATACAAGAATCTACTCTGGAGTGATACGGCATGTAGCTTCGATCGGTTCTAAGATGTTGTTCATACTGGTAGTGCTTGCCTGCGGTGCTGGGTATAGTTTGTATGATGAGACGCGGACGATGTAGGTACAACAAGGATTTCTTCTGTCTTGGTTCAGGTCTATGAAATATATCATCAAATACCTTTCATTCATCAAACACTTCACAAAACAGAGGGTGATGAGTGATCTACAGAACATTGTGAGGTTGAACTGTTTGCGGGGACTAGCGCTATCGATAGAGCTTATCTATTGCCGAGGTACCTGGACACTTCACGACTCTCCCAATGCCGACCATGACGACGCCGTACAGACCACCATGATACCCTCATAGCGATGTTTGACAACTCTGTCAACATACACGCATTATGACATCTTCAACTAAGCCCCCAAAGGCTATTCTTTTCGACATCGGTGGAGTAGTCGTACGTAATTCCTCAACACGACCCACGCCGCCCTTCAGCACCACGCGCGACCAGACGAATGTAGCTAACGTCTTCATCCACAGGTCATAAGTCCTTTCCAAGCGATCCTCGACTATGAAATCGAGAACAAGATCCCTATCGGCTACATAAACTACGCGATCCAAAAAGGACCTCACGATACGGGCGCATGGCAACTCATCGAGCGCGGCGAAGTCGAACTTAACGACGACTGGTTCGCATCCTTTAAGAAACAGTTGATGCGACCGGAGGTCTGGTCACAGTTCCTCCAGAAGCTTGCGCAACAGGAGAGCGTCGGTGGTGGACAGGCAATCGAGGGTGGGAATCCGCAGGTGCCGGACATTGATGCGAAGACGTTGTTCTGGCGTATGATGAAGATCAGTCGGGCACCAGATCCGTACATGTATCCTGCGCTACGAAAGCTAGGCGAGAGTGGGAAATTCGTTTTGGGCGCATTCAGCAACAACGTTACGTTCCCTACGGGCATACTCGACGACGAAGGGAAGCTCTTCACGAAAGAGCTTGTCCACCCACCAGCTCCAAACCCCTACGCGAACGACTCCACAGACATTACGACGTGTTTCGACATATTCCTTGGTTCGGCGGCCGTGGGTGTCAGAAAGCCGGATCCAGAGGCGTACAAGCTGGCGGTACGCGAGATGGATAAGATTGCGAGGAAGAAGGGGATGGGAGGGGTGACGGAAGGCGACACGCTCTTCTTGGATGATATTGGCATAAATCTTAAGTTTGCGAAGAAGACGGGGTTGAGAACAATCAAGGTGAACCTGGGTAAGACGAAGGATGCCGTAAAGGAGCTGGAAGAGGCAGTTGGCCTTCCGTTATTGGATGACAAAGCTAAGCTTTAAAGATTTACTTGCATTCTATCTCTATCACTATCACAAGCCTTGAAAGGCACCTCTATCTCCTACTCTTTTTTGAAACCCCTTCTCCGAAGAACCGTCCGTACGTCAGAGAGGGTCTGCGATCTTAGCTTCTAATTCCGCCATTCTCTTGTGTGCCTCCTTCTCTACCAACCTGATCACAGCCATCAGCGCACTCTTGCGATCTGTCCCCTCCTGAGGCGAGACGAAGAACATCTCGCTAGCATCCAAGACATCCCAGCCAACAACACTTGCACGGAAGTTCTGGACGATTTCCCCGCTCCGTCTGCTCTCGTAACTGCCCACAAGAACCACGGGGTGTACCGATGGGCGGAACGTGGATGTAACAAGCTCTGTTACAGGGTCAGCATGGCACAAGGTTTGGTCAGGAGGGAGTTGTACTTTGCAGATAGCTGAAGAGGACATCATCGTGGTTCCTAACATCACTGGCGACAATGGTTGTCGTTGGCAAACGAGGGTCTGTTTCGTTGGACGACTCATACGCCATGGTAATTACGAGTACGGCGATCTGTGGTACTCTTGTCGATAGGCTATCGAGTGAGATCATATGTTGAACGAGTGGCTTGCTCTCTCGAACCACAAGTATCATTTGAACAGTCTGATTGTAGCAAAGGACACCGGGTATCCTGCTACAACTGATTGGTTTAACAATCAAGCAGGCAATCTCCATTTTAACAAAAGTATAAGGATCTCGTCTCAGTACAGGAGGTCTCTTCAACACTTCTTCGTCATCCTCTACTTCTTGCTTTGAACATGACCAGCCAACCTGTACTACCAGAAGACGTCAATACACTCACGTTCCTCAATATTCTCGTTTCTTCTCTCTGGCCTAGCTACACGTCTGCTACCGTTTATCTGAGTCGTCGCCTGGACGAACAAGACAAGGTTGAGTACCGTGCCGCAGTCCTGTCCTCTGTAGGTACGAGTCGCGGTATGATAATCCGTCCTCTCACAAAGATAGAAGTGGCAAGTTCACGTGGTGAAGTGCTTTTGAAACTGTTGGAAAAAGTGGAATCGCTTGCTGAGATACCGTTTCAGACGATGGAAAAGAATCCTCAAGGAAACCTGAAGGAAGGAGAGACGGGAATAAGAGAGCATGAATTATGCAGCAACGACGAATGAGTGAAGTCAGAAAAGCGAGAATGAAGCCGAGGATGGAGATGAGAATGAAGAGAGATATAGTGATGATGATAGTGAGAGTGATAGTGAATCGAAAGAAGAAGAGGTGATGTGGAGATCTTACTTTCACAACATGGTGAAAAAATTGGGAGTGGCCGATACCTATCCCACACAGAATACAAGAGCAATAGAAGAGCGATTTAGTTTCTTCCCACCAGGACCATTACGAGGATATTGAACTAGGTCCTTCTTTCTCCAAAGAACATTTACCCCCTGTCAGTCCTGCTAACACCGCTACTTCCAATGGAACTGTTACTGTCCTTAGCCACCTTGCGTGCATGATAATCATCATTCAACATCATGCGTCCAATCTCCATCTCCACGACTTCCAATAGCCGTTCTAGTGCTTCTTTTCTGCTCCTTCCCACTTCAGGACCCACTTCCAAGCTCCTGACCCCACCTTGACCGATGCTGTAGAGCGAAGCACAAAACGCAAGAGAAGGGTCAATGATCTTTTGTTTAGAGGAATTGGGGTCTTTAGGTGGTGGATGACGTCCTAGGATGCAGGAGGGTGGCTTGAGAGGTGACAGAATCCATGATTGCGCTGAGAGGTTGCCAGTCAGTGTATGGCGGAGGTGACGTTATGGTTTTCTCACTACTTACTCTCGATCAGGTCAACAAGATATCTGATCTCAGTCTCGTCTTCACCTCGCAAGTTTGGAAGCGGTTCACGGGATCGGCCTAGGCGCTCCGGTATATTTGCCGTTAAAGAATCCATTTGTAGTCTTTATCACCAGGATGAACTGGAAAGGAGCAATTGAAGAACGATCTATATGGCGAGAAACCGGTGAAGGATAGTGTCATCTGCAGGGTTTAAGGGAGTACGAGAATGTGTTTGTTTGGTTACACAGTGAGGCGGGAGAGTGGAAAAGTGTGATCATTCGAGGCAGCAAACTTTGTGTAGCGGTGGGAGCGATCCAACAACATCGAAGCTGCTCAACATGCAACATGTACGTATGGAAAAGAGGTTCGGTGGATGGTTCCCAGCTCTCCAATCGTATGATCCCATCATGTGTGCCATCATCAGAGGACTATGAAGGGTTATAGTCAGACTAATATGGTTCGTACTACTTTTGCATTAACTTACTGTCATGTTGCAACGCAAAGATTATGTCATGCTGATAAGTACTATCGCTGGGAATACGCAACTTCTTAGTTTTCCTACTGCGGTAAATTTGCTCCTCCCTTCTCTATTCGATGGTTGGATTACGTTTTTGTTCTCATATTTCCTCATTATGCTCCTCCACCATCTCTTCTATCAGCTGCCCACTCTTCTGCTTGTTTTCTGTATCCTCTTTCTTCGACTTCATCCTGTTCGCATTACTTCTCTTGACTGCCATTTCTTCCAGGGTATGCAACAGGCCCAGCAATGCCTCTTCTCTCGTTGTTCCGCTATGCAGTCCAAGATCTACAAGCTGAGGCCGACCGGGCGCTGGGCTGGTGGAATGGGCAGTAAGGGTAGCAAGATAGTCATTCGAGTCGAAATGACTTTGATGCACGAGGACGGCTATGTCGTAACCAGACCCAAAGACAGTGTCGGCGGTCAATTCTACATAGGTAAGAGTTCGGTAGTCAGCTAAGGTGACGGGCTTGGCTCTATTTGTTGAGTTCACGCTCATCTTGGGTCAAGGTATTGATGAGTGCATGGCGAAAAGCAGAGCATAGTCGTTATATACTGAGAATTTCGTAATAGTTTGCTCGCTTCAGCAGCAATCACTGACGTGCCGAATGATCTGCCGAATTCCAATCACGACACAGGCTCCAGACGATGATACAGGTCCTCGTAAGGCGCAGAAAGATGGCCAGGAAAGACGATCAACCTCACTTTCGACTCATCCATCAACCAACTAACACACCATCGCAGGACCTACATCGCCAGTCTTCTCCCATTACCACCACGAGATGAGAACTGGGCGCTGACAATCCCCTAGTGCCATGGAGACCTACCGCTGTGCAGTACTAGGTCTGGAAGAATGGAGCTGCCAAGAAGCCCAAAAAGTCCTAATGTTCTTTCAACTTAAACCTCGGGTTAATTGGACCCGAAAAGAGGCAATAAAGAGATTACGGTCATGAGGAGTACAAACAGCCGATGAGGTTGTAGAAGTTGAAGAAGTAATAGGCGGGTTGGGTCCTGGCTAAGGAGGAAGGGAAGATAAAGGAATAAATTAGCGCAACGATGGATTCATGTGCCGCGGCGTTGGTGCTGCCAATGTCTACAGGGTCTAGAATGCAGAGATCTAGAACGCCAAGATGCTGTTCATCCCATGCGCATGTAGTGGGGCACGGCGCGCAGGAACGATATCAGGAGATGAGTGTTGGTGGCGCTTGTTATTGATGCTTGTACGCAAACTCAGGGTCGATGCTTGGCTAGAAGATGATCCATCAATCAATGATTTACTACTAAACGCCACCAGTTTTGCAAAATTGATATCGTGTGATGTGGAGATGAGAGAAGCCATGAGGTAAAAAATATCTCTTTCGCTTTCGTCAGATGACAGTCGTCTAAACAACTCCATTCCTATGCAACACGAGAAAACGCCACAAAAGGAACGCCATGCTATGCAACACCCGAATGTACATATCAACATACCAACATGCCATCGTATCCATTACGTCCCAACGTGTCATGTCCCCCAGTCATCCCATTCCCCGTTTTTCCGTTGTTGTGATCGTTCCCGACTCGCACTTTTCTTCCTCTCTTTTGGCGCCGGATCTAGAAACCCGTCTGGTATGTCATTCCAATTTTGTGTTCCTTTTGGTGGCGCAGTCACGGTCTGTACTTTTTGCGCTTTGCGTTGGTCGACCGCTTGCTCGTCACTAGAGACTTCGTAATCGTCGTCTTCGTCTTCGGATATATAGTTGTACTGGTCAAACTTTTTCCTGTCGATTGTCTGGAGTTGAACATCGCCATCAGCATACATGCCGCGTTCTCTCCCTAGAATTTGGTCGGCTTTGTTTGGACTTCTTCGTCCGTCGATTGGGCCTTTCGCGATGCCGTTGGTAGTGGTGAGGTATTGGGTCTGCTCGCCGCGGCCAAGTGGTGCTTGCCATTCTGGACGTCTGGTGGCTCGTGGGGGAGGCTGGCTATATTGGCCAGGCATCCATCCGTTCGGAGCGCGAGTGGGACCCCTAAACTCTGCTTCAGTAGGAGTATCAACACCCCAACCAGCAGCGCGCTCACGCTGCTTCTGTATCTGTTCTTCTCTTTCCCTTTCCCGTTTTATCCGCTCCCGTGCTGCCAGCCACTTCGGACTGGGTTCCCAAGACCACCCGTCTCCTGTTGTGGTTACAAGCGGTATGAACCACTTCAGCGGCGAAGGGCCAAAAACATGTGCGATGTTGCGTTTCCAACCTAGGTCGAAGGCGTTAGGTAGCATCTCGTTGTCGCGCTCGTCAAGATAGCTGTCGTAGCGGTCTTGGTACTGCTGGCGTTCTCGATACTCGTAAGACTGGTAGTGCGGGTGCGAGTAACCGTTCGCATGGCCTGGTACGGGAGAGCGCGAGGTAGAGCGAGAGGGCGGCTCGCCCTCCTCGGGTCTGGTCACTCCCGGAAGAGCGTTCGCGTGAATCTCGCGCAACTGGTCGCCAACACTCAAACGTCCGTTCGCTTGCGCATCCATATAGTTTCGGTCGTTGAGCTGATGCTTCATCGTGTTCCGGAGTGGTGAGAGGTAGCGCGTCTTCTCCAGACTTTCTATCGTAGTCTGGCCCCTAACTGTAAGCCATAGATGCCATGCAGTAAAGCCTGTTATGACTATGCCAATGATGCCGGATAGTACGGCAAGTAAGACATAGTTTACGGGCATGAAGGACTCAGTGTATTGTCCATCACTGAGTATCTCACTCCAGACCCAAGTCGCAGAAGTTGCAAAACAGACCCAGCAAAAGAAAGAGAGGTATGATAAGAAGAGCACAAAAGCCTTGTAGTTGCGAAGACCGACGCAAGTCGCCAGCCATGGACAATGATGGTCCATCTTCAGGACGCAGCGCTTGCATGTGGAGCAGTGGTGAGAGCGGTCGGGCTTCTTGGACTGGCACTTGTTGCAGAAGCGTAGTTCACCGGTCGATGCCTTGACGGTGAAGGACGTGTACTGCATCTCTCCTCCTTCTTGCGATGGCAGGTGGCTGTAGCCATTTTTGATATTGAGCGGCGATCCCGGGTCGGTGAATACGGCGGTAGTGTAGCTCCAGTTGAGCATGAGATAGAGGAAGATGCCGAGCGTAGACGAGAACTTTCCTGTCCAGCGTGTTAGTAATCGAGTTTCCCAACTTCATGTGACGTGGTCTTATTGGACGTAGGATAAATTTGGATTGTGACATATATATAGAAAGGAGACGCACCCGTCCAGACATTCTTCGAGGGCACAAAGCCGATGCCTGCCTGGACCCATACGGCCCACGACGTCAGGCCGTAGACGAAGACCAGCGGAAAGTATGTGACGGCGGTGCAGCAGTACCGCTCAACCTTCCTGGCCCAGCCGCGACGGCGCATGGTTCTTGAGGGTGAGATTGGGGGAGAGGGCGAGCCCAACGTGGCCATAACTATGGGCGCAGCGAGTGGCCGGGCATGTGGTGCGGTCGATTAGGGAATGGATGTTTCTGCCTTGCGAACCCCGTGTATGGCGCGGATCGAGGATGGGCGGGCTGGAGAAGGGGGAGGATGCGGAGGACAAGAAGCCGGTGCACGACTAGTTTCAGGGTGCAGCGGCGCACACCATGTCACAAACTAGCAAGTAAGAGGGCGGGAAACGGTAGAATAAGAAAGCTAAGGCTATAGAAACAAAGTCGCACAAGAATCACCACCCGCCGTCGTGATGTTGGAGATGCGGAAGTCGTGTCCGGAGGTGTCGTCGTCGTCGTAAGCGTGTCGAATGGCGACGATTGAGGCGCATGATGGGTAGCGCGTCCCTGAGATGCATGTGGCGCGGCTTACCTATGATCGACCTCGACAACCACGCCGTGCACGTGACGGCGGCCGTTGCTGGGGAACCATAATTTCGGATACGTATGCAAGACACAACAACGCTAGGTGCAAGTGCAAGTACAAGGCGCAAAAACAACGTACACGGTAAGCTGATGGCGACGAGGAAGGTCAGACGTCTCTCTTGGGGCGCTTTTGGCCAGTTTCAGCTGGCCAGTCGCACAATCAGCCTGCAACCGCCGCGCCAGCTGGAGCAGCGTTATCCACTTGGCCAGTGGTAAGATGATGACAATCCCGGTTGCATGCGCGATAATCTAAGGTAGCCTGATACAGTGGTTACAAAACGCAATGTCGGTGCCACACCCCGGTAGGCACCCGTATTGCTCCCGCCGCGACCTGCGACATTTAGAGATAGCCGTCGCCCAGCCTGATCTGCTTCGGTCCTGCCAGCCATTGTTCTAACCAACTTAACGCCCACCGAGCGCGCCATCGTCGTACTTTGTTATTGCCATAGCGTCCCCCCCCACCCCGAGTCTTCGCGGACATGTCTAACAACACTCTTCTAACAACAACTTTTGGCAACACGATATAGCCCGGCATGCTTGCATCCAGGAAGCGGCCCACGCCGCTGCTGCTGCTCTTCGTCCTCGTCCTCATTGGCATATGGTACCACAGCAGAGACACTGACCACATATACCTGCAATGGATGTCCTCGATTGAGTCGCGGCCTGCAAAGATACCCTCAAACAGAACATTAGGCTTCGGCGCCGTCGTCGTCGTCTCCAAGGAAGGCTCCTCGCGCCGCCAGCCGCTCATCCAGGCGGCCAATGTCACCGACATCGACCTCACCATCCCGCCACAGCCAGAGTGGACCGAGGGCGATGTCCAACGCTTCATCAACGGGCAAGAGAAGGTCCAGAAGGGGTCTATACTAGCGTGGTTAGGGCACCACAACGCCCTCAAGTGGTAAGTCATCCCTCGTTGCCCGGCACCCGTCTTGGCGTGCATCCGCCGCTGTAGAGCTGCTGCTGACTCGCTTATTAAGGTTTCTCGATTCTGACCTCGAGACGGCTCTCATTCTCGAAGACGACGTCGACTGGGACATTCGTCTGCGCAGCCAACAGATTCCGCTCGCGGCAAGCGCTGCCCGCCAGCTCCTTCCCCCGCCGCGCTCCCAGCACCCCTACGCCAACGCAGCTAGCAACCATACCCAGTACTGGGGCGACCAAGATGCCTGGGACCTACTCTATCTCGGCCACTGCGGTGATTACTTCGACGTCGTCACTGAGGACGGACCCAAGACCGACCGCCAATCCTTTAATCTGACTGCTATGCCACACATCCTATACCAGGACCCTACCCTCCCCGCATGGTACAACCTACATCCCTTCACACAGGCTTTGTTCCGCCTACTGGGCATGCCTGAAGGGTCACGCGTCATCCACCGTTCCAAGTTCCCGCTCTGCTCTTTCGGATACGCCGTCACCCGTCGCACCGCCGAACGCCTCCTCAACGATCTCGCTCCACCCAAGCTGAAGAAAACTGGACCTCGCGCATTCGATGTTGCGCTTCTCCACGCATGTAACAAGGGAGAGAACACGCCATCTCCCACACCCGAGTGGCAGAATGCAAGGAATCCCCTGACCCGAAGCAAATACCCGAGCCCCGGACTCCGCTGCTGGACGCTCAACTCTGAACTATTCCACCACATGCCAGGTCACAGTGAGATTGACCTGGTGGGCGAGAAAAGCGGCGAGTCCGAACACGGTATCCCCCCGGTAGACCTGGCGGCACAAGCTCAGGTCGTCTTTCGAAACGAGACCACAAACATCGACTGCGGATTCTGGAGCGGCGCCTTTGCATTCGACGAAAAGGATACCGACCGACTCCATTACCTCCAAGAAAAGGTTGGCAGACAAGGCATATGTCTCAAAGAAGACAAGAAAGAAGAGCGCAAATACCCGGCAATAGATTCGATATGAGAACACCTCGACGCACCACCACCACAACATGACCACCTTCCATGTACATATTAGATTTCACGACGAGCAACTTATTGGCGAAATACCCGGCTTGGGTTTACGGGCGTTTCGTAGGAGTACGAAGTAGGATTTCACCAGCGATATGATAGTCCGATCAAGGGCGCATATGGCCTTTTTTCCAGCGTTTTAGCTTTGACAACTTTTGGGGGCAATATACCATAACGGCGAATTTCAGCAATCATGGCGTATGTATGCGAGCGGCATGGTTTGGAGACCACCTTTTTTCTTTCCCTCACGATTATCAGCATAACTTTGAGCGATACTATGAAACCAATCTACGTTGTTTTTTACCATCCTACATCCTTTGCTCCTGGGCTGATGAATCTTTTACGTGATGCACTTACCGATTGCTCCAGCTCGCACGCGAAAACAAATCTTGTTCTCTTCTCGGTACACGGCAACATGACTGAACGATCGTAATACCATACTTCTCCACTTTCAATCCCACACAACAGGTGGGGCCGTATCTCAACACCGCGCAATCACCGACGTCACGGCGAACTTCAAGGCGAACGGTATTCATCAACACTAAACATGCATTACGAAAACAATGACGCACCAGCTACAGCAAACTCACCCCATTCTCAAAGACCCTGTACCCCAGATCTACAAATAGAAGGAGAAGAAAAAAACATTTGTTCATACAACTTACATAAACTCTCGCGTTCCTGGCGATCCGTCCATTTCGGTTTCAAAAACCGCAAATGCAAGCACAATCCCGGCACCGAGGATTCCCATGACGATCTTTTCATTTTTGTCCTCTGACAAGCAACCCTGAACCTGGTGAGGACATGAAACAAGCTTTTTGGTGCTTGGTGTCGGCCCGATGCCACGTTCGCGGGTTAAGGGGGAGGGGAAAGAGGGGAAATGAGAGGAGGGTGTGTTCACGCGCGTGTGCGTGCGTATGACTGGAACTACGTGTTTGGAGGAATAGAATTTTATGTAATCATTGGTCCTTGGACAACCAACTCTGCCTTTACAGCCTCCGGATATGTTTACGTTCCGTTGTGTGGGTTAGTCCAAGAGAAGGTGTGCTACTCTCAGCCATTGCTTGCCACAGAGCCTTTATCCCCAGAAAGTTCGACTGCAGGGTGAACCTCGGCTTGGTCTTTCAAGTGAGCGGCCCTGGCTGCTTCGCTTTGGAAGTCCAATTCGTCGGGTGTAATTGAGTTCCTCAAGTTGTCTAACGTGTCGCAGTCATGCCTGCCATATTTCGATCTCTTCCACTCATGCAGTAACCCGACCACAGACATGTGTCCATTGTTTCGTGCTCTGTAAATTGCCCTTCTGTAGTTCCTGTTGTGTTGTCCCTCGAAATCGGCTCCTGTCTTGAGGAGAAAAGTGACCATCTCAAGACTGCCTACTTCGGCGGCTATCTCAATTGCGGTCTTGCCCAATATACCTGGAGGTGCGTTGACTTCTGCCCCAGCTTTAATCTAGACAGTGACGATCTCGATGTTGCCTATGATAACTGCATCTTGAAGTAGTTTGTAGCCTACGTCGGATTCCCTACGAAAATTGACGTTCGCTCCAGCAGCTATCAATTTGCGTACCATAGACACATTCTCTCTCGTTACTGCCAACTGGAAAAGCCGCACTGTTGATCATAAAATCATCCAGTCCTTTTATGGAGTGCTTAAGACCATGCAGGCTTGGCGGGGTCCTCTGCCGTCTTACAGTCGCCATACTCAATCGCTTTTGCGAGACCAAAATACAGCCATTGTTGCATATGATCATCTCCCATGATCTGTCTCATCTCATTCGGTTTCAGGCCAGCTTCTAGGATCGCTTTTTCGAGTTCGAGATCTCTAGAGGACCATGCAGAGATGTATGCAGCAGTAAGTTGACGTTGTCGCTCCAGATATTGCTTCTTGCTCGTATCATACCATGGGAATTTCAAAAACCTCTTGAGGTAGGTGGACTTCCAAGCAAACATGGCGAGCTCGAAAGGGCTTCCGTATGGTAATATCTTATTCGAAAAAGGGCCATTGTATCGCCCAGTATACGGACTGAATCCAGTCTGAAGGAGGACGTCAACGACCTTGTCATTAGATAAAATTACAGCCCGGCTAAGAGCGGCGCTTCCTTTCTGAGATATCTGGTGATCTAACAATCTTATGCATTCAGCGAGTAATGGCCGTACCAGATGCATGGCATGTTCAATCGCATTAGCGAGAAAAGCGCAATCAGTGTACGGACAGCCGGTGAAGATTATCGCACCATGACTGGTCAAAGTCCTGATTGCATCGTCATACTCGTATTGAACTGCAACTTGCAGTACATTGAATGGATACTCGTCGAATTGATAGTTGACGGTCTCTGCTTCCTGCAAAGCCATTTCGTTTACTCCTGCATTGAGGAGTACGTCAAGTAGAGATAGGTTTCTGTCCTTCACAGCATTGAATAGAAGGGTTTCGCCAAAGCTCTTCCAGTCCTCGTCCGGATCGGTAGCAATCAGTATCCGTCGGAGAAGATCCAAATCCAGATCATCTCGAGTGCCTCTCATAATTTGATGAAAACGACGGCTTGGAATCTTGTATCGGACGATAGCCTCGACATGGATATCGATAGGTTGACTGAGGACATAATCAGTGGTTTGCTGATGCTCATGAACTTGATGTTGACTCTTTAGCCGGTCGATGTCTTGGAAGATACGGTCGGAATTGTTGGAGATGAATTCGTGCATGTACACATAAAGTGGTACTGAATATACAGGGGACCTATCAACCGTAGGAGGACAGGATAGTGACGATGGATTCTCCCTCGATTTCGTCGTCCCATCCGCAGCATTATCTCCATGCATTTTGGGCAAAGTGTCTAGGCTCGGTCCACCGTAGATCGGCCAAAAGATGGAAACTTCTTCAGGTAGCTGGTCGTTTTGGTCTCCAATATCATCCACAGCGGAAGGTTCTTCGTCATATTTTTCGATCTCTCCATAGTATTCATGCTCTGGTAATGGAATCAGTTGCAATTCGTCGTCTTCTTTGATTGGCGATGGTGTGGAGATCTCTATGTTTGGTGGTGTCTGACAGCGGGGCGAAGGATTCAATTCTATGGCATACTCTCAGTGAGCCGTCAAATTCCAATGAGCTTCCTACCTACTTGATTTATAACGAACAAGAGTGCTCTCTCGATGCCTAAGCTTTTGACGATCTAGTCTTGACTGTGGAATCGTTATACCGCGGACTTTGACAATAGTCGGGCGATGGCGTTCGTTCAAGCGGCTGAGAATAAAGTCCCACTCCTCTTTGCGCACATTCTTGGACACACGCCATCTTTTCAGGGATCTTTCGTATTGTGGTTTTCTTCTTACCAGTTAGCCTAATGTGTTTCAGTGTCGTAATCCCCTTACGTTTTTACAAAGCCTTGATTGGCCATAACACGGATAACTTCGGACAGTGGCCTATCCTGCTCTATGTATAGGTTCAGTATGTCATCCTTACGTATCGTCCATTCGGACTCGTCTTCTTCCGATCTCTTGGGCATCTTCGGATATATTCTTCTACGTGCTACCGTTATCACAACTCGGAAAGTAATATAGTAAGACGGCTCCTCGGCACTAGGCACAGCCGAGTATCGCAGTGCAGCGAAATTCGCATGACCTGAGCAAAGTCACCGGCATGCACGAAATGATTGAAGATGGCAGTATAGTGTTTTAAAGAAGGGTGAAGAGGTATGGCTAGACAAGTGTTCAAGGTCAGAAGAGAGGGGATAGAGGCTCGTTCACCTGAGTAAAGGCGTGTGTCACGCTATTGGTCGCTTTCGAAATCATCGACCCACCGGATGCAGCAACCGCGCCTCCACGTCCTTGACCTTCCGGTGATTGGTGTATGCCAAAATCTTCGACAGCACTCGCCACTCATGCAGACGAACAGCGCTTCCGGTGTGCTGGCCAGCGGTGGGAGAGTGTTGGAAGCGATGCTAGCAAGTTCTTTTTTCAGTTCCACCAAAGGTAGTGCGAATTGGAACGCTCAATCCCGAAAAGCAAGAAGCCATTCACTGGTCGTCGGTAGCTCTCCACCAAGGCTGAGGCTAAGAATTCGTCATCGCATAGACCAGGGTTGCTGCGCCTGCCCAGGATGATTGGTCGAAGCCAGAATCTCCTTAGAATCTCTAGATCTGGTGCACCTACCTTGAGAAACTACGCTAATGTAAGCGACAACGGCCAGGTGTCGGAGTTGCTGACATGTATGTGCAGACCGGCCGGCCGAGTCCTTTCGACCCTCTTAGGGATTATCAAACCAAGATGCGGGCGTGAACTGGTTGGTTGCTGCCATAATCTCCGTTCAAGGGACACATGATACCTGGTATATAGTAGTTCTCCTTCTCTGCTGGGTGCAAGATTAAGCAGCAGTTGCAGAGCGGCCACCGGAATCTACCTACAATCTTCATAACAACGAATGTTGGAGCTAGCAGTCATTTCAAATTTTCGAAAACAAGATACAGGCACCAATAATGGTACTGGACACTCAAAGCATTGTTGCAGTCATTGCACTGTTGATCACGTGTCCCCCTACTATCTGGCTGCTTTACAAGCTGTACATGCGATATCGACATCGAGAAAACTACGGTATATATATGCTCCCCAAGATTCTACTAATCCATATACTAAATCTGATGCGGGAATGAGTTCTCTTCTCCCTATTCACACACCAGCTCCGAGTGTACCGATATCGAGACAAAACCTTTTACTTCAGTATCAACGTTCGCACACTTGGTCGTTGCATACAACGATCATGCTAGAAGAATTGGCGTCTGCAGCTCACTTTAACTCCCGTGGTAAGAGATAGCATTCCTGGGCGTCTGAACATATCACTGACCATATACAGACCTGAGACACTAGTTGAGCTCAACATAACGCAGGAAAACTACTTTCTCCGCTCCACCATGTAGAGCGCATCACCTAGATGGGGGTATCGATCGGTTTATCGGAAGCAAGCGCCGACCCTGTCCAATACAATAGGGTGAGAATCGTGGATTTGATACACGTGAAAGGTGTGTATGGGTCAAATGCTTCATTTGCTGGAGAAGTACGGGCGGATAGGATAAGTAGGTGGAACTATGTGGAGACCACCCATTGCTTGCCGTACCTAGGCCGAATGATATTTGTACTTCGGCTTGTAATGCATGCGGGTAATACGCACGAGCGAGTTGTCGCTGTTCCTTCTGGTGTGGCATTCAAGCCATGTTTCAGGTTTTGGAGACCACCGTCTAACAACAGAAGGCTTAAATAACTTTCCTTCGATACCATGCTAAATCGAAACTACCATCCTCAAGCTCTTTACTATCATACTCTCCAGCACTAAAGAAAAAAACGCCCGACAGTTTTCAAACACCCGTCTTGTCCTCCTGATTTGCCTCACACCAAATCCTCTTATAAGCAGAAGTCTCGTAGGCCTGTAAGCTTTTGGAGTGATCTTTATCTTCCATCTCCTATACGACGCCTGCCACCATCCTGTCACCAGGCCTCAGCGTCGGGACTATGCTCCCATCCCTGGCTTGAAAATCAGTAAATGGTTTCATGCCGATCCTTTGGGAGTTCTGGAAGATGAGGGATTGCTTGTATCAATTTGGGGTCTATAAGTAAGCTGTAGAAGAACACATAGCACGGAAGAGACACGATACGCTGTCTCTGACTCTGTAATATTTGGGTATTTCTTATATGGGACTTATCGATATGCCGCAAGTGTGGTTGGCTCATCAGCTGTGGTTCGCTACCGAAGCACTGTCATCGCAACGATGCTAAATGCTGAGACACAACAGTCACCGACTGACATTTTCATTATGTTTCATCAAGTTCTCCATTTCCTCCCTTTCTTCTCTATTTTGACGTACGCCTACTCCACTTGAACAACAGGTGAATAGTTAACAGCAATAATATGGAATACCTCGACAATCTAGACCATGACGCCATGAACGCATTCAGGGAACTAAATAATGACACCGTACCACTTCATCAAATATCTGCACTGAAACTATCAACCGAAATGAAAGACCTGCTCCAGTCAACCAAGCAGCGTAAGACTCCAGTCAAAGGAGCAGCTGATCGTAAGTTTGGCAACATGGACTACCTCTTCAAGCTCAGCGACCCTATCACTCGCACAATCCTCGCCTCGGCCGCCATCCTTCCCTCCCACCCCCGAATCATCCAGGGAGAAGGCGAAGACGGTATCGCGCAATTCTGCCATGTCAGCGACCTCGACATTTCAAAGATCAAGGACTGGCTGGCCAAAGAATACCCAGACATTTCCCCAATCTTTGCGCCTATTAACAAGGCACGCAAGGCTTTGTCTCTCGGTTCGGCGTACCCAACTCTTGGATACGACACTACACTGCCACATCACCGTCCTGACAGCAGGGCGTGTGAGTATCTCCCAACACAGGACCAATTCCCCGTGTGGTACTTCTTCTATGGCACGCTGGGGAATAGTTCGTTTCTGAACGAGTTGTTTGGGTTGCCGCCCGAAGAAGATCGCGCACTAGTTCCAGCTTTAATTTATGGAGGAAAGCTCAAGACTTGGGGTGGCAAGTACAATGCTCTGATCGACGACGACCCTGAATCGCGGGTTGATGGATGGGCGTATGAGGTTGTCTCGCAGGAGCAGGAACACGCCCTATGCATGTATGAAACGGCGAGGTATGAAGTAGTGAGGGTGGAGATCAAGCTAGATGGGCATAGCGGAGGGCGCTTCGTGAAAGGATGCGCATTTCGATTCGCGGGAGAGAGGGGTGAACTGGATTGAAACTTTTCCTGTGGTGAGTAAAATAGAGATGCACTGTATAACGCAGTAGCACTTGTAATGTAGTAATGTATTAAGCATTGATAGATGAGGAACATCTGTACAAATAAGATGACAAAGGTATAACTCGCCCTATGGGAAAGCAGATTCTATATCCCGGGATATGTTATGCCAGAGATACGCCATGCGCCACGCTGAAAATGTAGACAGAAAAAATGTCAAAAGATGAATCAGAGTTCGAAGTTGTCAAGCCAGTGCTTGATGACCACCCTGCCCTCGTTGAATGAAGGCTTGTTCATACGCACGATAATGGCCGCGTGGGAGTGTCGGTGGTTATGTATGTAGACCGGGTGCTTCATGAAGCCCACGTTGTCCAGCGCTTCGATCATCTTGAATTGGTCATCGGTAAGGGCCAATGTCGGGAAAATGACCTTCGCAGCATCCTTTTGCTCCTGTATCGAATCGGCGTCCGATTTGGGCTTATCCTTGCGCGAGCGCGGTGAGATGGGCTGGGTGGGAGAGGCCACATGTTCGAAGCCCTCGCTCAGATAATCTTGGCTCTGGGCATGGTTCGCGTTCTCATACATGCCCTCGGCTTCTCGTCGCATGGCAGTGATCATGTTGGGTATGCGGTAGCGTGCGTAGTCGATGCCAGATCTGCCTTCTTCGTGTAGTCTTATGCGTTGACCGCTGCGAATCGTCTGAACAGCCGAGTTGATGAGGAAGGCCGACACACCAAATGGTATGAAGACCGTCAGAACTGCGACGATCGTCGCCCGTCCCAGTATTGTCCTTGTGCCTTGCGCCAGTCGTTGTGAGAAAGCTGGGGGTTCTTCAGGCTCCTTTGGCGAGACTGGGTGATCGCCATCGACGATAACTTCCTCATAGTCTGGGATGTAGTTTATCTTGATGTCGTCTGGGTCGACGAAGGGGTCGGTTTGTGAGATGCCGGCGGTATAGTATGTGACTGTTCGGTCATTCACGACGTTTGCGTATAGACTTCGGTGCTTGAACTGCGCAAGGCCTCGGATGAAGATGCTCTCGGGGTCTGCGAGTACAGATAGGAGCGATCGGCCTGTGTCTCTAAACTTGTCGACGCCAAACAGTTGTCTGCCGCTCATGGAAAGCGTTCGCGCTCCCAAGACGTTCCATATGTGGCTGTGGTAGCCTTTGAGGGGCGTTCGCACGCCGAGATGTGGTGTCGCGAAGGTCGTGAAGTTCTAGAGAGTCAGTACACTGTGTGGTGGGGTCATGATAGAGGCACGTACGACTGGCTGTATCTTCTCGAAGACGCCTCTGTGATAGAGCAGACCGATGGCATAGCGTGCGATCAAGCCTCCTAGCGAGTAGCCGGCGACGCTGATCTTAGTTATGTCGTGTCCGGCTTTGGCTAGTTCTTCTATCTTGCCCTCGACCTCTTCTGCTACACGCTCGCCGCCAGTATCGACACCATCGTAGGTGAAGCTGCCAGCGTTGCGCTTGGCCACGAGGATGTGAAGTTTGTTTTCTGGAAATCTCTCGCCCAGTGTGGTACTGACATATTTCAGGTGCTCAGGGTTCCCCCACAGACTGGTTGCGGTCAGCGGAAGTGCTTCTTCTTGACATGATAGGAGGCGATAAGGCCTCGTACAGAGACGTACCCATGGACGAGGACACAAAGGTGGTCGGCTTTCTTGGTATCGGCAGAGGTGGACATGGCGAAAGACGTGAAGTTTGCTGGCCTGGGAATTAGGGTGGAAGGCGCAGTGTATGTATGTCGCCCCGGCGGCCAGAAGTCGTCCGTGGGAGGCGCAAGTCTGACCGAGACGCGCGCAGCCTCAAAAGCAAGTCACCTGCGGCCAGGACACCACTTATGTCACGACAAAGTAGCACGACCGTCTCGGATTGGCGTATAGATGTGCAAATGTGGTTAGAAGACAGTTGCACATCAATTGTGGGCGCTGAACAGGTGAAAGTCGGTGTTTTCGGAATGCGCAACAGTTGCATCACCGCGTCATGACGGAATTAACGATCAGATCGCCGCCGTCGCGTTCGCCCGCGTCCGTGGACCGTGGACCGTGGACTAGGGACCCTTTATTTAGCGCTAGAGAATCTACAGGGCTGAGACGCGCATCTCACCTCATCAATCACCTTCACCTTCTGGCTCACTCTAGCTCCTTTGGGATAGCTGAAGCTCATACTGGAGCTTGCTGGTAACCTTGATTGCAGCGTATTGTTGTCATACTGCACTTGATGAAGTTGATGAGGCATCAATACGGACCTCAACGCGACGGCCTCTCATCAGCCGCCTTTGCATTCACGTCAATCTTCTCTTGCGCATTGCGATATTGATTGATCAGACGTCACTCGCTCATTCCAGTGCAATATCGTGCAGTCAAGCGTGCAGCTCTCGTCGATTACAAGATCGGGCTCCATATAGTTGCGACTGTCAGCGCATAGCTACTCAGCTGTTATAGCCTGGTAGGTTACGAGCGCGTTAAGCTTGGCATTGTATCTACTTACAGGAAAGGATACACCGTAATCAAAACAAACATGTGGCCTTCGATACCAGCTTACAGGAGCTTTGCCAACATAACATGTCCCTCTGGTGCAAAATGCGAGTTGCCTCATTGTATCTTCAGTCACGAGACATCGGAACCACCTCCAGCGCGACGGTCTCCGTCACCCGTCGCAGCAAAATATGATCCAGAGCCCATCGCGAAGAGGCTGAAGCTCGATGACAGTTCAAAGGCATCCAACTTACAGGCCGCTCCAGCACCAACGCAGGCAAAGCTCAACGTTCCTGTTAACTCAGACACACCCAAGACCAAGGCACCGACACCAAACAATGCGCCCAAAGCTGCTAACACCGCACCGCCTAAGACACCCACTCCTCTTCCGGCATCTGCTACACGACCAGTGTCACCAGCACCGGTTGCTGCAGCACCCAAGATCGCTGCTAAACCTGATGCTCCTGTTACCTTGATGCCGCGAAAACTCAACAAAGAACCAGCGACCTTCACCAAGCGGGTTACTCTACTCAAGGCGCTGCATACCTACATGAAGCCCCAGAACGACAAGCTTCTCAAAGCAGTCAAGCCTGAAATCAAAGCACTACACCTATCACCAAATCAGCTTAATAAACTGGCGGTTGATGAAGAGGAAAGGATAGCTTCATCAAGTGGCTCAGTGTATGAAAATATACTCAAACAGCGACTGGTCAAGCTAAAGACCATGCCAGCGGAAGAATGGGTCAAGGAACGACGCGAAGCTATAGCCAAGGAAAGCGGAGAACCACCAAAAAAGGCACCTCCCAAGAAGGTCGATACGGGCCTTACTCCAAAGGAAGAAGTCACTTTTCTCCCCAGGCTCATCTGCCCGCAGGAAGGACTGGATAAGCATGGCTATGTGATCAAGCTGCCTGCCGACGCCGATCTCAATGAGACAAAGTTAGCGTTGGAAGCAGCGGGTGGCTGGGAACAATGCGAGCGCTGCAACACTCGTTTCCAAGTCTTCTCAGAACGAAGGGAGGAAGATGGAGCACTTACTACTGGAGGGCACTGCAAACATCACTGGGGCAGACGAATCTTCCCTAGGAAATCAAGAGGCGTTGCACCAGAACCTACAAAATTCAGCTGCTGCAATGGAGAGGTAGGATCAGAAGGCTGCACCACGCACAGCACACATGTGTACAACGTCAAAGACCCAAATCGTTTGTCGCTCATCATGCCGTTCATCGAAACGCCAGAAAATGACAAAGTCCCAAAAGATACCGCTGTGTGTTTCGATTGCGAAATGGGCTACACGACCAACGGCCTCGAGATGCTTCGTCTTACAGTCATAACATGGCCGCAGCACAAGCCTCTTATTGATGTGCTGGTGCGCCCCCTCGGACATGTATTAGACTTCAATACGCGGTTCTCGGGTATCACCGCAGACCAGTTCCTGAACGCGAAGCCGTACGATGCAGCAAACCCCAAGCCCGTCCGCAAAGACCTTCGCATCGTCGACTCACCTCACGTCGCACGAGACCTGTTTCTCTCATACGTCTCTCCCACCACCCCAGTTCTCGGTCATGCTCTCGAAAACGACCTCAACACCATTCGTCTCGTCCACCCAACCATCATCGACACCGTACTTCTCTACCCGAATCCCAGCGGTCTACCCTTCCGTTTTGGCTTGCGCAAGCTAGCATCAGATTACCTCGGTGAGCAAATCCAGCAAGGAGGCGCCGCTGGCCACGACAGCTACGAAGATGCGCGGACTACAGGCGAGCTGGTTCGATGCAAGATCAAGGAGAGGTGGAAGCTTTTGAAGATAGATGGCTGGCAGATCAGAGACGATGGTGTGTATCCGCCTATGCCGACGGAGAAACCGCCAGAGCATGCCCCGGTTGCGCCGTCCATGGTTCCAGAGGCGAAGATGGCGGTTCTAGAAGGAAATTCTGCGCCCAAGAGGAAATTTGAGGACCATGAGGTGGAGGAGGGTGGTGGCGAGGAGTTGTAAGCGAAGAATTTGCAATAGAATCTGCACTTGAGGGCATATAGCATAGCATCCATGCGTTTGGATAACCGTATTTGGCTTGTAGCATGACACGGAGAGCACTGAGAATTGAAAGCACAAAACTTGGGCACGCACCCCAATCTTATTTGCTGTTCTTCATATTGTAGATACTGCAGAACGTTCCAAGTGTATACCATCAGCATGTCCTGTCTGGTACAAGGGCAATTCCTTCGTAGATGATTGACTTTCGTCCATCCCCCACGGCCTGACCGTTGAGTTATACTGATCGCTTCCTCTCTCTCGCACACGACGAGCTCGATTCTTTTATCCTCCCACTATCTTCTTGTATGCTTGGCTTCCTCTGCCGGCTTCGTCGGCGCGCATATGTCCGTCTTGTGTAGATGTGATGGTTGACGCAATTGCTCTCCTCGTCCCCCTCATCCTACTTTGGCCGCGTCTAGTCCCTGCACACCTTCCAGTCCTTCTTTGGTAGGTTCATACACAATATCCGTGTCTAGTTCCTTCATGACGCCTATCACGACGCCTATGCTCTCGATGAAGCCGTTGACGGCGACGCGTAGCATGCGATTCGTGGTTGCTGCGTATTCTACCTTGAGGACGCTTTCTTGAGGGGATTCGGGCGACGTGCTGAGGGAGAAGGCGCGGCGGACGAGGGGTGAGAGTTCGGCATCAACAGAGATGGCGCGTTGGGCGGTTTGGGCGAGGTGCGCGGAGGGGAAGGGTATGTTGAGGGTGCTGGGCGTGCATTAGTATGTATGGTAAGAAGTCGATGTGGGTGGGTCTGTACAGAGTGCAGGGAAAGTCGTCATGTTTCCAGTCTTTTTGGTCCGCCATGTTGGTTCCTTGGGTAAATCGTCTGGTGCTGAAGGTAGCCCGATCTTCGCGATGAGGCTCAAATCGCAAAAGTGTGGGGGAGGGGTAGATGCCATCTCGATGCGGCAAAGCGCGACCAGTGGAGCTATGACCCGCGGCCCATGCCAGGTACATGTCGAGAGCGTCATACATCATCATTTGCATCTGTTAGCTGAAATGTACAAACGCGTCATGCGTCATTCGCTCTTGCATACCTCGGTCTCCGCCAAACTTTTGCTTCCTTGCATCCATCCCCCTTGACATCAAACATTCAATCAACCCAATCGACACATACTCGATATACCCTCATCTACGTAATATACAGCTACAAGCTACGAATTCAATGACCATGTTCCGCAACACCATGATCCGATCCACAAGAACCCTTCGCTTCAGCGTCCCGTCCGCACGTCCTTTCTCCCTCTCCGCCTCAAGAAGGGTCGAGCAATACCCGAACAACGCGAGCACCAACTCAAAGACCAAGACGGACAAGTACGATAGCGACAGCCCTCACGCGGTACAAGAGAAGGTCAAGCAAGGAGACACACACAACGTCCAGGAGAGCAATGCAAAGGCCGGATTAGAGTAAGTCATCCCCAGCGGTGTGCATACTGCATTGTGCAAGAGGAGCAAGGGAACGAGAGTGGCATTATCGTAACGTGCGGCTAATACCATCCAGCAGCGCGCAAAAAGAGGGCAGCGGTGGTCATGCGACTGAAGGAAAGGACTCGGCTGGCGGAAAGGAGAAGGCGAAGAAGGAGTTCCCTGAAGCGCCGGACCCAGCTATTGGCATGCAGGACGAGAGAGGTGGACGTGGTGCTTAGGTGCATGCTGGTGCACACAAAGGAACAGTCTTGAAGGACCAGAGGATTGAGGCAGGCAGACTACATCCACCAGGATCGACGGGCCCATCCGGTCGGCCATATAACACAATACAAAGGAGCTGTTGCCAAGTCCGGCCATCTTACCATGACCACTTGTTGGTGTGATGGATTGGCTAACCACAGGGCGCAAGGTTTACATCACGTGGAGGAACTCCTCGTCATGTCGGCTCTGTCTTCGCCGTACGTCTAACATGCAAGGAGCGACAAAGGAAAGACCACACCACATGGTCGCATATTGAGAATGAAAGAAGTTGCTGCTAATCAATCTAGGTAACAAGAACGCAACTCCACTCTTCTCTATAAGTTGATAAAGACTCGAAACCTCATCCCTATCTCTACTGTGTCTCGCAGCTGACCATCAGCCTGAAGAAATCGTTCTCACCTTTGAACTCTATTAACGAAACCAAGCCATCATCACCATGAAGGTCGCAGTTCTCCTCATTACAACCCTGGTAGCTCTTGCCAGTGCCACACCCGTCATCTCTCTCGAGCCTAGACAAAGCATCATCACCGACGACCCCACCAAAATCTGTAATGAGTGTAAAGCAAAGATATCTACTTGCACAAAGGTAAGTCTATCTTTCTTTAATCCTTCTCTCTTCCCCTTTTTCCCCTTTCGGTGTTGAAGCCTTCCTCGGTCTGATTCCTTCTCCCACGACAAATGGAAAGGCGCACAACCAAGGCAGATAACCGTTGTCGCAATACTGTGACTAATCTGAATCATAGCAAATTTTGTTTATTATTCTCTGCCCCAACGGCGGTACGGGGACAATGTGCTATAACCATTGCATGTGCAAGGCTGCTAGGGAAAACATCCTGTGCAAGTCGGCTTGTGGGCTGAACTGCCCTTGAAACTCGCCATAAATGATGGGCCACGAGCGGTTACCACATCACAGACGTCAACGAAACACCGGGGTCAAGTGAGCAATGACGCTGCATGCTGGTAGGACGGGTGGTCTAGGTGGTGATTGGAGAATGTGATGGGTTGGTTTTGGGGTTTGTCGTAGTACGAGGAGGTGATACACGTACATCGGTTCAACCCCTAACGGAATGAGCGAGGTTTCTGGTAATCGCGGTTCCTATGATGCTTGGATGGGATGGTTTGTTAGTTCAGGACGCTACACCTCTTGGAGAAGAGGTAGTACCGTCATAGCGATGATAGGGATATTTGACACAAGTCAATGTGTTGTTTTCTTTGTCTCGTACATGTTCTTATCTAAAACTCTTACCTCCCTCAATCTTCACCCTTGACCTAAGCCGCTTCGTATTTCCATTCCAACCATGATTCACTACTCCCTACGTGTTGCCTTAACGACTCTCCTTTTTGCCATCTTCACGCTCCTTGTCACCGATACCCTCGCAGCAACACCTCCCCTCGACCATCCCATCCCCAACCCACCATCTTTCCCTCCCATATATCACAAACCATCGACGCTGTCTAGTATCAGACGCGATACGCACGACCAACGCGACAATCGGAGAATGGAGGCGAACAAGTGCGTTCGGTGCAAATATACTAGAGTGAGTCTGGTGGTATCTAGCCTGATAGAAGCTAATAAAAGTACAGAAATGCCGTGACACAGTTACTGGATGCCCTTGAGCATGGAACTGCGAGGTTGGTGAACCGGATGCGCAGTGTGGAAATGGTTGTGCATTCGATTGTGGGAGGGATAGGGTTGGCTGACAGCAAGGAAATGGACTCGGTCTGAGCTTAGATGTCTGCCTGCGTGATATACTACGTTCCGTAATTGTTGAGTAACTACAATAACCACTAGCTTGTTCGTTCATGTTCATTCTTGTCGTCATCAGATACCTTGAACCTATTGGTCCTGACACAGCATAATATTCAGGACCTGCTGCGTTGGCAAAATCGGGTGCATGCTCCAGAACCATACGCGTACTGGTCACTTTGATCCGAGAAAACCCATCGTTCACTCTTGGAGTACCTTTGTAACCCTGAAGTTGACACCGTAGTTATAATTCTTGTCGAAACCTAGACCAAAGTCTCGGTATGGAGTGATGTTCTCGATGGAAGAGTCCACAAGCTCCAGGTCAAAGTTTTGGACCATAGCTGCGACGGTAAGGTAAAGTTCGGCGTATGCAAGACTAGGTCATGTTAGTATTCTTGCATCGTACAAGAAGCATAGATAGCCTACTTTATGCCAAGACAGGCTCTACTGCCCTTCGTGAAGGTGACCAAATACTTGTCGAGATATTCTCCACGGGCTTTTGCTTCAATCCATCGCTCAGGCCTATACACATGGGGATCAGGGAAAACGTCGGGGTGGCTATTGAGTAAATATGGCATTGCACCGATGGTAGTCTGGAATCATTTCAGACCTCTCAAGCTCTCAAGCAGGTTCTGTAACTTACGCCGGAAGGTATGAGCATGTCCTTGTAAGCAAGCGGCTCGACAAGTAAGCGTGGAAAGCGACTTGTGAAGGGAGATTCGTATCGAAGTGACTCATTGATGACCGCTGTCTAGTATGCATTAGGAGGCACACATAGCAAAATGTAGCAAATGACTTACCAGATACGGTAGAGATTCAAGCTGGGTCCAGGTCGCGTTCTTGTACGGTTGTAGCTCTGCACGCAGTTTGGCCAGGATTTCGGGATACAGAATCAAGTAGCACATGGTAGCTGTCAAGGTTCTGGCAGTGGTATCCACCCCGGCGATCAGGATGGTTGAGCTCTCATCTGTCAGTCGTTGAAGTGTCCTCTCTTGTGCGGGTATCTTGGAGCTGACTAGTGCGTCGAACACCGTCCGGGGTTTGGTTGGTTCTTCTCCTTCCATGCTTTTCTTAAGTGCCGCTTTTGAGTATCCTGCAATTCTTGTTTCGAAGTCCAGAAAGCTAACCATGGAAGGGCTGATGCGGGCGACTAGCCAGGCTGGAAGATGTGTAATGAGTCGGTCAATGCCAGGAAGAAACCGTCGCACGTGTTGAATCATCAATATGGCTTTAACATCTCGTTCGAGCTCGCACGGGAATCCAGGTTTGTCGAGATTACCAAAACTCTCGCCATATGCATAGTGTGAGATAACGTCGATCGCTAGACTGCCAAACACGAGAGGCCCAATAAGGGTTTCTTCAGTATGGTTGGCTTCCTTTAAAAGGGTCACCAACTTATCAACTTTAGACTGAATGATTGATTCCAGGTCTGAGATGGATCTCTTCGAAAACAGATTGGCAATATAGCCGCGGCGTTGCCGATGTAGTTCATGGTCGTTAGTAGAGATCACCGATGTGCGTACGATGGTTGTGAGATCAGGGCATTTGTTGCGCTTCTGTCCACCACCTGAATAGACCTTGTCATAAAAGAAGGGGTCGTTGAGAGAGAGCTCATCAGGATTGACTCGTATAAGTGGGCCTGCCTATTATGAACACATACTTCTACAGTGGAGTGCGCGTATTGGGAAATGCTCACCATATTCCTCGTGCATCTGGATGACCTTCTTGTAATACTGCCCACCGTGTATGATGTCGTAGTAGAACTGAGGAAGGTATGATCCAGCTGCCCAGCGTGAACCAGGGAAGCTGGCCAAAGGGTGGAAGAAGAGGTTATAGATAGTCTTGATAAGCCAGTATGTAATGACGAGCACAATGAAGCCCCCGACTACGGTGAGCTTATCTACCTCCTTCATGCTCTGAGGGGTGATAGTAATCATTGTTGCAGTTACTTTTGACTTTTAGGAGATGGCTAGAGGGATTCGAAGATGCTGTGAACAAACGGGGTGGTGAACACGAAGCGGGGCTATTTGATTGTTTGCATTGCCTACACGAATAGTCTTGGTGGCTAACTCACACGACCTCTTGTTGAGAAGCGGGGTACCTTCATTGTCCTTTCCCAAGTTTGCGTTTGCGTATGCGCACAGCTATTCGTTCCTGTGGTCGGAGCTGCCCAAAAGCGGACTCTCGCAGCACAGGCATCGCAGCGTCGGTCGCCTCTGGGTCACATAACTGTACCTCAAACTCACTCATTACGACCGCCAGAGTGGCTGCTTGTATGGCTCTGGTATAGTCGCTAGCGATTCCAAAGCTTTGCCGGTCGTAAAAGATAGGGGCCAGCAGCTCGAGGTTCTGCGCATCGAACCTTCCATTCTCGACACGGGTTCCGCTCTTCCGTTGGCCTCGCGCTTTGGGTCCATTATCATCGGGGATCAAGAAGCGTTCAGGCCAAAACTCATCTAATGGTTTCTCAACAGTACGTGGCCGTGCGTTTGCCCAGGCCTTGGTATCCAGTGCGATATCATGCGAGAAGGAAATTGTGTTGCATGCCTTGGGTAGTTTCCATTGGCTACCGATGGGAACTTCGGCGAACTCGTTGGCACATGTCATGTATTGTGCGACACGGAGGCGGCTTATTTCCGCCTGTAACGATTGAACGAGGGGCAAGGCTGCAACCCCATTGACGTCATATGTGGTCGCCTTTGACGATTGTCGCTCAGAGACGATAGTAGTGATGCGTTCCGCCAGATACGGTTTGCGTAAAACTTCTATTATTGACCACACAGCGGAAGGAACCAGATCAACATTCGAGCTGTAGAGCATGTCAGAACTTCTTGATGCTTGGCAGATAATGCATCCCCAGGTGATGCTTACCAGTGCATGATGTCCAACATCTCCGCTGTCCTAGCTTCAAGAGGTAACGGGGCTTTCGCAAGTAAGTCATCGCGTTCTTGAATGAATTTGGATCCCTTATGTTCATCCCAATCCACGTCGTCACTACCGATCTTTGCAAATTCCGTGCCGCTATGATTAGCTTTCAACCACTTCTCGACGCCTTTGTATAGTCGATCGCGTGGCTCCCTATATGCCGTTGAATTTGTGAACCATGGCATCCCCGGCACGAAGCCCTCAATGGCATCTTCAAATTTCCAGTAGTCCTTGATGAGTCCAGAATATTGCTTGAAGATTGCTGAACCGAAGAGGGTCTCCATAGAACACCTTGTGAGGACTTGCTGGAAAAACGACCAGCTGTCTTCTATCTGTGTCCAGCTGCCGACTTGAAACATCTTGTTATTCAGATTGCGCGAAAGAGTTGCAGCGTAGAGGTCGGTCAAATTTCTCAAGGACTCTCCTTCTAGGTACTTTTGCGTTGATGCTATGCGCGCACGCTCGATGGCTCCTTGATCGACGGCCGCCTTGGTGTATAGATTTGCTACAGCTTGAGGAGAACCCAGAATGATCTCGTACATATTCTTCCCGGTGATGACTGGATTTCGCTTCTCATATGCCTGGATAGCCTGCTTCATCTGCTCCGGATCTCGAAGAACAATGAAGGGCTGCAAGCCCGCCTTGACGGCAAACGGTGCGAAGCTGCCATAGTCCTTGCTGACAGATGTTAGCACTCACAATGTAGTGTATACATGGATGATCGTACAGTAACCTCGCGAAGTACTTCTGCGGTCCGTCATACGCTATACTGAAAGCATGAAAAACCCCTGGGAACAGATACGGAATTGTTGGCGGCCTGCTCCCTGATGCGGTATGTTTCGCATTTTGGTAGAACAACGTTGTGGAGACATAGTAAGTTAATGCAGGTGTGACGATCAACAGGACAGCTAAGAGGAGAAACATTGCTGGTGAGATAAGAGATGAGGCAGGTCAAGGCTGTGACGAGCTCCAATTAGGCAGAGCGGATCCCTGCGCATGCTTAGCGGCGGAATTTCCGGGTCCGCTTCACGCCACCTATACAACCGACAATCAATCTTCCTGAACAAACATGGAGCATACATCGTTACAATTCTTTTTGTACTGTTTTACATGCTCACGATAGCTTGTATCTTGCTACAGCTTAAGGTGTTACCGAATTGCCGAGTAACCTTCCTATTTCCTCAGCAATCGCCAATGTCTTCTCCTCGCTGAGCCTCTTTCCGATGACTTGAATAGCAACTGGAGCACCGTGGTATGCTTCGGGGTCGTATTCGGCCTGGACAGCTGCATCCATGTCGTTCAGAGGCTCATAGTCTGCACGCTTGGCATCGATTTTGCTATCTGCAAAAGTGACCGGGACAACGACGCTCGTAAAGTCGAGTAAGTTGATGGCAGACGCGTAGCCATAGTACTTGAACTGGTTGTGTCGGATAGCAGCAGTTGGACTGATGGGAGCAACGATGCAGTCAAGTTCGCAACCATGCTCGGCCTCGACCTCTCGCCATCTGGACAGATACTGCATCTGGTAATCCCACTTCTGTAAATGGATATCCCACACATCGTTCAAGTCAGCCTTTCGCATATCTGGGTTGAGGAGTTCTTTGATGTTTGGAATTCCTGGCTCTCCCGAAGCGTTGATGTCCTTCATTACGTCCTGTCTGATTGTCAGCTGGTGTAAAACACCTAGGCGTAGCTGCGCAAGAGCCAAAGGGAGGAGTTATTACCGTGGAGCCATCTGCTCCATAGATCTTGTTAGCAAGATCGACAGCAAAATCATGTTTGTATGGAGTCCAGGGTAGAACCTTGTGCTGACTTCTTTCCAAGACGTCCATTACGCGTTCGATTCCACGTAGGACAGGAGGATGTGGGAGAACCTGTGCTTTTAGCGAAAGCAATTGTATTGCATTTCGGTCTGAGACTCACGTTGCCGTCGCATGTGTAGTAACCGATGGTCAGGCCGGATGAATTCAGCTTTGCCTTCAGAGCATCTTCTAGGTTGTACCTCCAAGGCAATGGGATGACTTTGGAGTCGTAATTCCAGGGCTCTTCGCGGAGCACCGATGTGAGGAATAATCTCAAGTCTTGACAGTCAGCTTCTCGATCAGCAGGGACGTGCGTCTTGTTCACTTACCAGACGCAGAGTGAGCAATAGGTCCGACGACACTGTGGATGGTCTCTTGACCTTCCATGCTGTTCGCCATGTTTGCGTAGGGCATTCGACCATGACTAGGACGGATGCCGTATAGAAAGTTGAACGCGGATGGGATTCTGATAGAGCCGCCAATATCAGTTCCAACACCGATGATTCCTCCACGGAGGCCGATCATAGCTCCTTCTCCTCCCGAGCTTCCTCCGCACGACCAGTTCTTGTTGCGCGGATTTGTGGTCCTTCCGATGATGTTGTTGACAGTCTCACAGACCATCAAGGTTTGAGGGACACTTGTTTTGACATAAAAGACAGCACCTGCCTTACGAAGAAGTTCTGTAAGAACGGAGTCTTTTTCATCATACTTTCCCAGCCAGGAAACGTAGCCCATGGATGTTTCTTTTCCCTAATACAACCATGTCAGGTTTGTCGCTCGTGGTTCGCTCGAGAGTTGATTACATCGAACGTAAGAGAAAAATCTCGTACCTTCACTCGCAGTTGGTCTTTCAAAGAGATCGGAAGACCATGTAAAGGTCCAACAGTCGTGTTGTGCTCGGCGTAATACTTGTCTAGATCTCGAGCCTGTGCGAGAGCCTCCTCGGGGAAGAACTCGTGTACACAATTCGTCTGTAGCAACTTGTTAATCGCTGGGTCTGCCACAGTGGTATAGTTGGTCCTACCAACTGCTGTGCTAAGGCAGCTCTTTTACAGAAGGCAAGTGTGACATCCACGGACTTGAGCTTCCCTTCAGCCATTTGTGCAACAAGATCAGTGGCCGAAGACTCGGTCAGCTCGATTTCTCGCGCAGAAAGAAGCCCCGATGCTTTCGGAAACTCGAATACATTGTCATCGCTTGGAAGGTCTCGAATTAACCATTCCGAAGGTATCGTGCTGGCGATACGAGTTCGTTTGTCTGCAGCAAGCTCCTCCCAACTAGAAGTCATTTTTGCTTTTGTCTGAGCTAGTTGAGCAACCAATAACCAAAGTTTAGTCTCGGATGTGTTCGATTCAATCTATAGAGGCGGATTGAAGTGCAGGGACGTGTTCGTGGTGGTGACGTCGGACCAAAGGATGGTGACGATGGTCTACCTCATGTGGGGTTGATCGCTTGTACCTTCTGCAACGGAACCCACCCCCACGGAGATGCGCGAACCCCTCTTTTCGAACACATCTGTACCACTGAGGTTCGTGCAAATCCCTCATCGAGGCGATACAACACGATATTAGACTTCGCTATGTAAACAGAGTGTACATGCTGCCGATTTCAAAATTCACACATGTTCTGTTCGGGGTTAAAGGTCCTAGGGTCTGAGGGAGCCAGCCATGCATTGCGTCATTCCAGAATTCACAACGCTCGTTTCCACGCTTCTCACGCAGCCGTTATCGCCTTTGACCTCTTACCACTAGCTCTTATTCATACTTACCTCTCAAGAATGATACAAATACTGCAAAAGTAGGCAACATAGGTACCCGTAAAATCTTACCTAGAGAGCGCACCTTATCTACAATTTTAGCTGATATCGAACAGAATATGCACCACGCCACAGGAATTCAAAGGTGAGGAATGCGCAGTAATTTACTCTCATCCCTGCTCCTCAACATAGGAAGTAATCCCGATCTTCACATGCTCGCTGTAGTATAACCTCACTGGCTGCGCCGGCCTGGCTGTGCGATTGGTCACGCGAAAGTTCCAGGCACTAGACGCAGAGCGAGCCGCACTTCCAAATTCGAATTCGTCGAGCTGGACCCTTCCTTCCAAACGTACTTCGTACAACACAGCTTTCCGCTAGCAAATTAGCCAATGCTCCTCAGAAAATGGTGTGGAGCACAATCGGCCCATAACGGATAGTCACGCTCGAGTCATCGACCTCTTCCTGCATTCATGCTCCTTATTATTTCGTAATATCTGATTGGGTACTTCAATTATACGCTGTAGACGCCACCATTGACATCTTACGCCCTACAGCATAACAGTCAAAACAACGTGTAGAGCGCTTGATATATTGATGCTCGTATGTCGGCCTTGAATATTCAGTAGACAAATTCTGCCTTGGAACCAGCAACCACTAGCCAATCCACCATGTATCTTCGAGCCGTTCATGCAGAGAAAGACATTGCTAGACTACAGCAATTCATACGCGCCAACTCGCTAGGCATCTTTACCACAGCCATTGACTCCAAGTCGTTTCCTTTTCTTCAATCGAGTCACATTCCTTTCGTTTTGGATATCGAAAACACAGCAGATCAGGTCCATCTTGGCGTTCTCCGTGGACATATCGCTCGAGCGAATCCGCAAGCTAAAGCTCTGATCGAACACATCCAATCTCAAAATGAGGACGAGAAGATCGACACAGTTCAGACTATATCACGCGATGTTATGATCCTCTTTAACGGTCCTGCACACCACTATGTCACACCCAAGTTCTACAAAGAGACAAAGCCAGCAAGCGGGAAAGTGGTTCCTACGTGGAATTACTCAGCGGTACAAGTTTACGGTCGTGCTTCCGTGTTTTACGACACCAAAGCCGCCTCTACGGGTCAATTCCTCGACAAACAGATTAGGGACCTGTCCCATCAGTCAGAAAGAGACATCATGGGCTACGAGAAGCCGTGGCAGGTGGAAGATGCGCCTACTTCGTACATCGACATACTGAAGAAAGCGATTATCGGCATCCAGATCGAGATAACGGATATTGGTGGCAAGTACAAAATGAGTCAAGAGATGGGTGCGGGTGATCAGCAGGGTGTCATAGATGGTTTTAAGGCCCTGGGGTCGGATGTTGGAGCTGAGATAGCAAAGACTGTAGAGCAAAGGGGAAAACTCGGAAGCTCTTAGCTACAATCTATGAGAAGAGCTTTGAGAGTACCCGGAATAAGAGCGTATACTGCTGCACTTCGTGTTCTTGTACTTGTACTTAGGCAATGTTCGTAGCCTCATCATCTATACAGGAGTGGTCTGACTGGCTTACCAGTTGATGAGCTACCAGAGTGGGGCCCCTGCCGAAAACTCCGAAGTCCCCTTCCCCTCACCCAAGTGACCGCCACCACGGAGCCATCCCGACTGCGACAACCCAATGACGCGTTGCACCTTCACCTGCAACTAAATAGGCGCGTATCTCACGGCAGACAATCGTGGGCTGTGACTGCAAACATGTTGATCCCTGTGCCACGAGGTTGGTCGGCCTGAAAGTCAGACGTGGCTGTGCAGGTGGCCCTAATATCAGGGAGCGGCCAAAAATGGTCATCGTCCATTCCATGGCACAAGCACTTTGCTCGACTTTTCGAGAAAGTACATTGCAAATTTAAATCAATACTTCCAACAACACTACAACCAGTAACGATCGCCTTTTTGAGAAAACGACGCAACGCGAAGAGTGTACAACTAGAATATCACCTGGAGGCATCCACATCTTTCTACCTTCCCAATAAGTCCACCTAGAATACTCCATAACCCTCCGCCTGAGACAGCTTGAGTGGTCTGGCATCAAGATGGGCCTCTTTAGCTCCAACAAGCTTCGTCAACCGCCACTCCCTGACTTAGCGATACAACTCGATGACACGGCCGATAGAGTTTATAGGCCAGACGATATCGTCAGAGGCCACGTCGTACTGACGCCCGTCGCATCTATTGAGCCCGAAGCGCTTAAAGTCTCACTGTTCGGGCAATCGCTCATATGGTATCGTCGGGATGTAGGCTCCGGCAATACCACTGATTACCATCATTGGAGGGACAACGCACCACTATTTGAGGTAGCTCAGGACGTTTTACACGCAGCAACCACCAAGACCAACGAGGATAAGAAGAAGGAACCACAAGCTATGTCGAAGTTCGAAGCAGGCCAAATCTACACATTTCCCTTTCAATTCACGTTTCCTGCTGGGACTGGTACCACGCGCTATGGCCAATACGAAAATGATTCCGACCAGAAATACGATATCGGACCCCATGACTTACCTCCCAGCTTTCTATTTACCAGATTCAACAGGCCAACCGACGACGGCACAGATGCAGACTTTGCCAAGATCGAATATGGCGTACGGGCCACACTGATATGTCCTGGCATTGGTGTCGTCCAAGGCAAGTCTCTCATAGACCTGACAACTACATCGATCATCCTCTTCCAACCCACAAGCCCGATACCACCACCCGGACCATACACCACGCTGAACCGCTACCCAAAGACCCTCACACTGCGATCATCTCTGCTAGCCGGCAACACGCAAACTGGTATCCGACAAAGCATCCGCGACCGTCTTTCCTCTTCGACCCCTACACTCGACTTCGAAATCGCTGTAGAGCTTCCAGAACACTTTACCAGCGGGTCCGAATTTCACTTTCGTGCATCCTTCACAACGCTATCGCGAAGCCCGAACGCGCTGCACATTCCTCCATCCGTCACATTCAACATCCTCAAATTGGACTTGCTGGATTTTACCTTCTTCCGTGCACCTCGCGACAGAGACGCAGGTAGTGGCAGATCCGGCTTGCACAGGAGTAATAGGTACGAAAGCTGGCCGCCGCCAGACCAGCTATATGTCGTGGCCAAGAATGAACACGAGGACTTCACGGAGAGGAAGACGTCTCTTAACGCTTTACCTGAGTCAGCCACATTGGAACTTACTGCTGGGCTGCCAGAATACTCCGTTATCGCTAGCTCATCAGGAGAAAAGCACAGTGGGGCAATGGAGGAAAAAGTGAAGAGTACTTGTGAGCAGTGGTTCACGGCGAGGATCCCAGGTGTGACAGTACCAAGTTTCCGTAGTTTTGCCATCACAAGGGCATACAAAGTCAGAGTCAAGCTTGGAGTTGAGGTCGGAGGAAAGAAGTTCGAGAGGGAGGTTGAAAGCGCGGTAGGGAGGATGGGCAGCCCGCAAGCCTAGTGGTGTTAGAGATAGTTGGGAGAGGATGGAGTTGTCTTTTTCGTGGAAATGGCGCCGCAATACATATGCTAGATGAAGCCGTACTTGTTGTAAATGTTATGAATACTACTGTGCAATGTCAAAAACGTGGGGTATCATATCCAAACGCCAAAGCAAAATCGAGAAGAGGAATCAAGCCGCGGTATTCAATAATACCAGCTCTCCAGCACCTTATCGACCCTCCGCCTCCCTTCACTCTCTAATCCTTCCATATCAACACTCTCGTCGTCTTCAGCCGTGGAAGGTGCTTGGACGTTGCCAAACTTCTCTTCCACACGTGCAGCAACGCGTATTGCCAATGTCCGTGTCTTTGCCAGCTCAGGCGCGAGCGGCGCATCCTTCCACACCAAATTTGGCTGTATGTTCTCCTTGGGATTGCGATAGGGTTCTAGTAGCGAAAGCAAGGTGCGGTATGTGTCGAGCCGGTTCTGAAGCGTCTGCCGGCGTGCGGAAAGTTCTTGAAGGCGCGAGACGGAGGAGAGATATTGGTCTTGTGTGATCTCGGCGTCACGGTCGGGCCATGTTGTGGGTAGTTTCGCAATGTTTTCGTCGAGTGTTAGGTCATCGCTCTGATATAGTGCGTGCGTGTCGTCTTCGTGGGCATCGGACGGAGGATTTACTTCTTCGTCGTCGTCGGCATGATGTGCGCCAGATTCCCAGTATAGTATGTCTATTTGCTCAACAACATGCTCAATCATTTGGCGGCTGTAGACTTTTCGGGAGTGTTGTTTAAGGTTGCGGTTGACTAAGCCACATGGTTAGAACGATCTGAAGGTCATCATGAGTGCAGTAGATCCATACCTTTATCCAACACTCCCTTCATGACACTGAGCTCGATCCCACCATCTTGCGCAAGTGTGCGTAGACGTTCCGACGGCGGTATTCCACGCGATAGAATATGTTTCCTCGTTTGTAGAAACCGCTGCTTTTGCTCCACGACGGTGCCTTGTTTCGACCTTGCGGATGGCACGTGTTGATCCATTGTTGAGGCTGTTGAGTGCGTTTGGCGACGAGTATTGCGCACAAGAGCACTGAACCGCGGGGACTAGCGCGACGCGTTGAGATCACGCTTTGCCTATTTGAGATGGCGCGATGGTGCTACAATTACGCGTCAAAAGTTTTGCAACGCTAGCGCCAAATCTCTCCCCCACCATCACCACCACCACAACAACAACCCACTATAACTATGTCAACACCGCGTGTTTTTGGACGTGAGATATCGCAAAATGTACGGCGTAAGCCAAATATGAGTCTTTCCGAGCGCAATATAGCCATCGGGATGTGGAAAGCTGGCTGTACGATGGTAGAGGTGGCGGACGCGTGCGGGCGCTCGAAATCCACCATATCGCGCCTTATCAAGAAGGCCACCACAACGGGCACAACAGAAGACAAACCACGCAGCGGACGTCCCCAAATACTGTCGAGGCACGCGCGTAAGCTG